AGCAACCAATCAATGAAGAAGAACGAGAATTAAGGAGAGAAAAGAGGGGGAGTGCCTGTACGTAGGTGACCGTGAACCGTATGAGTTGTTGATCCTAGGTTGTAGCTGTTACAACCCGAGTGTCTGGGGTGGTAGGCATAAAGCTGACGATGCGCAGAAAGAGCGAACAGTCGATGCGATTCCGGTGTTCTAGACAGTCTCCGCTCCAAAAAATCCTAATCAACACTCTACAATTCGAGCGGGGTGCTAGGACGCGCAATCGAGACGTCTGGAGATGAGGTTTTGCTGCGGATTTGGAGACAGTGGGCAATCCCTCGGTGGTCTTTCTTGAGCTTCATTTTGTAATAAAACACGGCCTAGTTCAGCTTTTCCTTCTCACACCATGAAATCCGGAGCGAACATCGTAATGTAGCCCGAATTGTGATTCAAGTCTTGCGCTTTTGGTCGTGACCTGCATACTGTCTGCCACCCCTGCGCCTGGCGGTCTCAGACTCAGCATCAGGATCACCGCCGCAGTTCAACCGCGCCATTGTCACCTACACGTCCCACGCATCAGCAACCACAACATATACACCCACCATTAATCGCCTCCACCAGCCGCATTGTCGGATATCTCTCTGCGCCAAATGCCAGAACCTTCCTCCCCGAACCTCCACCCCGATGCGCACGCTCCCGAGGCCGTCCCGACGACGTCTACCAACAAAGAACCAATCACCAGACGGGAAGCTGTGTGGCATCTTCATGGAGCGAGGCGGTCCCTGAGCCATGCGACAGAAGTGGTGTATAACCAGCGGTGCGTGGGAGCTGAAATCCTACGGCTCACACTGTCGCACTTGCCAAACTTCTCCCCATCGGCGCAAGTCATCTCCCGTCATCCTGCGTGGCTTCCAGTTGACTGACGAACGCGTAGGTTCCAAGCCTTCGACAGCCTCCTCTCACTCCTCTCATACCTCCCGCACAAACCGTCCATCGCCTGGCAGCAGAATACAGCAAGAAATAAGATACTTCGAATCAAGCTTCCAAGCGGCCGAGACGCTCTTCCGGGAATGCTATCTATGCGGAGGTCAGGAATGCGCGTATACAGTACCAGGTCATACATGTGGGCACCTGGATATGCCACTGCACTGGTCCGATTCTTGATCGCTTGACACCACCGCAAGGAATAGCCCAGCTAAGAATCGTACAGCTAGTCAGGATAGCCCGATTGCCACCACATCGGCCTTTACGTCCTTAAGAAATATTAAAGCTATGGGTTCAAGCGTCAGCTCGGATGTCTCACTACATGGCTTCCGCTATTGCTCGCCATCACCGCGAGTGGCCCAGCTGGAAGGTGCTCAATCAGCCAAAAGTAGCCTGTTCTTCGCTGGGTCTACGCTCTCGCTAACACGCCCACGATCCCGATTCAAATGGAAAAGGCCATGCTGATATTTATCATCCACCCATCACGCGTTGAAAAGGTTGCCTGGAATTTGGCCCAGGTTTCCAACAAACACGCGCCGCAAATCTGCGGGAAACTTCACACAGCTCGCGCACGTGACCGTATCCTCCATCTTGGGCGCGCTCCCAACTGTCACGCACAGCACAATCCCAAACCAGCCTTCCTCACGACCCTCCTTCGCATGTCAACGCCGCAGACATCGCTGTCACGCACGCCACCGTGGCCTCGACACGCCGCACGCCTCCCGAGACAGGAATCCCGATCGCGCATCCCATCCCCACGAGCACCTCGGTGTCGTACAGCATATTGTCCTTGTCGTTTCGTCCCTTGGCTTGAGCAGGATGGTGGTCGCAATAGGGTATGACAAGCCTCGCCAATCGCGCCGCTGCCGCCCGAGCGATCCCTGAGTCCGGCCCGCGCCGCGCAAAAGCTTATTTCGACCTCACAGTCGCGACAACGTGTCCCCTGTAACTGCGGCGATGGCGGCGATGAGCATGGCGTTTACGGAGAAATTCGGAACGGAAACCTGGGCAAAATCCGAGGCAAATCTGGGCCGGCAGTCTGAAGGGTAAAATTTTGAACTTTAGCGTTGCAGCGCTCCGGCTTGACGGGAATCAGATATCCACTTGGCTAACCAGCTACCTGCTGGTTGAGCCATTCTTCACGGTGGTATCGAGTGGTAAAACGTAGTAACTAAGTGCTAACATACACGTGTTCCTCAACGTATGACTTGCGGAATCCAATGAAAATGTGAATTTGACGTCGACGCCTCAGGAATCAGACAATATTTTGACCGGCCAGCTGCGTGCTTGCTGGGCTACTCCCTACGATGATATCGAGAATGCAAGAGCGGCAAGCAAACGGGAATTCCACCTCGACGCTACGGGAATCACACAGTCTTTTGACTGGCTAGCTACCTGTTCGCTGAGCTACTCCCCATGGTGGTATCGAGGGCGCAAGAATGGAGCTCGAGCAGCCTTATATTCGTTTCCTCAAACCAATAATGCGGAAAATTCAACAAGCGGCTACCTGCTCACTAGGCTGTCCCTCATGGTGGCATCGAGCCCGCAAGAGCGGAGCTCGAGTAGTGGTATCTCCGAGTTCTTAAACTGGCAACCTGCAGTATTCAATAGGAACGAAATCTGACATCGATGCCACAGGAATCAGACATCCTTTTGACGAGCCAGATCCATGCTGGCTGAGCTACTCCCCACGACGGCATTCAGCATGCAAAAGCGGAGCTCTAGCAATCAAATACCATTTTCAAACTGATAACCTGCAATATTTAAAAAAAGACGGGACCTTAGCATCAACGCAACCGGAATCACGCCGCCTTCTGGCTATGCGGATATCTGTGGGCTGAGCTAATCCCCGCGGCGGTATCGAGCATGCAAAGAATGTAGTTCAAATAGTGCTATATATATCATTCGAAGCGTATTACCTCCGCTCTTTAATGAAAATGGGAAGGTCACATCCCCGCAATTGAAATCAGACCGCCGATTGGCTGACCAGCTACGTGCTGGCTGAGCTACTCCTCACAGTGATACAACGCATGCAAGAATGAAGCTCGAGGAGCGATATACCTGTGCTGGAGACTTAGGGAAAGCTTCTAAGATGCGAAATCGTGAAAGGATAGTCTGAATACCAAACATCTGCTTTCTCATTTCTGTCATATTGACCCATATCCTTTCCCGATCTCAAGGACCCCTTACAGTATGAAGACGGCAGAAAACCGATTCGTTTGCCAGGTATTAAATTGGGGCTCTGTTGCTTGTGACATGCATCTTCAATCCGAATGAATGCATCAGAGAACTCCAAACGGCGTCAACTGTGAATCAATCATGATCAAGGTAGCCTACAATTCAGGAATGAAATTCACTTCATAGCAGGCATCACGATGAATAGAAGGATGTGTGAAAGAGAGGGCGAGGACGGTTCTATTCTAGAAGTACGACAATTATACAAAATCAACAAGCCCGAGGGCGCTCCAGACCGTCTTCCGTCCCCCCAAAACACCAGCTCCCATGATGTAAATGTCCCCCTCTCGCCGCACGCCGAGCCCAAAGAACCTATACTTAGCGTTAGTGTACTTGTATTACGGAATGAATGAACGCAGAGCGAAGCTCAGAGTAGAGAATAGCCTTACCAGCGACGCCAACACCCCGATCACCACCCCCAGTACGCCGCGATGGCCTCGAACTTACGCACGAGCTGGTGGCACAGACAGGTTAGCTATTGAGACATATTACGCGCAAGTCCAGGGGCTATTACCTTCTTCATGTGCCAGAGGATGTCCTCCGTCTGGTCGTTCAAATTTTTGAGGGCGGTTTCGCGCGCCTCGACGTTGTTCCACTGCGTCATCTCCCCCAGGGCGTGCGCGTGGTCGACCAGCACGGGCGCCCCTGTCCTGAAGCGGGCGGGGTCGTCTGTTGCCACGATGGCCGAGGATCTGGTGTTGCGGAAGAGTGACATTGTGTGTGTGAATGTGGTTCTTGATGTGGATGTGGCTGTGACGGTCGTTGTTTTGACAGCGAGTAGACAAGCTGGGGTGGAGGCTATGAGTTGCACGCTTTAATTGACCTCATTGTGGGCCCGGAAAAACTCTACACCGTGCGGAGCTATTGTTGCCTTCACCCCATGCTTCACCAGTCACATCTGCTCTTACTGCTGTCCACCCTACGCTACTTCCTTCAACATTTACCCTTCGTTCAAGGTCGCACTATCTGACGAGCAGAGCTCAGTTTAGACGAGATCACCCTCCTCTAGCTTCCCTTGAGCCCTTTCACCGGGCGGTTTGAGCCAGCAGTCATGTATCGTCGCAACTCAGGCCCCAACGGCGAGGTCGTCGAGCGACCTGTCGAGGCTGCGACAAAAGTGCTCTCTCGACCTCAAACCAACACCTATGTTGATTCATCCTTCGGATTCGCAGTCACCTAGTCCCTTCAATGGAAAGCCCGAGCGCTACCGATCCAGATCTCGATCCAGATCTCCGTACAGACATCCGACGACCGCCCGTGAAGAACCTCGTGGAGAAAAGGGACCCCGCCAGAGCAACACCTACCGCGAAGACGGCCGCGTCGACAACCGCCGCTTCAAGATTAGGCACAATGACTGTGGAATAGGCCGCTGGTAGGACGGAGATGATAGCTTTTTCGCAAGGATGGCGATACTCCGACCTTGTCTTGTCATCACCCAGCGCGGTGATGGATGAGGCGTTGTTCAACATCGTACCTTGTCAAAGGGTCACCCACCAACTGGTGCCCCTCTCCTTCCCGATGGAATCTTGGTCTCCGGATTACAAAAGTCGCTGCGTCAACCGGCATCGTCTAAGATACTGAGGGATATGAGCCACCGCCTGGGGAGGTGAAGAGCAAGGGCTACGAGGCTGTTGGAGATTTGTCAGGAGAGGGTTGAAGAGCTGGAACCGGTCGAGCAGGGCTAGAACCAGGGCCTGCCTACACACTTGGCGTGAACCCAGCCGTGTCCGGGCATCACTCGGTACGATACCGAAGGAGGCCTTTTTCAACATCGCGTTGTTTCGTCACAGTCCCATGTGAGAACGATGGCCTTGGAACCGCTGCTTCGCCGATCAAGCCAGGCGAGCCATGAACCTTGGACCCATTGTGCCATCTGCATATGGCCTCGAACCGCTTCTACACCTCGCCGCCTTTCCGCGATCGCTTTACTCTCTTGCCTGACTGTCGCGTTCTGTCGACATCATTGTGCCAAAGATGTTCGCCAAGACTGCTACCCGAAATTGAACGGTCTGTTACCTCTCTTGGACGATTTCTCCCACTCGAAATCGTTTGATTCCACGGCGTCGCCCGTCCACACCAGTGAGCTTTGCCGTCACGTGAAAGACCTTGAGGAACGCCTGGAAGCCACAGCCAAGGAGCACGCCACGATCCAGAACTGGCTGCTCGCGCAATTGGTTGCTCAAAATGGCGTGAAATCGGCCGCCATTCCCGATGTCTCTGCGGGAGACTCCAGATTGGACGCCTGTCTGAAGAGGATGGGAGAGCTTGAAAAGGAGGTGGAGGCCAGACGGAAGGCGCAGGAGGCCCGTCAAAACGACCAAGACTTCATGACGTTTGAAGATGGCGAGAATTTGGACGCAGAATTTTGGGCTCTTGCCAGTTTCCTCCCTATTGGACCTGTGGAGAGTGACTTTGGAGAGAGCGAAGAGGGTGCTGAGGTACCTCTTGAGGAGGTGATGGGCGAAGAAAATAAGACCCCTGAGGAGCCTGGATTGCAGCTTTCTCACGTCAGCAATCCGAATTTCATGATATATCAGGAAGAGGTGGACTTGGAGTCGGAGATCTTTACTTCGCCCTTTGTACCCTAAATTAGGCTCTTCGAGATTAAAGCACATGGTGAAAAAGGAAGGTGCAGGCAGGAGAGGGAAAGAGGATACGCGTTGGGGGCCTGTATCAGAGATAGCTAGCTCAATGATTCATTCGCAGACCTCGTCACTCAAGATATAATAGTAGCCGCCAGGCTCATTAAATCGTGTTAGACCATTCACCTTCTAACATTCGCACTAACCAAGAGCGACGCGGCTTTCCGGGCTGTGAGCATCACACTCCAGATGGATGTGCTTGCGCCACCGTCGATAGTCCGAACACCCAAATCGATGAGTACCTTCAGTTAGGACCCGTAATCCAGAGCGTCCCCTCTTCTCACTCGATTTCTGTGTGATTGGATTGCCTATTCCCCAAAAGCTGCCAATATCCTTACAACGGCCTACCTTTGAGGCGGATCTCCCGGTTGATGGGGCTTCCAGAACAAGGATGGATGCAGTTATGGCTGGTATCCCTGAATGGCGAGCTGGCACTTGGGTTTGACAGAGATCGGGCTAATAGATGCCAAATTTCCGTGCAGGACTTCCGAGAAAATCGTCGACTCTACAATTCTGAGTTCATGGTGGTCATGTGCTTTATATCATCCCCTAGACTATGCGGAATGCTTCTTGACTACCATGACCTGAAATGAGTTTAAGACTACTCCACAAAGGGAACGGCTGAGTAAACGACTCGGAGGGTCGGACGTAAAACGTCGCCGAGAAGATTCGCGTGGAGTAGGACACAGCCTTACATGTGCGCCAGGAGCAAAAGGTTTTGGTCCAGCGGCAGCAAAAGGAGGCCCATGATGAATATGCAGAACTCGATGTGCTCGCGCCCCACACTGCTTATTTTAGAGGTAGACGGCAATGCGCCGCACGAATTAGCAGAGACCAAGTTGAGAAAGAACAATCGAGATATATTACGGGTGTTGAATTCACGGAGAAGCATTCTCTTGGGATATCGAAGCTCACAGGAATGCCATCTCCTGATCAACAAGGAGCACCGGGATGCGGACGACCAAAAGGATGGGTCTTCACCTTTGCACTTCACTTTGGATCCTCAAGTGAGGCCATACTGTCTACGATGCCTTCCGTCCATAACCTTGTGGAAAAATCAGCCCCTACCCTCTACCTCGAAACCCATGGCCTTCGAGGACATAGAGCGAGTCGGAGTGCAACCGGCTCGCTCCTGCCTCGTCCTAGGGCGCAGCATAGAGGGAAACGTCCACTTAAAGCCTCTCTTAGGAAAGGTTAGCCTAAATAGCATTTAGGAAGTAACATCCATTCGTGCTGGTTAGAGCATTTTTGATTTGACCCTCCATTTATTCTTGGTTCTACCAACCGGCCTAGACGAGACATTGTCCAGTGAGACCATCGGGATACACATTGAAAAGCTGGAGGCTCTACTGGTCTGCCGCTTTGAGGACATCCCTATACCCCAGATGTTTGCCTCCAACTCCTCCTACGGGGCCACTACTGTCGCTGCTCGCGCGGTTTGCTTGTATATGTGGTAACGACCCCTTTATACATTCGCCGACCCAACAGCGGCTCCGCGTTAATTGTAGCGCAACCTACAGCCATGTGGTCACAAGTCATGCACCCGATTTGGACCTTGCGTTCTTTCTAGTTTTGTAGCTCGTCGGCACCGTTCTCTATACACAATCAATTTCGCCCGCCAACCGCGGCACTACCAACACAGCGGATGTGAGCAGCCCTGTAGGTTAAACGGTTAAACGGCGTACGCCGGAAGTAGTTCATCAGTAGAACGGATCCCCACCATGTTCTTCTTCGATGGCACCAGTATTTACATTAAGATCGTGCTGTTTCAAATTTCCGACTGTATCAATTCTGCAAACTGGGGGAAGAATAAAACTGAGACACTGCTTGAAGCACGATCAAGACTTTCACTCCCATCCGTTTAAGAATCAAGACGCGTAAGGATCTAGGAAGACCGCGAAGCGTCGCCTTTTTTAGAAACAAATACTGGGCACTACGGGTACTAGTTCAAGCATCTGTTGCGAGATCTTCGTTCATAAGCTCGGACTTGAACGCGGTCGTGGTAGAGGCAGTTCGTGGGTGTCAACGATACGAGAGAATGTTGTCCGATTAGGGGCCTCGTATCCGAAAAGAACACTCCCTCACCTTCCTCACTTGGCGGATTGCTCACTCCGAAGCGATCGTCAACGGCCTCAAACGCGACCTCACCATCGTCGATCTTCCCGCCGTTCTAGACGCTAAACTGGCCGGCTGGCACGATTTCATATATAGGTGCAGATACCATATTGATTAAGCACAATGACTTCATGCTTACTGCCGCAGTCAGGCAAAAATATTAGCTCATTAGCCTCTCATCAGCAGTCAAGAAGTCAAAAGATGATTTCGACATATCCGCCAACGGTGATAACGAAAACATTATACGGTAAAGAAACTCGCCGCACACAAGACTTCTATGATCATTCCCGGTTACACGTTCGGTTTGCTGTTCTTGGGTTTCCAGGGTTCCTGCTCGATGCCATATTGCCTGTTGAAACCATGATAGGCCGCTCAGCGCCCTACCGCCAGAGATTATACCTAGCAGCTGGATAAAATGATATTGAAACATGTTGACGGAGGAAACCAACCTAGGTGTAGATTTCGCCCCGATTCTAACGCTTACCCCGGGCAGAGTCTTGTCTTAATCCAATTCTCAACCCGATCCCGACCTCGCGATACGATGTCGGAGTAGCACATACCCTCCCTCAAGCCGTTCATGTCAAGGCTATCAGACGCTCTCGTTATGTCGACTGCAGCAGGTCAGCGGTGTACGAAGAGACCGGAATTTGAGGTCAAGATGGAGCCCAGAAAGGGACTAAGATTGCCATAAGCTGGCTATTGATGAACCTTATCCCGCCATTCCGATGTGTCTAGTTGTTTACCCATCAATCCGGATTTTTTTTTTGGTACTGAGCAGAGAAGCAATGTAACTCTAGTTTGTGACCAAAGCTGGAAGAGTTCAGATTGTGCGTCGTTTCGTGTGAAACTTTCTCCTGGATGACCGCTGTATCTTCATTATGGAGTCTATCAGGCAGCAGTTTGAACTCTTTACAGCTGTGAAAGAGCGATATGGGATCGAAAATGGACCCCCTGATAGTATGCATCAATCTCAGCACATCACATATCCTTTCCCTGTCATCGCTGCCTCCACCGCTACATCCTCCTGCAGTTCTAGCAGCATCTTTAGGTCCGCTCGTTCCTACTGAGCCTGATGTGACCACTCCGAGAGCACCGCTTGAGAGCTTACCGGCATTTGGTTCTGCTCTCAGCTTGGTGGTGTGCCTTCTTCGCACCCTTACAGGTTTCTCCTGCATCTCCGCCATCATTCCTATGCCCCTTGCAGCTCCTTCGGCAAATCGACTGCTGCCTGTGAACAGGTTTAGTGTTGCCCTCATCATCACAACGCAGAGCTGCGGCTCGGGTGATGTCCTGCTACGTCGACCTTGTCCATCATCACCGCGCATGTTGTTCCCGTGGGATCCAGCTCGAGGCCTCAGCATCCATTGCAGTGGAGAATGACGGCACAATAGCGAAGGAGGACATGAGAGTGAGGACGTGAGAGGGCGACTCGAGAAAGCGAGTGCTGGAGGGAGGATCGTCGATTTGTAGTTTGACAAAGAGTAAAACGGGGAAGAATTACAGGATATTGCGAATACTCTCTTCTCGCTCTGGGCAATCTCATGTTTTATATCTGAAGCGCTCGTCAACCGGACGGCGTGAGCAAGATCTAAGTCTTTGAATTTGATACTGTCGCTCCCTGGTCGCCAAAGAGGTGGTTCTTGTAAAAATGAGATGAGAGAAGCTGATCAAATGTAAAACTGTGTTGAGATTTCGAGGCTAAATCTGATTTGAAATGAACTTGGACCTTTCCACCGTCGGGGAGGGACAGGATAAGGCCTCGACGAGGAGAGTTCCTTCCCAATTTCAAGCATTTGTGTTCTCCGTACTCCTCATGGGCCGTAACAATGGCGCTGTGGAGCCCTCCATAACTATATTCGACTACCTTAGTACTGTTTTGGATACTCACTCTCAGGACTTCCACCTCTCCGACTAGAAACTTGCTCCCCTAAAAGATTTATGTATCACCTTGGGAAAACCTCCGCCGCCTCCATTTATGAGCGCGGCGCAGTATCTTCAAGACGTAGTATGTTCCGCTCGCTCGCGGTGCTATCTTGAATGTCGTTGCGGGTCTTGATAAAAGTCGCGTCTTCCCCTTGCCAAATTTACTGGAAGCCCCGGAACCCACCAGTACGACGGACTTGTTTGATCTGAGCACGTGGCCTCTGCGCGTCGTCATGAGAGGGAAAGTAATGCGTGCCCGAAGCTTGAGGCGGATGAGTTGCGAAGGAGGAAGAGATGGAGGACTGGGAGAGGCGATGATAACTGGGCTAGTACGGGAGAATGTCGAATCATAAGGCCATAACACGTTGCACTAGGCCCCCATGTACTCTTTGAAAATCTATTTCTATCTAGAAAATATGTTCTCGTGGTTATGATACCTCCACCGTCGTCATGAAGTTGCTGGGCAGAGCTCCGACGTGGTACCTCATGTACACCACGTGCCGTGCTGTTTTGGTGTGCTTTCTCCAATTGCCGACGCCCTGCTGCCCTGACTCGACTGGAGCATCTACACTTGATCCAACCCTCGAGCTCATTTGCACGTCCCCCTGGACTCCTTTTGCACGACACGTTTGTTCAATCTTGCTTGCAGAATCGTGATGCGTGGCCTCGGGCTACCATAGAAAGGTGTCGGGCGTCATCTCTGAAGCTGATGTTGATGAGACGAAGAAAGTGAGAAGCGACAGCGCGCAGATAACCGACAACAGAAACCTGCTAGTTCGAAGTAGTTAGCGTGTTTTCTGAGGTTGCTGAGAGACAGTCAGAGGGGAAGCAGATCAAGACAAGCTGTGTAGTCAGAAGGTGTTGTGCTGATGAATGTAAGGAAGCAGGTGATGAAGGTAAGAAGCAGGTGATGAAGGTGAGGAAGCAGGCCAAGACAAGCTATGTAGCAAAGAGATATTGTATTGATGAAGGTGAGGAAGTTAGCTATTGAGCGGAAAGCGGAAAGATATACACAAGAAGCTTGCTGAGTAAGTGGCCCACATTGCCGCGGCCACCACAAAATCCGCAGCTGCTGCGGCCAACAACCTGCCACCTTCATCACCTCTTGTTCAAACCACGACTACGCTCATTGACCACCTCTTCAGCCCGCCCATGGGGCTGAACGTCCTATTTTCTCTGCGAAGCCGGAAATACGGCAATATCACCTAAGACGGCATGCCACATCCTTTCAGCCTCAAATCGAGCTACTCGTCAGGCGAAGATACGGCAATATCACCCAAGACGGCATATCGCATCCTTTTAGCCTCAAATCGAGCTACTCGTCAGCCGGATCTTCGGTCAGTAACGTCTGGCCACTCTCGGCGGATGCTTCAATTACTAACGCTTTGAGCAGATCGCCACTTTGCGAGACAAGCTCGCAAAGATGAAAGGGTGCGTTGCACATCATAAGACACTCGTTAGGAAGCGCATGCACGCTGCAAAGTCTGTGCAGAACGAGGACCAAGTTGAACGATTTGTGGAGGAGCCGCGTCAGTTCAACAAGCAGAAATTTGACGAATGTTGTCGTTGCAGGAATTCGTAAGTACAGCCTCCACGGTCATCCACCGCGCTCATTCGCTAACAGCACTGAAGACATGTAGAACTCTCGCCTGCTACGACGTGTCAACGCTGAGGTCACTTCTTTTTCAGTCTTCGCAGTAAGCTTCCTTTTTCCTCTTTATCAACAACACAGTCACACCCAAGACGCTCGACTCTCCCAGTGGATTTTGGCGCAATCGTTGCTCGGACGACTGGTTGCGTACCGCCCAGCCGTGGCGAGAAGACAGAACCCAGACCATCTCATAACGTTACATCTGAGGGACAGCAACCCTTCTGCGATCGATGAGTTGCATTCTTGAAGATGGAACACAAGCTGACTTGGTTGGACTCCAGGTTTTCCGGTGGTGTAGCATCTATGCCACGGCAACCGCGAGAAGGAGAGCCCTTTTACTGCGACTCCCAAGCCTCGAACCCCAATGCCTGCTTCCGCGATCAAGTAGACGAAGCGAAAGAGAGGGCCCGCAAAGGTATGGTCACCAAGTATTCCATGTCCGCGGAAGAGCAGTCGCTATCTGTGTTGTAGGAGGTTCAAATACCTCCCAAGTTACCTCGCTCTTACACTCCATTGCTGGCAAAACCGACTCATCCGCACCAGAACCACAGCATCGCAACGGCATGGATCGCCCCAAACGTAAACCGTCCAAGCAGCAGTGCTATACCGAAGAGGCTTCGAAGGACCGTGGCTGACGTATATCTCGCTTCTAGCGGTAGGACGCCTTCTCAGGACAATTGGGGGTGGCTGGTTTGATACTCAGGTACGTCCTTGTCTGTTTTGTTTGCGCCCACCATTTCTTTCTCGGTTCATTTCTTTCAAACGGCCCCACGAAACCTTCCTGTCTGTCACAGTGGCTTGAGGGACGAAGTGGGGCCAATATCAAATACCAACGGGGCAAAGTGAACAATGCCTCTCTCAATTTCGGATACTACCTCGGTAGATCCTTTCGACGGAGAGGGAGCGGCCGCCGACTTGTTCGGACTGACTGCACCATGGATGGCGTTCTGCGGTCCTTGAGAACGCCAACCCCGACATTTTTATTACCTTTGCATTCCTTTATCGTTGCGGGATGATGATGGCATGATAGTATTTTGTGGCTAACTCTGGTTTCCTAGACTGCTGTTCGGTTGAGCCATAGTCGATCTGGCTGACGAGGTGCTTGTGCAAGAGCATCTTCGCAAAGCCGCTGGATGATGATTTTGGGAAGGACGAGGACATGTCGGAGGTGTCAGCTGGCTCGAGTTGTTCGGTTATGTGGGAGAGGCTGATGTAGCGTAGATGGTTGAAGTTCATGCTGTTTCGCATCCTCTGCGCTCTCTTTACAAAGCCTTGGTAGTCTGGTGAACTATTTGAAAAGAAGACGATGGAATCAAATTCCCTTTTACATTCATATTTCCCTGTGAAGAAGCCTTGTTTCTGAGCTACTGATGATGCTGAAACGACTTTGCCTTCGTGGTTGCGAGCCTCAAGTTCACATCCCACTGCAGTACTGCATCATGAACTGAACCTCCATTCATGTTCACTCGATGCTGTTATTAGCAGTACTCCGAATAGTAGTTGATCGATGAATATATAGGGGAATTCACAAGGAAATAACTCTAGATCCCGCCGACTTGGTCACATTTGTTACTCTTTCGACGTTTTACCTATCGAAATGATGTTGGTAGTACCTTCTCCTTTTCCCAACTCCATGTCTCTTCCCGCGTTGGGACATCTATATTTGTTACTCTACGCTCTTGAAAGATATCAGTATTAGCTTAGTGAATGTCGGTGGCATTCGAGAAATGGTATCGCAAAAGGCATGATGCATAAACCCGAAATAGAGCTAGTGTGAGAGGTCCGCTGCCGCAACCCAAAAACAGAACACGACCTCGAATGCCAACTCCGCAACAAGAACTCATCGGCACATCCAGGTATGCTTGCTCGTACGTACTTCTTGCGGCTAGTACTAATGGCTCAAGTCACGATGCCAGTCACACGTACGCAGAATGGGAAATTGCCGCCTCCACGGCAGCCGTTTCCCCCAAGTCAAGCTCAAGGACGCGCTGGAGTGACGAAGCGGAGGAACCCAAAGTCGAACCAAGAAAGCTCCCCGAGCTCGAAAACAATGCCCCAGGCCGCTGGCGCCAATGAGTCCAATGCAACAAACCAGCATGCTGCACCCGCTCTTCCAGTCCCCGTGAACGCCCAGCTGCAGGGCACTTTGCACGCCCAACCCACTGCTGCTCCATCTCTGCCACTCTCAGCACAGGCGGTCGTCTATCCAGTTCCTTCGCCGACGAGTGCTGCTACTTTGGCACCTCCCCCTACCCTAGTGGCGCCTCAACCCATCCCAGCAGTACCGGGTCAAACCCAGCCAACGTCTTCTCAGCAGCCTCCTGCCCCTCTAGCAACACTATCAGGCTTCTCCCCTCCCTACATGAGGGTATATACGGAGAGCGAAGGGCCAAATGGCGCTGTGAATCCTTACTACAAACTATCCAGAGCTATTGGTACGGCACCAGCGTATCCACTCCAACAGCGGGTCATGGACACATCTATGCTATACGACAACGTCAGGGGATATGTATTTCCGGTGCCGCAGCCTCACCGGTCACAGCGTGCACAAGACTCCGCCCAGCCCAGCACACAGGCTCCTGCGCAAGGCGCAAACCCGGTTCGTGTGTCCGAACTGACATGACGGCATATCAACGCATGGCTAATCTTTTGACTAGGCTGGCAACACTACATCTCCTTTGCTACTGCTTCCCACTGAACTTCTAAAGCGAGTAGTTGGTCACGTCGTTGGCCTGAAAGGCCCACTGGGGCGTAGAGCGCTTGGATACTCCCATCTACTGGCGCGCCCTCCCCCGCGCACTAACCTTTTGCTGAGATATCGGGTCGAAGACTCGCGCACCCCTGAGTCGGTTATCGATTACTTGGCTTTAAGCTTGACCTGCAAGCCACTTTACGCCGAACTTGGTGAGGCTTTCTGGAAGCGCAAGTTTCCGACAGGGGACTGGAAAAGAGTGTACCACACGCTGCGTCCACTGTTTGATTCCCCCACAGAATCTGACTTGCAGGATTTGGTTCGTGCGATCATTATCACTGGTGGCAGTAGAGCAAACTTGCAAGAGGTGTGTGACATCATCTTGACGATGCAAGGGCTAAAGTCCTTAACGTTTGCCGGCCTCGGCGAGATTGATCCCACTGTTCCAGTGCCGCCCACGTTCCTAAATCGAAACGTATGCTACGTTGATCAACTTCTTTGCCAGGACTCTATGTGGTTCTGGTTTCTCCTAAAGGAGAAGGGGGTTAAGATCTCGTTCAATGCCGACTATGAAGGTGCCTACGAGAGTCACGAAGTGGCCTGGCGCAAGCTTCACCTTCTAGGCAAGGTTCAGACACCCTGTCGATCCACGGCTCAGAGAGAGATAAACTCCGTCACGCTCAATCAATATTTCGAGTCTCAGATGGCCCACCGCCTTCAGGTTTTCATGAATGCGCTTGACCAGGCGTAGCGAAGACGACATTACACCTTGTGAGCAGAACACCTGGCCTTTTTCAGCTTGGTATGCCGTACAGCGAACATACAACGATTAGTCGATGTCTAACGCATCCATCACGTCCTTTTACGACGGCCCTGGCGCTTCAACCTCACACGATCAGACCTAACATCACGCGACTCCTTCTCAACCCGGTCCTCACAAAAGCTACGATATACGATGCGATGGTCCTGGTACGGGCGAAGCTTCACGGTTGTCCACCACCCAAAAGTTGACAAGGGAACGCATGAACGAGACTACCTTTGGAGAGCAGAAACCATTGGAGACCACTTCTTTTCTCCTTGCTTCATTTTATTCCACTTCTCTTCCCCCCGTCCCATTCCCCTTCATGAAGCCCCTCCTTCCTGTAATTACTTTGGCATGGAAACTTGTGATCTCAAAAAAGGCATTATTGTGCCTTTAAGTAATTCGGAATTGACTGCGCTCTATCGAGCGAGCGAACAAGGAAACGTGAAAAGGTAGGAACCTGCTCCTTTTCTCTTTCTGTATTTGCTTTGATGCTTGGGCAACACTACGGCGACATGTAGAAATGGATGATGACAGATTGATCATGGCAGTGTGTAAGAAGTACTGCAAATGCGAATTTTGGATTGAAAACCTTGGTTCCGTGTATAAAAATGTCCCGAGATGTGGTAGAACAATCAAGTTGGCTTCAACAACCCCCATCACCTTGAACCTCCACATCCTTCAGCAAACAACCTCTTATGCCTCGCCTCCCTAATACACGATTACGCTCTTTATCCGCGCTCCAAAATTTACGCTCGAGTTCGACATCATCTACTACGATATCGTCGATGCTCGAACACTTGCCACCCGAGAGAAGCTCAGAACAGCCAAAGAAGAGGCCCGCCGTCGAAGCACGATGACGCCGGAAGAGAAGATCGCAGCGGAGACGGGCGGTCCGCTACCCCGCAGAAATTATCGTACATTCAAGGCACTCTTGGACATCATGGCAGCGCGATACACTCGCTTAAATCGCGTCGGCTTTTCTCCGGTTCTGGCTGCGCGAAAGTCAACCGCGACCACGTCCACGACGTCAACCTCACAACCTCACTATCTTCACAACTCCACTGTCTTCACCACACTTCTTCTAAAAGTGCTTCCCCAGCCTTTACCACGGCACCATTCGAAGACACGTACCTGGTAGTGTCTTTCTTGGCAAGCTAATCTTGCAAGATGCCGCAAGCTCAACCGGAGCTAAAGAAAGTACGTTGCGGCATCGAGGATACTGCAGACCAGATTGCTGACCACAGTGTACAGTACCTCGACAAGCGTCTCTTTGGCTAACTGAGCGGTAGCTGGAAGGTCATAGGAGCGTTGCGGCTACGATGCAACAAGCTCAACCGGAGCTAAAGAAAGTGAGGACAGGAATTGATGATTCTGCCGACCTGAATGCTGACCTGAGTGCGCAGTACTTCGACAAGCGTCTCTTCGTCCAACTGAGTGGCAGCCGAAAGGTCATGGGTGCGTGAGGACATTCAGAACAGTGCAGACTTGAATGCTAACTTAAGTGCGCAGTACCTCGACAAGCGTCTCTTCGTCCAACTGAGCGGCAGCCGGAAGTTCATAGGAGTGTTGCGCGGCTACAATGTGTGGGACTTCTACTTTCGAAATCAAGATGCGGCAAGCTTAACCAGAGCTAAAGAAAGTGAGTAATAAGTGAGAACTCTGCAGACCTGAATTCTAACCCGCGCGCGCAGTGCCCCGACAAGCGTTTCTTCGTCCAACTGAACGGCGGCCGAATGGTCATGGGTACGTGAGGACGTTCAGAACAGTGCAGACTTAAATGCTAACTTGAGTGCGCAGTACCTCGACAAGCGTCTCTTCGTCCAACTGAATGGCAGCCGGAAGGTCATGGGCACGTTGCGCGGCTACGATACGTCTGGTAGTCTCTTCGTGCAACTGAGCGGCAGCCGTAAGGTCATAGGCGCGTTTCGCGGCTACGATGTGCGTGTCCGTCTCTTCATCCAACGAACGGCAGCCGGAAGGTCATAAGAGTGTTGCGCAGCTACGATGGTTGGGATCTATCCTTCGAATTGAAGATTCCGCAAGCTCAACCAGAGCTATAGAAAGTGAGTAATAAGTGAGAACTCTGCAGACCTGAATGCTAACCCGCGCGCGCAGTGCCTCGACAAGAGTCTCTTCGTCCAACTGAACGGCGGCCGAATGGTGATGGGTGCGTGAGGACATTCAGAATAGCGCAGACGTGAATGCTAAGCCGCGTGTGCAGTCCCTCCACAAGCGTCTTTTCGTCCAACTGAACGCCAGCCGGAAGGTCATGGGCACGTTGCGCGGCTACGATACGCCTAGTAGTCTCTTCGTCCAACTTTACGACAGCCGAAAGGCCATGGGCGCGTTGCGCGGCTACGATGTGCGTGGTGGTCTCTTTGAACGGCAGTCGGAAGGTCACAGGAGTGTGCAGGGCTACGATGTGGGGATCTATCCTTTCGAAATCAAGATGCTGCAAGCTCAACCAGAGCTAAAGAAAGTATATAGCGGCGTCGAGAATTCTGCCGACTTCAATGCTAATCCGCATGCGCAGTACCTCGACAAGCGTCTCTTCGTCAACTGAGCGGCAGCCGGAAGGTCATAGGAGTGTTGCGTGGCTACGATGTGCGCGGTCGTCTCTTCCCGGAACTGAACGGCAACGGGAAGGTCATAGACGTGTTGCGCGGCTATGATGCGTGGGGTCAATACTTTCGAAATGAAGATGCCGCAAGCTCAACCAGAGCTAGAGAAACTACGTAACGGCATCGAGAATTCTGCAGACTTTAATGCGAATCCGCGTGCGTAGTACCTCGACAGGCATCTCTTCGTCCAACTGAGCGGCAGCCGGAAGGTCATAGGAGTGTTGCGCGGCTACGATGTGTGGAATGCAAACTTCCGAATTAAGATGCCGCAATCTTAACCAGAGCTAAAGAAAGTGAGTAATAAGTGAGAACTCTGCAGACCCGAATGCTAAACCGGGTGCGCAGTACCTCGACAAGCGTCTCTTCGTCCAACTGAACGGCGGCCGAATGATGATGGGTGCGTGAGGACATTCAGAATAGCGCAGACCTGAATGCTAAGCCGCGTGTGCAGTCCCTCGACAACCGTCTCTTCGTCCAACTGAACGCCAGCCGGAAGGTCATGGGCACGTTGCGCGGCTATGATACACCTGGTTATCTCTTCGTCCAACCGAACAGCAGCCGGAAGGTCATAGGAGTGTTATACAACTACAATGTGCATAGTCATCTCTTTGTCCAACTGAACGACAGCCGGAAGGTCATATGAGTGTTGCGCGGCTATGATACGCCTGATCGTCTCTTCTTCCAACCGAACGGCAGCCGGAAGGTCACAGGAGTGTTGCGCAGCTACGATGTGGGGATCTATCCTTTCGAAATCAGCGGACTTCAATGCTAATCCGCCTGCGCAGTACCTCGACAAGCGTCTCCTCGTCTCACTGAACGACAGCCGAAAGGTCATAGGCGTGCTGCGCGGCTACGATGTGCGTGATCTATCCTTGGAGGGGAAGAGCAAGGGTTGGCAATAATTCTGACTCTCTTGCGCCTAGGTCTTCCTCAACATAGTTCTAAACGAAGCCGTGGAGGAGGAAGAGGGCGGGGAGAAAGTGACAATCGGCATGGTGGTAGATTACACACACCTCGTGAGGGTTCATCGCTAACGTTCTCAGCAGGGTGTACCATGATTCCAACACTCACTAGGCTGATCCAATATTCATAAAACCCTGTGGTGTCGGGATGAACGTGGAGGCATTGGAAAATTGGCGAGCGGGGCTCGGTCCAAGGATGATCGGTCCGCTCGCTGCGGAGAGCGAGTTCTTGTGGAAGAGGTACGGATATCATATCATGGCATGGTTCTAGAGTTTGTCTGGGGGTACTATGGATGAGATTTCACGTGCGTGGCCGGAATACACAGTTGGTTCGCGTCTCGATGCATGGCGGACATAAAACAACAATGAAAAGCCGAATCAACTTGAAAACCAAATCTGGGCTATCGTCGTTGCAGAATTTTCCTCGCCATGTTCATAACCATGACTGGCATCGAGGAGCTGGCGTCCAGTGGGCTTAGAGATCTAATCGACTTCTCCCAGGGCGCTACCCCAGCCTCTGGTGCATTAATATGAATCGCGTCGATATCATTCTCCAAGATGACATGGTCCGCGGCCTCCTGCAGCTGGGCGCGAATAGAGTTAGGACGGGATTTGATGCGGATGTTTTCAGAACCAGATCACAAGCATGAAAAAGCCTAGCGGGTTTCTCCTAGAACCGCTTCCCGTCCCACGGCTTGATGGCATCCAAATGGAGCAGAGCGATGAGCATTTTGTGGAACCGCCTCGCCCTATCCAAGCCGAACAACATGGCGGCGCTAGGCGGCATGATGAACGAAGCGTTTCTTGCATCTTTGCCGCAACCTCCACGACTTCATAACGCCCAAAACTTCGCCGAGGACTACGGGAACATCATGGTTTGATTCTTCGAGGAGATTTTAGTGGTCTCCTGTCCAAATTGAATGTGATGCTACTTCGGGATTAGCCGCCTGTGCTCAATTAGGGATGACGACGGAGAAGACGAAGACGAGGGAGAGGCGGAGGAGAGCAAAGTGGATAAGACGCAGAGAATACGGATGGCGAAGAAAGAGAGTGAAGACTCTACTAGGTCGTGGCATGAAGTCGTGCAGAGAACGGTTTGATGCCGCTTATGTTTCCTTTCTTTCTGTTTCGACATCCCATCCCATAGCTGCGCTCTCCGAAATCGCATCTAGATTGGACAAAGCTAGTAGTGTTTAGTGTTTACGCATTCCCTTCTTCATACTCATCTTGTTTTTCTCTCTCCGTTCTCTTTCCTCTCTCATTTAATGGGGGATGCCGTCCAGTGCAGTTACTCCACTCTCCACTCCGTGACCCAAAATCGCTCATGACAAATGCACCACTCAAACTAAGCCTATGGGACATGATAAATGCCAACTATCTAACGCCTTCAGCAGTGCCTTGAGTATGGGAGGCTACTAAGCGATAACGGAGATGTGCTATTAGCCGCACCATTCTAGGGAGCCTCCGTGAAGACAAGGCGTTGGGCTGAGCAAACCATCTCAACTCATCTACCTTGGGGATTGAGACATGGAAGTGATGCCGTGGAGTATGATCACCTTACAACGATTTGAAGGTCCCACTGGCCCTCCGACATCGCAAAAGGGCGAGCAATCCCGCTGCGGTTTTGAGCCTGTTTGAAGCGGGTATGATTGTATTGCTTCTTTCTTACATGCAAATTCCGCTGCATTCGTCATCGACTAAAATTGAGCCCTCGTTCAGGACAGTTCTGACGACGGGAAGGCACTGCTGGGAGTGTTCACTACATTCAACTTGTGGCTCAAACGCGCCAGCGAACTGTTAGTATACAAGACATAGATCTATGCCGGTCATCAATAAAGCCCCTCTCGAAGATCATCCTGGAATGCTGCAGAATCCAGGCCTGAGTGATGCTACCTTGGTACTGACGTTCGAAAAGGTGTGAAGCACCTTGAAGTTACAGGTATGATCGCAAACAAGCGATGACGATGCGCGTATTCGCCATTCGTATAGGGAAAGCACCGACGGTAGTGCCCTAGACGGGTCAACCCCACCAACATGCTCCCCACAACCCACGATCCCCAACCGCAGCCTCCAAGGTGGGACGGCTTCAAGATCTCTCATCGGATGTCTAGCAATCAATACACATAAGCTGCGAGATTCATCGAATCTACAAATTAAAGGTTGAGTGGCGCAAAGGTAGCGCACCCGTCCAGTCTAATATTAGCCACTGGCTGGGTGCCGACGGGAGGTTGCGGGTTGAGATCCTGCCTTGATTGATCCCGCAATTTCGGCGAATTTGATACGAATGTCAAATTTAGTCTTTCACTCGATTGGCGTATGCTTGAAGCTATTGCAGAGAGCGTGGCTCTGTCTGCATCATTATCTCCCTTGTTTTTGCCTTTAGGATACTAAAGATGTGGAATTTCGGACAGACATAGCCATCGTGAATAGCGAAGTATGCTCTACGCAATCTTAGACCAATTCTTTAGAAGCAGGGCAGCGGAGTCGCACATTCACATTTCAAGCAATGAATACTAACTATAGCCTCAGCGTCTTATAAATCTGGGGGCGTTACCTGCTAATTTGATCTCGTTGAAGGGGGTTACTAGCGAAAAAAACCAAATACCGATCTCACCGCAGTGCTATGATATCACATTTTTGACCCGAGATTTGAGACTGTGCTTGATTGAGAGTCTATCTGAAGGAACCACTATTCTCTAGAGGAAGAGTCCGGGGAATGTGGACGGCAACGAGGCCGAACGACGCCCAACGTATCTTGTACGTGCGCCGAACGTAGATAACCTCCAACCGTTTTCGTCTAGGCAGGCCAGAGGGAGTCATCGGCACAGGCCTCGATGTTAGCCCTTGCCGCCCAGCTAGATTGCGGAAAGATGCCTAGAACTACCGGCAGGATTGTGTCCAAACGCCGGCAACGCCGTGCGACGGTGGCCGCATCCAAGCCTGCAGCTGGGCGCTGGCCCAGGCCGTGCAGCCTAGTCACCTCGGCCTCGTTCTTGGTGTATACGCCACCGTAGTCGCCTTCGAAGCCAACCATCAGGTTGCGGTTCAAATTAGCCACATGCGCGCCGACACCACCAGCGAGATTCTCCAGGTAGTCAGCGAGGCCACTGAGGAGGAAGTCAGAAGCCTGATCCCAGCTGTCGTTGACCTTTCCGGCAAAGACGAGTCTTCCGAACTTTGGTGACGACTCGAGGAGGGCGATTGCCTCCTGGGCTTTGCTGATGTTGGACTCGAAATTTGGAACGACTACTTTCTGAATCTTGCCGGCGGGCAGAGTGGTGGGCTTCGTTGCCGAAGCCGCGGGCTTGTAGAGACGAACAATATCCGCCCAATCTCCCTCGAAGTGTGACACCAAGGCCCAGAAGCGGCGCTCCACCTCCCCAGACTCAAAGAAGCTCTTGATGCGCAACATGGTTCTGTAGCTGATGACAGGCGTAGGATCTCCAGATACGGTGAGAATTGAGGCTCCCGGGCTGGTCTTGACGTATTGCAGGATGCCGACCTTCTCCTTGCGAAAGACTTCGTTCAGGATCATCATGCGGAGCTCGGCTGCCATTTCGCCGTGCCAGGGAAACGGGATGCCTAGTCGTCGGATGAGGAATGCAACCTGGTGCTGCATTAGCTTGGAACTCGTCTTGGACGTTGAACTGCAGGACTTACCGCGTCGATGATATCAGAGGCCGCCATATTGGCTTTCGAGGAGCGGCCGCGGCACTTCGCGCTGCTCTTCCTGCTGCTCTTCGCACTGCCCCGCTTCGAGATATGCAGGATCGGAGCCCCCTTGGACAGTTGGCGGTGGAGGACGGTCTCTCTCTTGCGGTACACGCTGGCGCTGAAGACATGTCCCTTCGCAGTTCGGCCGCGGACGACACCTGCGGACTCTGTCGACGACTGGTACGTATTAGGCCAAGCAAACTCGCAACTCTCGTCCTTGATAGTACGTACGGTGGAGGCCGGTTGTTGCGGAGCCAACTCTTCTTCACGACCTTCAGCGATGCCCTCGACGACGCCCTCGGCGGCGCAGGTTGGTGAGGCCATGCTAGAGGCTGACATGGCGGGTGTGCGGAGAGTGGCAGGCTTGTACAGGTGTGGGGGACGTGGCCGTCGCAGGGAGGAGGCTGAGTAGAGAGAGGGGTGCGGGACTGGACGAGGAGTTTGAGCTGGACGAGTGGTGTTGAAGTTTCCGGGCGCGTGTCGGTCACTGATCCCCCGAGACACGAAGCACTCGGTATGCCGAGAACACTCAACGGACGCCGTGAAGAGTTACATGAACTGGACCAATGCCGATTTCGGCGACCAAATGTGCAAGCTACAAATAGCGTTGGGCAGGCAACTACGGATACAAGGGGTTCACTCAATAGCATGATCATTATCTCAATGGTAAAAATCGAGCTGCTCTGCCTCGATAAGTGTGGTCAAATTTTGGGTAGAAATTGAGGTGTGGAGTAGCCTCGAGGGTTACTTGACAATGTGCAGCTGCGTTGTGTTCTGAGCAGAGGGTCACATTGAATGCAATAACCGTCAATAGTCTTACGTCGGTCAGACAAGAAGGTTCATTCCATTTCTACTTCAAGAAATCTCATCGCCCCAACAATCCATATGCTCAGCGAGAACAGAGCAGCCCCGCCTAAGCTCAACTCCTCGTCTTAAGTCTCCTGCTTTGAAGCAACCGTACCCTGGGGGAAGCGTGGAGACTTTATAGAAGTATCTCCGCATGGATACTTATCCAGCCCTCTTGCCCTTCCCCCCTTGTAAATATCCAGGAAAAGCAAAAAGGCTCCGTCAAGCCGCTGAGTCTGGAGGACAATAGTCTGCTTATCTAGTGGTTCCCTCGAACTCTCCCCTGGAATGAGCCTCTGCGCTACCCCAGCCTCATACTTCGTGTAGATATCGTCGTAGTTGGTGTCATAAGCGATCTTGCCGTTCGCCTTGGGGGCTCCAAGTATACGCCTATGGCCCCGATAAAGTCCTCGATATAGCCCTCAAGTGTACTGTTGATGAAACCGGAGTCGCAGAAGACTCGAGTGCTGCCGTCTCTGGTGTTGCCTGCGAAGGTGAGAGTCTCAAAAGCAGCGGAAAACTCTAGTAGCGTGAGCGCTTGGAGTACTTTCGTAATCCCGAACAACAACATTCTTAATCATCTTCGCAGGGAGAGTTTCGGCTGGGTTGGCGGAAGCTATAGGCATATAGAGGCGAACGATGTCTCCGCCCAATCACCCTCGAAGTGGGTGACCATGGCCTAGAAGCGGGGCTTGACGTCTGCGCGCTTGAACTTCTTCGAAATTCGGAGGAGTGCCCTGTAGGCGATGACTGGACTGGGGTCTCCGCCTATGGTGAGAGCAGATCTACCGGAGCGAGTGGTGATGTATTTCAGCGTTCCCCCACGAGCCGTCGGAAACAGCTCATTGAGGACCATAAGCTGCAACTCCGCAGGCAAGTCAAAATAGCGAAAGGGGAGGTTCAGCAACCTCGTTGCGATCACAATCTGGTATAAGGTCAATCTCGGTGCCCTTCATAAGTGTTCGGTGTGGAATGTACGCACCGTGCTGACTACCTGGGAGCGGGTGAGGGAGATCTTTGAGGGACTGCCACGGTGCTTAGGACCAATCTTCAAGACGCGCTTCAGGCTGGGGCCAGTCACCGCGCCAGAACAGTGACGACACGGCCGTGCTGGCCGAGGAAGATGTTCCGCTTTCTGTATATGCTGACGACCAGGGGTGATCCGCCGGTGATGGGGTAGAGCCTATAGTCACGGCGACTGGCGGCGGTTGCGGTCTTCATCCTTGGCTATCGCTTGTATCAGCTTGACGAGTCCCCTGACTTAGTGTTGGGCTTTACGTACGGTAGGAACCAGCGACGACTTCACCTAGGTCTCGTCGGCGGCCGCCGTCTTTTGCTGGCACTCTCCTTTGACGAGTTGGTCTCGTTCAGCTTGCGAGCTGTCCTCCATCCGGGCGAGCTTGCGCATGAGGGAGTCTCGGGGGTAGTTGTTGAAGTTGACACCCGCAACATTGGTGTCGTCAAGGGCACTAGCTCCACCAGCTCTTCCGCGGTCATTGTCTCGTCCTCCGCCTCTATCGGCATGCAGGCGAGGGGAACTTCGTCAGGGCCTTCGGCGGCGGAGGCGGACGGGTTTTTGGACAGCATGGTGTGTGATGAGCAGGTCGATAAGGCGCTGGGGTGGAATGGAGGAGATCCGCCAGTGCATGCGTAGAGAAGACAGAGCAGAACATGATCTTTTCTGCGGGGAGAAATGTGAGCGGGGGTGGATAGTGGAAGGTGAAGGCGTTGAAGCTGGCGCGATTCAACTTTCGGCACTGCGTCACTCACGGGTCGGCGGACAAAGCTCTCGGTATGCCGATGAAACTCACGATAACAGACACCACGTTATACTACACGAAGTAAGTTTAGTAATGAGAAGTAAACGCTTAAGCAACGGATTGCTGTCGATGACATGAACTACCATTGAAGTCAGGGGGTACACTTAACCGTAGGACTGTTCGGTGTGAGTTCAATCCTGAGCTACAAAGTCTTGGAAGAAATGCTGGACGCGTAAAGAAAAGGTTGAGATTGGGCGGGCTGCGCTGGGGGTTGAGCATTCGCGAAAGTGCGCGCTGCTACGGTCAAGCGGGCTTGCTCGAACACTATTGAAAAGTCGAACTAGAGAGGATACAGTCTGGTGTGGAGGTGGAGGGGCTCTTGACGACACGTGAGTACTAGTCTGAGCTCAGATTGTCAAAACAAAGCCCCACTCTGGAGGTATATATTTCCAAGAAATTCAACGCACTTCGCCTTCGGGCATTTGGTCAATTTGAAGCGATACAGAGAAGATTAGCCTGGCCCCTGCACTAAGGATGACACGCTCTATCAAAGAGTAGCTTCAAAAATTTTTTTGCACTTTGTTTCCCGTGTGGTAGGACCTGGTTCGAGTCCTGAGGGTACTACTTTTCTTTTTTTATATCTTTAGACGCCACGACACCTCCACACGTCTGATGTCACACCAAAGAGTTCTGCATTGACACGGCACATAGTGTCAAGAAGTAAAAATTGCCTTCGTATCTCCTGTCTTACCTGCAGTTCAGTGACGGAGGCGTCGCCGGAAGTTCCCCGTCACAGCGTAGTCTCGAGCCCTCCGCAGCCCCTTCTCGTTCTTGTAGGCCGCCGCACGGGCGGCGAAACAGTGCCTCTAGGTCTATTGCTTAGGCCACACATCGGTGCGCTACGTTGTCGCCTCTGTGATCCAGCTCACGAAGTTCTTCCAATATCTCTCTTCCCTTCGGTTGACACATCTCGCACAGGTGCAAAGTGCCCGCTTACGACGACGTACGACCTCATTTCCATTTACGAGCCACAATCAAGTGTTGATCATTAGCTGAGACGAGCGCTGCATCGGTCCACCACTGCGCGCTGAGAGCGACCTCTGCGCGCAAGCCGGAACCCGGCATACGACCACCCTCCGCCCGTTTCCTTCATACCCAAGTTCATCCTGGCATACCCGCCCATCAGGTCCGCTGCGATGAAGTCTCAGGTGTTCCTGAGCGATAATGGAGGTCGCATGGGTTCTGGAAACGTGATAAAAGCCGGCGAAGCCTAAAACACTATGTCTTCGGTCGCCAACGGCAATGGCAATTGCGCACCTGCCGGCCAGCGTGACAGAGCGCGACTCCCTTTGCAACTCGAGCGCCGTCCAGCTAAGAAACAGAAGAAGTTTGGGAGAAGCGGCGTAGCGTGTCAAAAGAAGGCCACCCTAGGAAATGTATGTCGAGCCCCCATTCGAATGCTTGTCCAGTCAAGGGTGTTATAAGCTACATTTTGGATCAAGTCGCCCGAAGTGAAGGCCTCTCTCAAAGCCGAAGGCTCCACGGAGGCGCTCCCTGTGGAACTGGAGCTCATGATGCTTGAGAATCTGTTCAAGAAGATGAAGGGCGCCACGCCTGAATGCACATTACTCGAGTCCAGTTCTGGTGTCCGCTCTGCCCTGACCCTTTCTGGAGACTCAGCACTGGTGGCTACTTATCGCACCCTTCGTAGGATTCGTGGACTGTCTCCTCTTGTCAACAAAGTGTTCTTCAAGACTGTAGGTCCTTTTCGTGGCAATTGGAAAGACATCTTGAGGCTGTACAAGAACAAATCGGTACCAAACGCTGCAGCAAATACCATTCCATGGGAGCACATCGGCAAGGACATCCTCGAGGATGTTCCGTTCAGCTATATATACGCTGCGTCCGTCCTTAGCTATCTACAGCACGCTACGGGCTTGCAGGCCGTCGTCTTCGCCAGCTGCAGCTCCACTTCGTCTTGCCCAGTAGCCCTAGACTCCTTCTGTGGCCTGCAGATTGGCCGCATCTTGTCCATCGTCGCAAGAATCGGCTAGCACCTCAGTCCTTTGCGTCAGACGGGCAAGGAGTAAGCTTCGACGCAAACTCCAACAATGTCTACGTCCGTTACGAGAGCAAGGTCGCCAGGCTGCGTGATTTGGGCTAGACCTACACCGAGCCTCTCCCAAGATCGACAATCGAGCAGCGCCGTGTGCGGCTTAACGACTACTTTACAAACTTATGGACGGGGTTCAGTCGGTCGTGAAGACGGGATGGGGCACCGAGCTGCAGTCCGTCTGATCAAGGCGGAACTGTCACACTATTTGCAGTCCTGACTATCTGATGACCTGGTATTCCCTTCTTACCATCATCTATCCAGATTATGAATCACAAGGTCAAAGCGAGCGGCCTGCGCCATTATGAGCCAAGTCGAGGACCGTCCTCCTATGTGAAAAGTTTGGCACTGTAGGAGGAACTCGTCCCACCCCAATGTAATAGGTGCGGCCTATCAAAAGTGTTTTCCCAGCGTGGGGACTGCTCCTAAATCTCCCTTGCTCCCCGCATTCTTTAACTAGATACTCTAAGGCGTATGTGCTCCCATAATAGAAATTGCTAGGCTCTTTCTGCCACCTGAAGTGAAATATCTAAGCACCCTCCTAGCGCCGCTGCCAGTAGCCTGTACGCCCATAAAATGACTAAATATGTGCCACTACCTCTCACTCCTCCTAGCCCGCCTCTATGAAGTCAGAAAGTGGGGCCCGGCCGTCCTAATCAGGCCAAGCGCCCCTCGCTTAAAAGGCCGCTCACACACCCATAAAGACCTTGTCTTGCCCCACCGACCTCCGTCTTCATCATCACGCTTTCCACAGGACAGCGAGGCAGGCCTTGTAAGTCAAACGGCACCAGTTTCCACCACTTCAAACGTACTGACAACTTCCCAGCTTCATTTGGAGGTGGCCGACCTCTCTGAGATGGGTGGACGCAAGCATCCCTCGCACGGAGTAGCCTTGGAGCTGCTTCGTGCGAGGGTGCTTGCGTCAAGTCTCTGCTCTCGCAGTGATTACTCCCCAAACTCAAAATTTCACTTCCAACAATGGCTACTCCAGGACTCTCTGATCTCGAGGCCCTGCTCGAGGAAGCTGCATCGGCTGCGGCAGCTCTCGACCGGGAGAAAAATTCTAGCTCCGTCAAGAACGAACATCGAGACAGTACGCGCTGCGAGGATAACCGTGACGGGGATCGCGCCCATGGTCGTGATCGTAGCCGTAGCAAGGTCAAGAAGGAAGACGGCGATGTCGAAATGAAAGATGCTCCTCAGAGCGGTTGAGCGGTCTAGGCCGACCTCTCTGAGATGGGTGGACGCCAAGTACCCTCGCACGAAGTAGCCTCGGAGCTGCTTCGTGCGAGGGTGCTTGCGTCAAAGTCGAGATCACCGTCGCGATCGTAGCCGCAGCAAGGTCAAGAAAGAAGACGGCGATGTCGAAATGGGAGACGCTCCTCGTAGCGGCGGAAGCGGTGACTCTCACCATTCCAATAGGCACCGCTCACGATCCCCACGACGCAAGATCGCTAAACCCCAACGCGGCGACTTCAGCTTCATGGCCCCAACAAGCTTAGTCCGATCGACACTATGGTTCAGCGCCAGCGGGTCCTCAACCAGAACAAGCCGCTGCCACCGAAACCCCTCTAGCAGTCCTTCGCTCAGCTCTAGCGTACGAGTTTGGCCCGATGCCGCAACAGTCTCAGTACAGCACTCCTGCCTACGCACAGTATGATCCTTGGCTGGTTCCCCGCTCTGCAACCGACAACTCTCCGGCATCGGCGCCAACCACGGGGCCGACGAGTCCGGAGTACTATGGTGGACCGGGTTTCTGAGCCGCCCCAGGACTCGTTCGGGTAGATAAAGATCCATGGCGTCTCTGGCAACTAGGATGTTGACATACCCGAAGATATCCCCCGAGCAGATCCATGTACCTCCTATCCAGCGTCGATACTGTCACAGCGGGATCACTTCACGCCCGCCAAGTACGCCCCGCGGAACACGTCCTTTCGAGGCACTTGGGATCTATTTACCGATCAAGCGATTTTTACTCACTCAGCGAGCAAGCCGCCATCAACGCCAAGGTGCGCTTCAAGCACGCTTTCCAGGACACCGTCGCCGCGTTCCAGGCGGACCGCGCGGCGTTGCTGGAAGAGGGGAGGAGGACGGGCAGTCCGATCATTCCGGTGGAGATAACGAAGCGGATGATGTAGACGTCCTTCAAAGACGTCGGCATCGATATGAACGACAATCACAGCACTATCAACCCTGTCTATGACATCGAGCCGATCGAGAAGATTACCGATGCCTATGTCGACCGGTATCTCTGGTCCTAGGCTGATCAGCGACGTCTCTTTCCTGCCTGGATCAGGCCTTCGGACTCGGCAGTACCACCTCTGCTGACCTACAAATGGGCCCAAGGCATCAACAACCTCGAGATGGTGTGGGAGTATCAAGATGGCGGGTGCAACGGCATTCGGTACCTCTCTCTCTCTTTGTCGGTGTGGGGCTATCTTGTCGCGTCCCATTGCTTTCCAAAATCTACGAGAAGTTCGATCTAACATGGCTGAATCGACTTCTGCGATTGATCATGGATCACAATCTGGCTGGTTACATCACATCGAAGGACAACGTGCAGCCAGACTGCAAGGACATGGACCATACCAACAGCTATGGCATGATTCGAGATCTGCAGTTCTCCGCCAATGGCCTAATGCCAACTCCACCGGAAAAGCGTCATTGCGGAAATCACGAGCATCGCTGATCGACCTTGCGGGGCACGTATCTGGGGCAGCTGCCGGAGCCACCGCGCATCTCGACGCGCAAGGCGCATGTCTGGAGTCTCGGGACATGCGTGCACTACCTAGCGACAGGCAAGGCGCTGGTGGAGGAGCAGCAGGAGTCCATCGGCTGGAAGTGGGCTAGTTGAAGGAACAAGAATCCGACGGGCGTGCATGCGAAGGATAGGCACTACTGGGATAAGCAGTGTCCGCGGAAGCCGACGCATATCAATGTCTCGAAAGAGGCGCAGCTTGAGGAGGACGTGGAAAAGGGAAGTTGAGGCAACAGGATAGCGATGAGCTGGACAAGTGGATGATGAAGGCGTTGAGTATGAAGGCGACTCAGCGACCTTTTGCGGAGGATCTTCTGAAGGGAGTGGAGAAAGACGGGAGGAAGTTGATTAAGAAGATGTCTAAGGCGAGTGAGGTATTGCTGTGACTCGCATTGCCTGCGGTGGCCGACGCATGTCAATGTCTTGAAGGAGGCGCGGCTTGGAGCGGGCATGAAGAAGAATAAGTTGAGGCCGGAGTATAGAGGACAGTGAATGGAAAGCCCAAAACCATAAAGGCGGCGATCGAGATTGAGGCTGTAGGAACATCGAGCCGGCGTGTACCACGTAAGGGAAAGAGGATGAGGGTCCGTTGAGATCCAAACGCTCAGTGATGAAATTAGACTGGAGCTTTTGGAAGGTAGACTAGATGGAGGCACTCGTGAAAGGTCTAGATTTCCTCTTTGTAAATCTAGTGAACTTGCAAAACGTGACTATGCTTAGGTGATACTCCTGGAACATAATGCCACTGTCAGGAGTAACCCAGCTAATAAGTAGCTGATTAGTCAAGAGGAGGCCCGATATCTAGCATTTTAACCCCTACATCTTGTTTTCTGAAGAAAAGGCTAGGCACACAGTTATTCTCCTGCTTCAGCGACACTCTTGGAAGCCTAACACCACTGTTAGAAGCACTTTAGCTGGAAAGTAGCTGATTGGTCAAGAGGAATATGCTCAGTGTAAAATTTACTTACTAAGGGGACGTTATACCTGATTTGGACGTCACGTGATTTTTTGGGGTTGTTGGTGGCCGCGTGGATTGAACGCCCCATTCAGTCCACTCCAATCCATGTCCATCATCGCAAACACTGACAACACCGCACCACCGAACCTGCCAGATCACGATTCATCTCCCGGTCAGTAAGCCGACCGGCCAGGAGGAGTACTCGGCCATGCGTGCGAGGGGAGGACACGCGGACCGGCAAGGGCTTCCTGCTCTTCCACTCGATAACAGATCCACAGTCATTCGAGGAGATCATGACCTTGCCGCAGCAGGTTCTACACGTCGAGGACAAGAGACAAGGGCTACTTTCAGATGATTGCACCGGAGGACGAGACAATGACCGCAGAAGAGCCGGTGGAGCTAGTGCCCTTGACGACACCGATGTTGCGGGTGTCAACTTCAACAACTACTCCCGAGACTCCCTCATGCGCAAGTTCGCCCGGATGCAGAACCCACAGACCGCTGGCGCCAACTGAAGATGTGAAGGAAGAGTCCAAGGAGTAGGATTGAGCTAGTGCCATCGACGACACAACAACTACAATCGCATGTTCTGGATCGGCCGCTGGCACCTGGAGACGTTCGTCAGCCTTTGAGGTATCGCCTTCGGGCCTTGGACCAGACAGGGTGGGTTGGAAGACCATGTTTGGGCAGCTGAGGAGGACCGCCAAGCTGACCAGGTACAAAGAGCATCTGTTTCGTTTGCATTCCACTTACTAAGAGTCTTGTAGCCGCTACCCCAGCACAGTCACAGCACACATTCACTCCTGCATCCTTCGGCCGCTCGGTCTCGTCAGCACACCTTCCTGCCTCTTCATCGGTGAATGCCGAACTCCGAACTGAGACCAGATCTTGATCCACCGTGCGGATGTGGCTTCGAATGTCTCTTTCTATGTCGACTCTCAATGTCCTCAAATTCCTTGAATACGAGAAGCCTACTCCCATCTAGACGCAAGCCATTCCTACTATCGAAGCCGGCAGAGTCCTCAACTCCGTGGCATGGCTCCTCGCCACCTCGTTTGCGTCTTCGCATGCGATGCGGACCGGTGAACGCTCGCTGATTGTCCACTCGATAACAACCAATAAGGAGATTGTGACCTTCCAGCAGCAGATTCTACGAGGACAGCTGGCAGAGCTCAGGACAAGCCATGGGCGGTTAGTGCTGAGCGAAGCCAGCCCACTAGATCAGAATGCTTCAAGCTCTTCGAGAGCTTGACTCATAGGAGACACAAACTGGCGATAAATGGTCACCCGTCTCGGCGACTTCTGTGGGTTGCAGGACACGCCTGCGTGCGGGGAAATACCGATTGGCACGAGAACATCGAAGAGGAGCTAGACCGGGACCTCATCCGCCTCGCGAACCTAGCGAACGATGATTTCCAGAACGACCCTTCCCTCACCGCCGCCGAGCACTACCATTGCCGCTTGTTGCGCTTGATCTCCAACTCAGACTTGTGGAGCTCGGGAGAGCAACGGGACGTGTGCGCCAGGTAAGCGCAACCCACAGGGTCAGAGTGCTGCAAGCTTGGTGTGAGCTTAAGTCCTGCTTTCGTCCCTTCCATACAATTCCCTTACGCCAGTCGGCCCTTTCATGCCTCATGTGCCGCGGGACATGCTAGGCGTGAGGGAGAATACCGATTGGTACGAGAGGAATTAGAACGGGGGCCTCCCTCACCTGCCTTGCCGAACTGGCCAGCGATGATTTCCAGAACGGCCCGTCTGTCACTGCCGCCGAGCACTACCATGGCCGCCTGCTGCGTTTGATCTCCAACTCAGACTGGCGGAGGTCGGGAAAGCCCAACCAACCCACAAGGTCAGAGTGCTACAAATCTTTGAGTCAGGGAAGACTCAACCAGCTAGCTGTGCTACAGGCTCAGGAGAAGAAAGCTACTCAGCCAGAGAAATGGTCTATCGAAAACCACCCAATTCTTGGCAAGAAGGCCGAAACCCCGGAAACCCCAACTGCCGACGTGCAAGTCATCAACACATTCAAGGTCAACGACATGGTGATGGCACGCTGGATCCACGGAGACCGTGCTTTCTACAAGGCGAAGATCACGATGGTTATGGGCTCCGCAGCAGCTCCAAGTTCCGCGTCAAGTTTCCTGACTTCAACAATGACACGGACAAAAGTCTAGAGTTGGCCGATATCAAAGCGTTGGACCCCTCAAAGAAGAGGAAGGCTGAAGAGACAACGGCACCAGCGCCAGTCCCTATCAAGACACCTGTCGCTACCAACGTCATCTCTGCGCCGGCCAGCGTCGATGTCAATCTCGCCTCTCAGGCCCGACAGGAGTCCAGCAAGGTCAGCGATGGCCCTCCCAGGCCCGCCAAGATGGCTCGCAAGGCGCCGCGGCGTTTGATCTCCAACTCAAATCGGCGGAGCTCGAGAGAGCTGTGGGTCGTTCGCGGTGGGCGGGCCCAACCCACAAGGTTAGAGTGCTGCAAGCCCCGTGTGAGCTTGGTTTACAGTCACTCAAACCGGCGCTACATGCTCCGGCGGGTGTGGCCCTCCGCCACCATGACTGAACGTGGAAGTCTCGCTGACGTCCGACCTACCATGGTCACCAACTACGAGTTTCAGGTTCTACGATCCAAGGTTCACGATATCCAGAACGTCTTCTCTGGCTTGCTCGCACACAACGGAGGGAGCGACAGCGAGGTAGACGAGTCGAGTGAGACTCTCGAAGTGCTCATGAAGCAGTACATCGGCAAGTGCGGCGGCCAAGCCCAGCGGAGGAGCATGAGCACCCTTTCGATCGTTTCCTCCCCCGATGAGGGCAAAAGGCTAGAGCTCGGGACACTGCTCCCTACTTATGGTGGAACTCGACTACCGACTATGAACGCGTCGCCCAGGGATTTTTCAATGCCGTACAGATATCCAATCCCGATGGATGAGCACGAGCACCCCTTTGATTCCTCGCCGCCAACCATGACTACCAGCAGAGCTCGAGAAAGCTATGAGCTATTCACGTTGGACAAGCTCAATGTCACCCCAACGCCGAAGTTAGGCTCAGCGATGACAGCGAAGTACCTCGCTCACCAACACGAGTATCAAAGCATCGTGATGACCTCGGGAATGGTGGCGTGCAATACGAATTGACCGAGAAGGAAATGCTAGATGCTGGGCTTAACGACGACACCATGTACAGCAGTCAAGGTCTTCCCTGATCGAGCCACTATGGAGATAGCAGGCCGTTCTCGTTAGCTCGCGCTAAGCCTGGAACAATGAGCATAAGAGCGAGAAAACTCATTCGTGAAACTAACTATTCTGCAAAGGCAACTTGACTGGATTGCCTCTCGGTACAGGAATGCGGGAGGTTAGAAGCAGGATGGCCGACTCCAGTATGATACAAATGCTAGATGCTGGATCTAATAACTACATTATTTGCAGCGGTCAAGAACTCTCGTAGTGGGATCTGTCGGGCCACTATAGACGGAGTAGGCCTTTGGTCATGCCATAGATTGTGGTTTTGAACGTTTAGACACCTAAATAAGTAGTGTGAGTGTTAGGCTCTGCGGTAATGAGAACCCTTAAGCCATATTCTGCGCCCTCCAGTGAAACTTACGTTCCGGACAAAGTGAGATGGCAATAATACTTAATTTGACAGAGATTACGCCGGCCCGGCCGGTGGTTTCGGCAAAACAAGGCAGCTAAGCGAGGCCTCACACCTTCATTTAAAAGCTCACTCCTTCCGCCCTCCGTCTCACCTTCATCACACTCCTCACCACCTTCGTTCCTGGTTTGTTGGGCTCCGAAACCTCCTCCACAAACTCGGAGACCCAGCGTTGCTACTTCTGCCCCATTTCTCCCCCAGCCCCTGGGAAGATATACCGCACTGAGGACCTCCAGTACAACCCTCCTAACCCCCCCGGCCACCACCGCGCGGTCCTGATCCTCGGAATCCCACACTTCTTCAAGCTTTTTGGGGTTCTTTCAAGCATCTCCACTGGCGAAATCGTCTCCGCGAGCCTCACAAACACTGGCCCAATCGCCGGCTTCCAGACGGCCCACATCGTCTTTGCGACCGAAGAGGCTGCCGTTGCGATGGCCCAGGGCGCACCACTGCTGGTCAAGAACTGACGTCTCACCGTGAGCCTCATCAACAGCCTCACTTGGCGTAGGAGCCGAGAGACGCAGGAGGGCGTTGAGGGCAAGAGGTGGACCCGCTGCTGCAAGAACCGACGCCTCACGGGAGCCTGATCAACAGCGCCACCTGGCGCATGACCCGTGAGATGCAGGAGGGTGTTGAGGGCGTGGCGGGATGGACCCGCTTCATGCGCGTTGCGGGTTGGTCCCGCTTCATGCGCATTGCGGAGCGGCCAGACGACTTCGGACCTGCAGACTTGGAACATCAACTCCGCCTGATGACGGGCGCGTGTGAGAAAAACCCAGCTCGCGCTACTGGCACGCGACGGGCAATCTCTGGATGGAGTTCCCATGCGGAAAGCCGCCATGGAGCACTTCGGGAAGTTGTTCAGGACGGTGGGCTCGATTGCTTGCGGAACGCCCGACGATTTCGGACCCATGACCTGGAGCAACAACTCTGCCTGATGACGGCGAGTGGGAGAAGAACCCAGCTCTGCGGTACCAGCACGCAGCGGGCGATCTCTGGAAGGAGTTCCCTGGAGTGGTGGATGCAAAGGCGGCAGCGGAGCACTTCAGGAAGTTGCTCAGGCCTATGGGATCGATTGTTTGCGGAACGCCCGGACGACTTCGGACCTTTATACTCGGAGCATCAACTCTGCCTGATGACGGGCGAGTGGAAGACAAACCCAGCTCTGCGGTACCGGCACGCAGCGGGCGATCTCTGGATGGAGTTCCCTGGTGTGATGGAGGCAAAGACAGCCGTGGGGCACTTCGGGAAGTTGTTCAGGCAGGTGGGCTCGGTTGTTGGATTTGCGATGGATCCGGCCATTACTGATCGAGAGAATGCGGAGAAGTGGGCGAAGGAGGCGGATGAAGAGAACGGAGGGGTCAATGGGTACGATGGGGATGGTGAGGAGACGGCGGTCCAGGAGGAGGCCAAGGTTGCGGGAGCTGAGGAGCACCCCCTCATTGAGTTCTAGGCGTACCGGACTGTGGAGAGAGATCTCTAGATTGAGTTCGCATGCCACTGGTTTGAGGAGAAAGCGATCGAGCCAGAATTGCATCCGGATCAACCTTGTCAAAGAGCAGCGGTGAGAGCTACGGCAGGTGCATGACACTTCTTGTATATAGCCTCACTTTCCTCCAGACCTCACCTTTTCCTCTACATCCTCATTCTTATCATCGAATACAACACGTACAGCCTCTACTCTTACCTGCTACGTGACAAACTTTGACTGCTCTAGGGCCAAGGCCGGAAGTTTCACGCGCCACCTCCATGACGTCCTTCGTCTTACAAAATGCCGTCGAGCGCATCCTCGTGCCGAACAGCAGCTGATGATCGCCTGCAGCCCCAAGACAGCGCCGTCATGCATCGAGCTTCCGCATGATCGTTCTCCTCGAGTGCAGCAATTCGATTTCCGCCGATCAGGGCTTGAGGATCCAGGCCCACGAATTAAACAGGGACGCTATCAAAGTTGCTTTGCAAGTCAAGTTCTAAAAACCCGAACGGGCACCGTTCACATCATAAGAAGCTCACTAAGAGTCGCACACACGTTGCCAAGACTGTGCGGAACAAAGGTGAACTAAAACGACTTGTGGAGGTGAAGCGTCAGTTCAGCAAGCAAAACTTTAACGAATATGCGGGCAAGGTCCTCACCAACATCCTGAAGAAGCAACATACCGCAGAGACTCACATGCTGGACTATTTGTTTGATATATCGAACTCACAAGCTTCGCAGAAAGAGGTGACTGCCAACTTCGCATTATCGATCTCTTTAGGAGTGGGGACTGCGAACACCACACTTCAGCAAACCCTGGATGCCCCACCGCTATCGGCAAAGCTATGTCCCACGTCATGTCAGAGGCACAGGCAATTGGGCCCGCTCGAATAGCCGTGGAAGAGGTGGCCGATACGACGAGTACAGCCAAGGCAACTTCGGAAAACATGGCTAGCGCGGTCGAGGAGGCTTCGCCGATGACGTTCAGAACGGAGGAGGATACCACCGAATCCATCTTCCTCCGCCCTTGCAAGCACCTCGCCGACATCATGCTCGACGCTCCAGGCGTTACCAGAGCCAAGGCTCCCGTTATAATCTAGTATGGAAAATCCCAAGAACAAGGTCGCGTCGCATGCGCCGTAATGAGTACGCAGGTTGCCCTGGGCAGTGTGTAGACCCGCCGGGGAAGCGGGCTGTTGAGGCTTTCCTGGAAACAATTAAGAGGTCGGAACTTGCTGAGTTACCAGTAGTAAGGAGGTTCGGAAGCTGAGGGAGCACCGTGGAAGGATTGTAAAGTTGGGAAAGCTAGTTGTTGGCGAAAGCAAAGCAACGGGTTAGAAACACGTCTGGGAAGCTTGGTTGCGATGGGGCATTGATCCCACTGTGTCTCTCTCAGTCAATTTGTCTATCCCGTTCTGCTCCTTAAGTAACTTGAGGACGCAGTATAGCGATGAGCTGGACAAGTGGATGATGAAGGCGCTGAGTATGAAGGCGAACCAGAAACCTTGTTCGGAGGATCTCTTAAAAGGGTAGAGGAAGACTAAAAGGAGCTGATTTGGGAAATGTCGAGAAACGATGGGCTTGTGGATCTCAAGATGAAGTGCGAGGCGGTGCTGCAAGAATCTAATGACCCGGATTCGGACTCGAACGACGATAGGGTTGTGGCAATGATGTTCGGCGAAGATGACTTGGATTTTAAGGAGGAAGACATAAATCCCTCTAAAAACTATCGGGGGACGAAGCCTAGTAGCTGCTGTCAAATAAGAACTTATTCAACCTCTGTGTTTGTCTTAATTTATAAGGCTTTAAATAACAAAGGGATATAGTAAGAGCTACTAAGAAATACACTTTACTAAACCTTTCGAAAAAGCACTGTTGTTATAAGACAAATGCTCAGTGCTCGCTCTGTGGTCTATGGTCCATGTAATAGTAATACAAAAGCTATCCAGGAAGTAAGGAAGACTGTAGACGCACCCTACGGGCCCAGCAGCGGGAAGAAACATACCAAGACCCTCTTAATACTGGCCCGAGGGATCTTAAGCTCGGCCCAGCGGCCCAGTCGACCTCAGTCGACCGGTTGATCACGCCACTTTCGCTAAGCGAGGGGGCTGCACAAGCTTAAAACCCACCGGCAGTTCTGCCACTCCAACCTCCATTACTCTCTCATCACCCCTTCACTCCGTCTTCACCTCGTCCTCACCTCTTCCTCACTCCACGCCCAGTCCTTCATCACACGCACCTCGACCACCTTCGTACTCAGGCACAGAGGCAGACAGGAACGAATCAGATCTTCACAGATTCGTCATGGCAGAGAAGAGAAGTCTGGCAAATCGCGCAACCGGAGCACACCTATTAGTCAGCAACGCCCAAATTGTCTGGAACCAAGTGTTCATGGATGTCAAAGTTGGACAGGTGGCTATCTCATTGGAGCAGATCACGAAGCTTGCTGAGAAAGATGCGAAGTGGCCAGCCTGCACAGACAAAGTTCTCTACTGGTTCGTCAACGGAGACGTTGAAGGTGATCCAGAAGCAACTTCGCAAGAGCTTGCCCCTTCGATGGAATACTCCAGTGGCTCTCAAACACCGTTGACCATGTGTGGCGATTTCAACTCTCTTCCACAACCGCCCCCGATGGCCTGCAAGTCGACCTGCCACGAGGGCTCGGATGCCGACGATGAGTACGAGCGCAGCGTCATCCGCCCGCCCGCTTTGCCGCCCGAGATCGAGGAGACCTTCTGCACAAGCTCGAACCTTAGTGGTTTCCAAGCATTTCTACGACCACCTCCATCCATTCGTCTACGTCGACACTGGCCTTGGCTGCAAGCTGGCCTGCCAGTCGTTCCTTGCCAAATTGCTCAAGAACCCAAGCATTGGCAAGGCGAGGAAGTACATTATGTTATTGAATCTGGAAGCTCCTTTCCTGGAGCATCCAGGCCCGAGATCCGCCAGAGCCCCATTCATGGAGCAGCACTTAGGACTCAGCACTGCTGAACTCCTTGACCCCATTCGTTTCGAGGGCACAGACCTCCACTGCCTGAAGAATCTCACGGTCGCCAATCGTTCAGCGGAGCTCGGCATCATCCTGATGCTCACCCCAAACCTCGAGACGCTCGTCCTGATGACCCCGCGCTATATGGACCCCAATCTTGCCCCGGCCAACGTCAGCACCATAGTCCACGACCGGCTGCGATCTCCCCACGGCAAAGTTATTAGAGAGATCTCTCTGAGTCAGGCTGTCTTCACACGATGGACTTTCACTATCAGTCATAGTTTCGGGCTTTTGAAGACCCTGGAGCTTTGCTTGGACGGCATCGGGGAGTTCCGTGGTGGCGTAGGCGAGGCCTGCCATCGGTACGTATTCCTGCATGCCTCCACCTTCTCGGCTTTGCTAATGTTCCTATAGATACATTCGCCTTGTGCGGATCTTCGAAGGCGAGTGGTGACTCTATGTCATCGGTTGCGAGGGCAGGCCGCAAGGCAGTCTTGTGTGCTCTGAGTGTGAAGGCGGAGGCAAGCTTTGGAGGAACGCTAGGACACATTGGTCTTTTCTGTACAGAGCTCACAGGATTCTGAGTAATATAACACCGAGTGTGATTTCATGTATCCTTGTACCTCTATGTGAGAATCCGACGCCCAATACTATGATAAGCATTAGCTGACCTGCCCAGTCGTGCGTTTGAACGGTAAGACCGCCAGTATTCTGCTCAGAAACCACTGCTAGCTACAACATCATTTAGATCTCCCTTAGTATTAGTCATACTCAGACGGACAGTCACCACGCGCACACTCCTCTTCGCTGCCGCAACAGCACCCATCCGGCCACAGACTGTCCTCTAGGCCTCTTTCGAACCCTCTTCCTTAGATGCTCCTCCAGCTGCCGAACCTTCCCTTTGAACCGCTCCCGGAACTCAAAGCACGCCACCACCCTCTCCTCTTTGATCAACAGCCTCATCCTACCCTCTCTGACCGAAAACATACCTTGCGACTAACTCCTCATGACACTCAAAGACACCATCCAAGCGCGCACTACACCCTGCCTCGGCCTGATCCTCCCCATTCCTCTCTTACCTCCGAAGCTCAACCAGCGCATCTGACCACCACAGGAGGAACCGATCCTCCAGCTACTTGATCCAACCGGAACGACACCATCGGCCCCACAGCCTAGATCCCAGGCCGCGTTGTCACAGACACCTCCCTAAGCCCCGCTGGCTTAAGTACCTACCCCGTCGATACCTCCAGGCTCACACAGAAGGAGCCAGCGGGCTCGTGCGTAGCACTTCCTACTTCACGATGCTTGTTGGTATCGAGCTGCTGGACTAACAGCTTGAGGTTGTTGAAGTGGGAGAAGACAGAGGTGTTGGTGTTGAGGAGGTGATGGTGTAGGAACCGTGGGAGTGGATGCCGCCGGTACTGACGAGGAGTTCGATGATCAGGGCTTGGAATCCTAGAGGGAGGCCGAGGAGGGAGACTGAGCGGCACAAGGGGAAGTCTGCTATCTTGAAGCTTGAGGCTTACAGATGGTGGCGCTACACACAGAGGTGGTGAGTGGGTTATTACAATAAGACAAGCGAGAGCTCTGTGGTAGCACAATGTTGGAATGTGAGGATTCGAGACGAGACCGGGGCAGTGAAACACCCCTTAACCCTCGGGTTTGGCGCGGAGGGTGCGTATATAACGCGTCATTCATATCTTCGCATTGCTGGTACCTGTGAATGCTCCAGATTGAAGTTTCACTTCCAACCCTGGCATACTTAAGACGCCCTCTCTCAGACCTGTTCCTCTCCACATTGTTCGTCTGCACTTCCCGCACCACATCCCCAACACCCCGGTCCCCAAGCAACCACCAAGACCCCCATCAAATTCCCTTATTCAAACTCCGTTTCTCCACATCTACAATGTCGCCACATCCACGCGCCCGAATGGCAAAGAAGGCAAAATCTCATCTTTCAAGCAACCGCACCCCTATCGGCGGACTTGGACAAGGAAAGTCCACGGCCGCAATCCGCCGCAAGCGCCGCAATCAGCGCCGCCGCTACCGCGAGAAGCGGCATCTTCGGCGAGAGGCCGCGGAAGCTTCGCCCAAAGTTCAGGAATCGGTCGAAGATACCATGATTGATGCCATGGAAGGTATGGATATTGAGGAACCTAGGTCTGCAGCCACTCCTGAGCACGTCGGCAGCGATTGGCTGGATCAAATGGCAGGGACTCTTTCTGACGTAGAATCTGAGACGGACTTAGAAGAGGACTGGGATGCGCTTGAAGCGAAGGCGAGAGGTGCAACTGACGCGAAGGAAGCAGGCCCTAGCCAGGCGCGCTCTGAGCGTCCCGGCATGTTTGGTCGTTTGATGGCGGAGGCCGCGAAAGCTCGACAGCTGCGATCTGCTAAAGATTCTGAGACCGAGTCGGACTTTGAAGCTCGGATATCGTTGGACGTTCATGAAATCATGGCGACTTCTCTCTATGAGGCGAGGAAATTGGGCACGGGTCCGACGAGGGGCTCGAAGGGTGAACTTGCTGCAGATGGAGATGCTGACATGGCGGATGAATCTAAGCAAGAGGAAGAAGGTAATGATTCAGACGACAGAACGGCTCCAGATGCCGAGATTGACATGGATGCCGGGCAGAATATTGGCACTGACTCGATGGTGCCGCTCTACGACGATTCCGAGATGGATGCAGAGGAAAACTCAGATGCTAAAGAAGACGAAGCAGCTTCTAAGGAGTCTCCCGAGCAGAAAGGTTCCATCAAAGACCCAAAGAAGCCTACCGAGCTTCTGGACCTCCCCACCGAGCTCTTAGGAAAGGTTACGGAGTACGCAGTTGGGGCTGGCGGCATAATCTCTCTCTTGCGCAACGAGGTGGAGCATTCAACGGGAGAAGGTACATGCATGAGCGCAAAGCACGGCCGAGGCGACTCGAATATCAGCAACTATATGGCCCTCCGCCTTGTCAATAAGCGCCTCAAGGAGGTCGCGGATAAGAGCATGTTCGTACACGCCCTGCTAGAATTCGAAGATCTGGACATGTTCAACACCGTATTCGACAACATGAGCGAGGAGATCCGCAACGAAATCCACGCCGTCGTTTTCTATCGCGTCGAAGGGGATTCACAGGCACTGAGAGAGAACGTTAAGAGCTTGCCGAATCTACGAAAGATCTGCTTCGCACCTCCCCAGGTGGACGCTAGCCTCTTCAATCCAAGCGACTTCTTCGAACAGGAATGCCGAGTTTACATGCAGACGGTATTAATCTCAATGATGCACCCGATTATCGATCTTCGCCGCAAGCACGGAAAGCGCAACGTCGAGCTCCGTTTCTTGGCAAATTGGAGGAACGAATGGGAAGACTATGAGGAGGTTGGTCGCCGTTCCAAGTTGCTTGGGCAATCTGAGGTTGAGCCGCTTTCTTCCCATGATATTCAGCAGATGTCGTGGGTGCTGAAAGAAGACTTCAAGCAGTTAATCGTTATGACAGAGCGGCGCGATTTAGAGTTCGATATTGAGATTAACGAGAGTGTTATTCGCGATTGGGTTGATGAGAACACCGAGACTAGGGAGTACTTGGCTCAGCATGAATAGCGGCAGAGGGCATTGAGGCAGTTCGTATCGCTCGGAATGGGCTCTCGGCTGGTGCGTTGATAAACGGCGTTATGGGTTATACATTGCGTTTGGGTTTTCGATGGGCTGCCAGAGGGCCATAGACGCCGTCAACAGGTGTTCAGATCTGCTACAATTGTAGTAAAGTTCAAAGAGTCCAATAAAGCGTGAGTGAACATGATACGATTTGAAATTGAGTGTTGAGAGTATGATATGGAGTTCGAGTTTCGACTGTATGAACGTGACATTGCATCTAGGCTTTTCATAAAACGCCAGAGGATCTCGACCAACTCCATTAGGGCTTCAAATTTGCAAAGGTAATGACACGGTTTGAAGACTTGTTCAAGACTGAGTTCCAACGGTTAGGTTCTAGCGAACCTCTAGTTCTGATGTTGATCTGCGGCGGCGGATCTTTGTAACACATATGAGGTTTTGATAGACAGACACCGGACCTTATATGGTTACACGAGGCGTACAAATTGGAAATATTCGTGATGCAATTCAAACAAACGTTCAGGCATAGTAGAAATCACTCAAATATAAATGTGCATCCAGCCCAGAGCCAGATTTACAGTTTGCGGACTTTTGCAATACATCTGCATTTTTGATAGTGAGTCACGGGACCTCGTATAATATAATGAGTTATGCAAATTCGCAACCTACAAAGCTCAATTCACATGCATATCAAACTGTGAGACTCGTTGACTTAACTTGTATTCTCTATCCGCTGACCAACAGGGAACCGGCCCGAATCCACCCCGGCATCACCAAAACCCCAGCCCCCAGATCACCCCGTCCCGCTGACTCTCTTCCCCCTACCCCCAATCACTCCCACTCCTCCTTCCCTCCTTCCTTCGTCCGCAGCACACTCTTCCTCCCCCCAGCCGACACACTTCTCACGTATTCCGGCCTCTCCGTTACCACCCCCAGCCGCGAGCTCACGGTAGTAGTGCGCTTCACGCCCACCCCTCCTTCCTCCTGCTCCTCCTCATGGGAGAACTCCAGGACTCCGCGCGGGTTCTTCACGCGGTCGATCGCGACCAGCGCGAGCTCGACGCACTTTGATGCATTAGCTACGTTGCCAAAAAGATGAAGGAAGAGGCCTCATTTCGTACCTTGCGCCAGTACTTCTTGGCGGTGGCCCTAAGGGCAGCGAGCTTCTTCTCCGGGCGGGCAGCAGCGCGCGGGTTGGTGGTGGTTGTGGTGGTGGTTGCGGAGGTCTTGGCCATGTTGAAGGCGGTTTGGGATTTCTTGAGGTTTGGAAGTTTGCTTTGTAGGTTGTGGTGATGTTGAGGTTTTGCATGCTGTGGAATCAAACGGAGCAAAGATTGGTTATATATGTAGTATAGCTACTCGAAGGTGACAATAGCTACTGAGCCACTTAATACAATATACTATAGAACAATGGTGCTGAATTTACTTCACTATCTTGAAGGTGGCACGCAGAGTCACGACATGGAAGGGGTGAAAATCAGAGATCCTGATTTCGGTTCCGCCAATCGTTGCAGCTACGATTATAGGATACTATGCTATCTAACACACATCTGAAGGTAGGAAATAGAGTTATACACCGCGTCTGTCCGGCATGCTTTCAACTCCCATAGAATAACGACGCCCGTATGAAATTTCCAAAAGACCACCCCATACACCATGCACTAACGAGAATGATTTGCGCTCTATCCCTGAATCAGCCATAAATCAGTTCTATCGCGCAAGCCTGACGTTCAGGAAAGACGACAAGTTCATAGGAACCCCCTAAAACACGACCCATGTCACCCCCTTCGTCTTCTCACGTCGTCTAAGGACGATCCATGAAGCGGTGGAAGCACTTCATACGGCGCTTGAGCTCCTTCTTCTACATCTTGAGCTCATCTACCTGTTCCTTGCGCCGAGAAATTTTCCTCTCGTACGCTTCACGCTCCTTAGCCTCTATAGCCTGGTTAAACAACTCGTTGATCTCCCTCGTCTTGACCTTGATCTCCTCTGGTGACAGCGGAGCAGTAGGACTCCTACCGACAATGAAGTCTCGTCGGATGACCTCTTCGTGTTTGCTGAACCGACCACTCCCGTCGGCGTCGAACTCAATACGAATTCCTCGCTTCCCATGCTTCCGCCTCAGCATCATGATTAGATGAAGCGCTTTATCCAGGATGCTCTCCTGCGCTTCCAAGCAGAGGGCCTGAAATTTACCCGGAGGAACGCCTCGCAGGCTCAGAGGTTCCCAAGGAGCGTGGAAGATGAGACGTCGCAGGTTTGGCAGCGCCAGTAGATGCTTCGCCATGAGCTGCAAAACACCCTCGACACCTCCAGACCGGAAGTAGTCGACCGCAACTTCTCGGATCTCGTCGCCGAAGTTCGTTCCAATGTTCCGGCGGAAAGCCATGTTCAGCTCATTAGGGTCCATGACCTCGAGGACACCGTGCCGGAAGAAGCTGTGGTCCGCGATACGCTTCAGCTGCTTGCTGACGAGGCGGAGAGCGCTAAATGTGCTGATGTGCATGTCGTCCCAAGAGTGTGTTGCTATCACTACCTGATCGATGCCGTCAGAATAGGACCCGCGGTAGAGTTGGATCTTTCCGCCCGCTCCCACCGCCATTTCGACAATTTTCGTGACGATCTCGGAGGGGAGGTCCATGAGCTCCTTAGGCTCCGGTGGACCCTCCATCTCGATGTCTTCCATCTTGATGACCTTGGAGAATTGCATAGCACGGCGTTGGTAGCGTTTGATTTGAGATTCGAGAGTGATGCGACCAGCTCTACGCTGAAGGGTCTGATGGCGCTGCATTCCCGGACGCTGTGATGAACGCTTCTCCCCTGCGTGGCGGTAAATTCCAGCCATAGTGTGCTCGAAGTATGATGGAATTAGGGTTGAATGAGTGATCTGGGTTGGGTTTCGGGGGGTAGTGTGCGTGTGGGCGGGTTCTGGAGAGGTGGTTGGGTGGGAGTGATGTTGGGAGGTTCCACAGGATCAAGGAGGTCCTTTATGTGGTTAGTAATGAGCATTCACTGTTAGTGAAAGACGTCAGCAAGTGTAAAGCCCAAGGGAGAGATGATAGAGACATTGTGAAAGACATTGTGGTGATATTAAGGGGGAACTACTGTACAGTCTGCACAATATCAATTGATCAGGTGAATGTGCAGCTGAGCCGCGTTCGATAGACACTGACCGAACCTGAGAACCATGTGCTGTCCCCGTGAATTGGGTGCTTCCTCCTAGTATATATGTCTTCCGGGGCTAACAGTCACTGTTTTCCTGGAAGTGTTGGTACTTGAAAGGTCTGCAGTCGACAGGCCCGTTCAGCATCATTCTTCATTCTTCATTCCCTGCCGCACCCACCGCCTATCCACCAAACCCAGCACCACCAGCGCTGTCTGCAACCACCAAATATCAGTCCACAGCCCAGAATCTCCATACATACCACACGCTATAGTGGATACATTCACTCCGCACAAAGACTCGAGCGATAAAAATCAGCAAGCGTCGACGGATGACGGACAGAATATGATGGAACCGAAGAAGCCCACAGAGCTTATGGACCTACCGAGCGAGCTGCTCCACGACATAGTAAAACTCGCAGTTGGAACTGGGGCAGACATCAAGATGTACCGCTCATCGATTGGGGAAACCTTAACGGAGATGGTGGCAGAGCACTCGTATGGCGGAACGCACTTCAGCACCCACATAGCCCTTCGGCTTGTCAATCGATGCCTCAGCGAGATGGCAGGGGAGACCTTCTACCGGCACAATACCTTCGAAGCGGAAGATTTTGACGTTCTCAACAAGGCTTTCGAAGACGGTTTGTGCAAGTTCAATAACCACATCCGCTCCATCGCAATTGCCAACCTCATCGGCGACATAGAGCAGGCGCAGAGATATCTAGTGCAAGTCAAAAATCTGCGAAGATTGACTTTCGGAGGTGTCCGATACGTCTACATACCAGGTGATGTAGCAGGATGGTTCGAAACGGGACTTCGAAAGTGGTTTCAATGGGTTCTTGATAAAACCGGGGAACCCCTTCAAATGCCCCTCCGGAGACATCGCGGCAAGCGGGGAATCAAGATTGTGTTTGATGGGAACAAGGAGGGCGTGTGGGATAGGTATGAGGAGAGCGTTCGACGAGCCAACCTGATGGGCAAGACATATATCGTACCGTTATCTCCGGAACAGGTTAAAGCTAAGGTGAAGCAGCTCGACGGCGAATTCAATGAGATCATGGTGGCGAAGGAAAATGAGTATCTGGAGCGGAAATTGGCTGAAGCCAAGGAAGATCTCGAAGAAGCCCAGTCCGAGGTGGACAATTTGGTGAAGTACATGGGAGAGCCCGAGTCCAAGCGAGACTAGAACCATGACGCCAATGCACGGTACTCGGAAACAGGAATAACTTCCAAGAGCGACATTTCTTGAGCTTTGACTTTTGCTTGCGTTCCGGAAACGGGTGACTTCTCTTCTGAGGATGGGTAGTGGGAAAGCCGAATGAGTGATCCGTGCGTTTCCTCCCACTTCACTCCATTGACAATAGGAAAGCACCTTCACTAGATGCATGCTATTGTAGCTCAGTTGAATATATATACATTTCCATAGCATAGTATATAAACCATGATATCTACTCTTTTTCTTCTACAGCGTCTGAAATCTCAACATCCTCACAGCAAATTTGTCCGATCCTAACCAGCAAAAGGCTCTTCAACGTCACAATCAACCCTCCAAACATAACCATGAAGCACATCAAATCGCAAGCCGCTGGCGGCAAGACGGAGAAAGAGACTGGTCTGCGGGCCAGCATGCGTCGCCTCTGGGCAAGAGTACGAAACCAATCCCCACTTCGAATTCTTTTGACATGGTAGCTAATACATCGAAGGCAGTCGAAGCGTGGCACGTCGCGGTCGACCGCGTCAAGAATCCCGGGGGAATTGAAGAGTTCTCCCACTCGAGGTCGGCTTCGGCCATGGGTCTGAGGGTGGAGCGGAGCACCGTCACCACCATCCAGAGGGGCAACACGTTGGCTCCCTCCAAGCCCCTGCAGAAGATCACCGTGGCGGGTGGCTGGCGGTCGCGTGTCGTCCGCAAGGGGAAGGAAGGAGAGGAGGATTGGGCCTGATTTAGGGGGGCGAGAGGGAGGGCGGTTGGGGTGGTTTAGGGGCGACGGATTTGGTGCTCGGGGGGACTTCTGGGTTTTTCTGCTGGCCGGAATATCAAGAACTGAGATTTGAATGATTTTCTCTCTTCCTTTGAATCATGCTTCATATCGTGCCATAGATGTGTCAGTATTAAAGACTTGGTGACGCCGTAGGAAGTACGCTGACATTGTTAAACGTATGAGGATAGGATGTAAACGTCGCCACGCTTGATATGGGGACCTCGGGAGAGCTCGTTTGACTCTTCCGCACAATTTAGCTATTTCTATAGGCCTAGTGGGTTGTTGCGATATCAAACGCCCAAACAGGGCGGATTGCTCGATAGCTTGCAATCCTGCTCTCCTAGCAATAACTTAAAGTTATATGGTCTAGTCTATCAGCGCGCCTCTAGGCTATTCAAGTATACGTACCAATCATGTCAAGGTTTTCAGCCTGTGAATAAGAAGGCGAGAAAATCAAATGATAAAAACCTGACTAATTCAGAAACACTTGAAATCACAGGCCTAGGCGTTGTCATTTGCAAGATAGGTAGTGTGGACTGGCGCTCCTAGGCCATTCATCTTTCCACGGGAGACCGCTGATCAATGATACGTCCTGATTCGTAGGCCACAAGAACAAAACATGGCCTTAAGCTCAATTCCGACTCACACTATAAACTAGAATACAATCTCCACCTTCATATTTGTCCGGACGCCTTCGCATCCGCACCGAATCCCTCAATACCTCGTCTCTCCTTGCTCCATATACGCCTTCAGAGGCGCGATGCGTTCGTTGATGCCATCAGCCTTTCCCTGGAGGCGAGCAATCTCTTCGTCCACGTTCTCGTGCTCATCAGCAACCAAGACCTTCAAAGCTGTGATGAGATCGTTCAGAGATTCCACCTCCGCTAGGAGTGGAGCCAGCTCTGCCTCCATTATCTCCTTATCCTTGGCGATCAGGGTCTCGAAAAACGCCTTCCTCAACTCTTCCGTCTTATCCTTGATAGCCATCGCAGCCAATGGTAGAACGTTCGATTTCCCTTGAAGATGTGCTTGGCGAACCGCCTCTTCATGGGCGGTGAAGTAGCCATTCCCGTCGGCGTCGAAATCGATACGAATGCCACTCTTGCCAAATTTACGCCGGAGCTCTATGAAGAGAGGAATATAGACGGTGAAGATAGCGTGTTGTCTATTTGTACATACTTGTGCGTAGTCAGTGTCGCGAGCTACCCACCGGCACCCGTGAAAGCTAAGCCGACGCAGATTGGGCAAAGAGATGAGGTTCTCCATAACTTTCCTGTGCTGAAGCCTGAGGTCGGCGAGAACTACATGGCGGATATTGCTATCGAATTGACGCAACCCACGGTCGAGAGCCATGTCGAGTGTCTGTATTTGGGCCACTTGCAAGGAACTATATTGGAAAAAGCTTTCGTCGGCAACGGGGCTGAGGTATTTGTTGACTAGTCGCAGCGACTTATAGCTACTGATGTATTCATCTCCGAAGGAATGTTGTGGGGCGAATGTATCGTGGTATCCGTAGGCCCTGAATGTGATATCCCCGCCCGCTCCTACTGCATATTCTGTGATCTTTCGGATCATCTCCAGGGGTAGATTAAGGAGCTCTGTTGGCTTCGCTGGCTTGAGCGCTTCGGATCCAGACGGCTGCTTTCTCGGTTCGACTTTGTCATCATCATTTCCGGAATCCTTGAGGGAGCTGTGTTTTCCTGGTAGCTGGCGTAGGAAGGGAGAATCAGTGAGGGAGACATGAGTTGTATTGAGGTTCTAGCGAGTGGCTATATAGTTGGAAGACGGTAGGAGTGGAACATGGTGAAACAAGGAGAAGTGACAGGAGCGTAGCAGCAGCGTAGCAGTAGCGTTCTAGTACAGTATCAAATACACTAGTTCTTACGCACTAGGGGGTGCATCCAGCTGCCATTTCCAGACCTCCCTTCGACGTAGCTTGCATCTTCCATATCGACATCCCCGAGGGTCTCTTTAGGATCGGTGTCCTGTCTATCCTTTATTTCGGCGTCCAACATGCTCGTAACATTGGCAGCCGCCGACGGTGTTGTGGCAGAGATCCCTTTGGAGAACATCCGATTCTCCTTCGGGGACACCTTCGACGCCATCTTGCTTGGCTTCAACTGCAGCACAAGATGTTGATATTCTCGCACCTAGGAGATGAGTGAGGCTCGAGTCTTGCTGGCTTTGAACTTCGGCTTTACCCTAATTCGTCGAGACTGGGTTTTGCGGTTCGCGGCTCGAGATTGAGTTGCGGAACTAGCCGAGACAGAGCCACCTCCACTAATCGTTACTATCAAAGAATGGCTGATGTATTGTGGTGATTATCCCGAGGAATGGGCGGTGGTGCGTTCGTTAAGCGAGACTGTGGGAGGAATTACCACCGGAATCACTACTTTCTATGAGGGAAGTTCTCCAGAAGGCAGTGAATAATTGGTCCACGAACGTGTCGTCGGCTGGGGCGTCACGGCGCGGTTAGTACATATACAAATAATCTTCACATACTCAGTCATCCTAGCTGCAGCTCGTATTCACCATTTCTATTCGCTAACCTAGAGAATAGATGCTGTCCCTCATTCGGTGAAATATTCAGTACTCCGTCCCCAGAACTTCGACTATTTAAGACACCCATGGGTAGTTTTTGTCGACATCTTTCTCTTGCACACCAACCACACACCGTCCACCCACATCCACCACTTCATCAACCACATACCATTTCCAAATTTCCACCTCAACGCCACGGCTGTCAAGTACTCTTAGTCGTCGCGTAAACACAAGACTGTCAACCAGTCAAGCTGGAATCGAAAAGCTCCTCGCAGCCGCAGCACCAGGAGTTAGGCTGTGGAACCGACCAAGCCTTCCTTCTTGCACATATCTCGAGGCTTCGGCAACTCGTCACACGATTGTCGAAAGGGGCCAAGCTCTCGGAGGAACTGCGTAACATGGCTCCGCATAATGACGCAGAGAAGCTCTCCATTACGGACTTTGTGGTCGAAAAGGTCTTGGATGATTCGTCCGAAGCGGACATGGCAGTTGACACTGGAGGAGAAACCGCAGATGTGGCGGATGTCCATGTTGAGGCCGCCATCGACCCCGTTACCACGAGCAATTCCTTTACGACCAGGTCTCCAACAGTTGATGGCACGGGCGGTCGATCCAATGAGCAGACGGAGGTAGACGCCGAGAAACGAATTGAAGATGCTGTCGATGGCCATACGGATGCCGCCGTCAACCACTTGACTACAGGTTCAATCGAAGAAGAACTTTCGGATGATGTTTCTGAAGCAAGCACGATGATCCTCTCGAACAATAGGAACGATGGTGCGAACAATGTCAACAAGAGCCAAGATCGCACTCGAAATAAGGAAAACAAAGAACCGCGTCTTCTGCTAAGCCTACCTGACGAAATTCTCCTCAACATCTTTGGCAAAGCAGTTGGAGCGGGAGGAAATGTGCTCATTCAAGGTACAAAAGGCGACGACATCACGAACACCCCTAACCATTTCGTCATTGCCGACCATTCCTTTGGTGGAACATATATCACCAACTACATGGCGCTCCGCCTCACCAAAAAGAAGGTCAGGGACCTCTCAGACGAAGCCTTCTGGCGGAAGAATGACTTCGAATTCCACGACGGCGGCGCGGTGTCCTCTTTCTTCGACCGAATGCAACCCGGTCCCGAGTTCCTTGGCGGCATCCGAAACATAACACTCAACGTCATGGATAGATGCTCGCATTATTTCTTGCATTATCTCGAGTTCGCTCCCAATCTGCGCCGTCTCACAATCCATGGTTCTTCTTATGTGTACGAGGCAGGAAATGCGCAAGACGAGTTTGAGAGACAGTGCCGGAGAAAGTTCCATAAATACGTGCAGGATCATGTAAAGGATTTATTCATGCCACTTCGCGAAGCCCGCGGGAAAGGTCGATTTGAGATTGTCTTCGATGCGCTGTGCAAGGGCCGCAACGAGCGGTTCCACGATCTGCTGCGGCGAGCGCAGTGGTACGGAGGGGCAGCCGGCGCTATGCCGCTCTCGTTGAAGGACATTCGGTTTCGAGCCAAGCTCATAAACGAAGAGTTCAATAGCATGGTCGTGAGCATGGAGAATGAGATCCACGAGGCCGAGAATACGAACGAGGGAGGCGATGTATCTGAACAGTCGTAGGGCGGCGTTGACGCCTATGTCGATCAGCGTGAGCCGAAGGTTTAACGGAAGGATTACATCATTGAGGATCTTCACGAGGGCGGTTTCCGGTTGATGGCTTTCTCAGGGGGGGTTGGGAGGTTGCAAGATGGGCTGTCTGTTGTCTATAGTCGAGAATAGAGATAGTGATTGACGATTGACATAACAATAATATAGCAAAGGGGGCATGACTATACTCACCCGCTCCTCGTTCATATATACACTCGCACGTAATTCAGTGGGAGGTAGCTGATTCTTGCGATGGCTCCAGATTTGGCACCTCTGGCGTTCGTTATCAGACCTGATTGGCACGAGCGCCTGACCCAGCCCATCACCGACCCCAGCTCGTCACATACTTCACAGCTTCTCTCACACACTCCATCACAAGTTATCTTTCGCGCTAGACACCACGGCTGTCCGAAGGGGCCCTGAAACAAGCATGAAACGTGAAGGCATCGAGCAACTACGCCAGAATTGGCTCCAACAGCGACGGCAGTTGTTGCGCGACAGAAGAAAGCGGAGCAACTCCGACAGAGACAAAGAGCTTGCCAAAGGTAAGAGGTTCCAGTCAGCAAGTAAGATTCAAGTCATAACGATGTACTGCAGGCCAGAACAGCAGTCACCGCGTGAAGAAGTCCTTGCGGCTTTGTAAATCAGCAGCCGCGCACGACGAGATGGCGCATATTTTGAAGAGCTTGGACGCGGACGGCAAGGGCGAAGAGACAGTCAAGAAGAAGTTAGAGGGAGCGCCGTGTGCGAAGGGTCGCGGTGATGAAGACGAAGCTGAGGGTATCCCACGCCCACACTCTCCGGACAATACAAATGAGCAACGATTTATCTGGCCCTCCAGGTTCCCAGTACGGCGTCTAGTACCTCTCAAGTTCTCGGGCCTGCCACGCGAGATCCAGCAAAGGATAATAAGCTACACCGTCGGTTTTGGATCCATAATACTACATCAAACGTATGTGGAACATTCCCAATGGGGTACCTGGATCATGACCTCAAGGCATTCTCGTGGTAACATGGTCATAGCCACTTATATGGCTCTGTCTTTGACGAGCAGGGACATATGTGCGATGGCCAGGGAGGGCATCTGGGGAACGAACACTATCGATGCCTGGGATTGGGGCATACTCAGCCGCTTGCTCCAAGCCGTTCAGCCTAGGACAATCAGACTCATTCGCTCAGTTCTTCTTCGCGATTTTCGAGGAGAGTGTCAAATCACTCATGATGTGCTTCGAAATCTGAGTCTGAATAGTTTGACTTTCGTTGCCACACCGTGGTACAATCCCAGAAGTTCATCTGCTCAGTTCAGGCAGTACGTCGTTCAGCAACAAGATTCGCTACTAGATGCCCACCTCACAACTTTAACGACGCTACGGAGGCAGGCCGGCAAGTATCGTCTAAAAATCAAGTACTTGTCAGACTACAACGGAGCCTTTCAATACCATGAAAGTCTCGTACTCCGCTACCACTTACTGGCTAGATATCCCGGTGTTGTTCCTCTGAACCCAGCCGAGATTCGACGCATCTCTGAACACTTGGAGCAACGTTTCACGCGAGAGTTTGTTCGTCGGGAGAATCTGCAAAGGGAATCTGCCGAGCGCATGGTGGCTGAAGGTCAAGATTTACTGCGTTACTTGGATCACCCTGAGCCGACCTGAAGATATCACTGATGCGAAGAGGGTGCGGTTGGTGCCACGGCGGCTTTGACATCATCAAGAGACTCTACAGCAGCATAGCAGCATAGCTATGCGGCTGGATGAATTCAGGAGGTTTGCGTGTTATCATCTGGACAGATTCTTAGAAGATGAAGCTTTCCTCACGGAATGCTAGAAGCCTCAAGGTTATCATCGCATAGAAGGAGGAAAGTATTCTAGCAACTAAGCCTGAGCCCTTTCCCGTAGGAAATACAAACAATTCCCTTGCTTTTAAAGTATCGCGATGTCTGGCTTGAAGGCGCCAAATGGCTGTAATTACGATAGCGTGCCCTGCTTATGTTCTTTCCATAGTGACACATTAATGCAATATTAATAGATGACACCGAATGTCCTAGAAATGCCAGGAAACGAATGATTTGTGCTTCACTGACACCATTCTCCGCTTGAGGGCTATAGGATTTGATCTGATGTCTGCCTACACGCTTCAGCCATTGCGGAACTTGCCGCTACCCACCACTAACTCTCCAGCCTCATCCCCTCGTCGACTTCCGTTTCCATCTACTTCACCACACCCCCTTCCCCGCGCTCGACACCATGGCTGCCCAAAAGACATGCAAGAGTATGCTACCCGGCGCTATCTTCAGCGACGCTAAAAAAAGACACGAACAACGACCGCCGCTGCACAGGACGGGCAAAGAGCCGATTCTCCTCCTGGGGCTTTGAACGCCTCCGTCTCGAACGTCATGACGCGTCCGACGCACCTACAGGCGCGGCTCAAGACATGACTCATATCGAACAAGCTGAAAGCATCCATAGCTAGGCTCAGATCGCGGCTACATGAAGCGGAACCAGAGCAAGAGAGACAGATATGGCTGTCTGAACGACCCAGAAGTCCTCCAGGCCTTGGATGAGCTCGGCCTTGGAAACCTTCATATCCACAGTCTTGGTCGTCCCCTCAAAGCTACGGGAAGCGTCCTCCCACATGACCATCAAAGACGACCTCTCGAGCTTCCCAACCCCCGATATAACCTCCCAGCGCTTGTCCGAGCTTTTGAGGAAGATGATGCTGCTAACGATGTCCGGTACACCGTCGCTGTACTGCAGGCCGATTCCAGGGCCGAGATGGCTGCTAGGGCCGAGATGGCAGCCTTCATGCAAGCTTGGCTTGACCCCAACCGCGCCCCAGCCTCGTTCAGCATTGTACCGGATGAAATCTTGTTCAACATGGTCAATCATCTCATCAAAAGCTCGGCTGGTGATGAGACACCCGGAACCGCAACTCTGCCAGCCAACCTCCATGATCCGCTGAGACGCCACGCACAGCGCCGCGGCCAGGACTGAGATGACAGCGTTCATGCAAGTCTGGCATGACTCCAATCTCGCCCTAGCCTCGTTTCACACTAGAGGAATTCTTTATCGACATCGCGAGGTATCCCGCCACAGACCCGGTTGAAAATGAGCGCGCCGGAACCGCTGCTTTGCCGACCAACCCAGACGATTCTTTACACTCGGACCCGCGGTACAATGGACAGAAGGGAGGAAGATACCACCAGAGCTCGCGAGAGCCGTCGATGGGACGAGAGGGCCGCAACGCCTGGCAAAACAGCGGCAGCCACCGAAACTCCAGAGATCTGTCGGCGAGCAACCGGGGTGATCGCCAACAGTATACCCAGAACTTCCGATCATCTGCTGAAAACCGCCCTTGCGACTCGCAACAGGAGACGGTCTGGTCTACTGCTAGACAAGTTCACGCGAACGGTGTAGAAGCCAACCAGCCTAGTCATGATGCGAATTCTGCCCCGCTAAACTCAGGTTGCAGCACTACAACCTAGGATCAACAACTCATATGCCAGAAAGCTACTCTCCGAACATCAGCTGTAGAGAACCCAGCTGAAATCTCAGCTGTAGAGAACCGAGCTGAAGCCTCAGCTGTGCAGGGCTCATCTGAACTTACTAGCGCGCCACCCTGGGGGTGGCCCCCTTCCTTCCCCTAGTATATATACAACTAGCTAGACGTCTATAGAAATCAGAGTTCACATCAATTTAACCTGAGTGCTAACCTACAACCTACACCTGACTTCGAAGCGCTTCTGCGACTACCTCGAGCTCTTTATATACGTCGACATATCGATCTTGCCTGCAAGTTGTTTCCTGCCAAGCTCCTTAAGTATCCGAACACCAGACACGCTGTCGAGCGTGCTGCCGAAGGAAGCGGATATTTCGCAGATCACCGCTCCATGGGACAAGCTAGCTCGCAGCCTCCACAGCTCGTGTAATTTCGCCTAAGACCGCGAGACAGAGGTGACTGCGTTCTCCAATTGCAACGAGTATGTTACGTGTACCAAAACCGTCCACTTCCTGGATTTCTCAGGCCTACAAGCACCTTCTTCTCCTCACTAGGTGGATACTCATCCTCCTCACTTGCCTGTCACCAGTCTTCCTCACTAGGCGGACGCTCGTTGTTGTACGTGGCCGGAGTAGTGAAGTCTTTTCAATCAGCCGGCTCGAAATCAAATATTCTCGCTGGCGGTATTATATTGGCTGCAGTTAGAGAAAAGACGATTGGTGCTTGCTCTATATCTTTCCGCAGGTGTCACAACCCTTGGCTTCGAAAGCTATCCACCAGAGCACAACACAAGCAAATATCCGAAGCTCTTCATCGGATAGGTGGAGCACCTTGCAGTATCCTGGGCAGCGATAGAACGGCACCAACAGATGACGGTCCAGAACTACCTGCTCGCACAATTGGTTGTGCGACGTGGCCTGATTTCATCTCCTGTTCCTGGGTACTTTGCGCGCCTGCTGCCTTCCTTGGATTTTCAGAACTTTAATTCCCACCCCTCACTAGCGCACAACGACTACAAGGGAGTTTTCTGGCCCAAGTCGAGAGCTAGGACGATAGCAGAAAAAGAAGCAAACTTGGTCGATAGGTGCACGACATTTTACAAGAACAGCAAGTACATCCTATTGGATAAGCACCTCACCGACTTCGCCAATACCGCCATCAATCGGCCAGACATGAAGGATGAGCATGATGTCTTCAATGGCATTGGCAGGACAGACAGGGCATAAGACAATTTTCGGGATTCGAGATGATTTTGCAGATGGACATAGATAAACCTGGGTTATGCAATTGTGAAGTAAGTCTGCACTTCACCTGCCCTCTATTCTAACAACCACTAAACTAATCTAGGACGGCCTCTTTCGGTTCAAAGTGAAGTTTGGTGTTGGATAAGGCGAAGGAGATTACAGTAGGTGAGTTCCATCCAGGTCGAGATTAGGAACAGCCGTGAACCACATCACTGATACTTACCAGACAACGACGACAAAAACGGCGCAGATCTAGGCCTGTTAGTCGCCTGCGGCACGTTTCTCGACCTTTTTTTCCGGTCAATAGCGAGGAGGAGATGGCGAGTCCGGTCCTGAACGCCCACGACGATCATTAAGAGATGCGGGATGGGATACGTGCTTTTGCGATGACCTAAGGGCGAAACCCCGTAAGAGGTGCAGGGAGGTGATACCCGAGGCATAAGGGACTTAGACCTGCGCTGGGAAAGATGCTAGATGTGAGTAATCACATGCGGCGGTGAGACGATAGAAGGAGGTTTGATGCGAGCGTAAGTTTGGGGTAGGATACCACTGTATCAAGGGTACCACCAAGACAAATCTACTCGTATCTTCGGACAATCGGTTTGCGCGCTTTGTGCAAGCAGTGGAAAACAAGACAGGCAAACGTGCTCTTTACTACCTAAGAACAAACTAGTTATCTATAAAAGCGAACCCCGCTGAAGCAGAACTAACTCATGTGCAACATTTCTCAAAAACGTCTAAAAGCCGTCATCGAAAACTCCTTAGATTAAAACTATAAGCCGAAAATATTACAGTCGATCTAAGTAGACGCTCTCTTAACCTAAACGCCGGGCTTTGGACTGTAACAAACCCCACGTCCGCGAAAATGCGATGACACGTTCACCGCACAAAACCCGTCATTTCGAAAATGATACTTGGGTTGCACGAGCTGACACCATATAGGAATCTTGTTTCTTTCCCAAGTCTCAAAGACCAGCAAGGTAGTTGAGCCTGTCCAGCGCACCCTGCTCGAGTTTGTTGGTAATGGCCAAAAAGAAGGGACGTTTCAGAAGGGCGTCCTTTTTCAAAGACAGACAGCGGAGACGGTATACTGAATGACGACAGCTTCGACAATAGATGCTGAAGCGCCAAGAGACCACTACTAACGGTACGTTTATCTCCATTATAGTAGATACTGCACTTGCTGACTATTTCAGCCTCGAAGTCCCCGAGTAGACGCGGCACTAGGCTTTCAAAGAAGGCAACCAACGCCAGCACGATACGAATAGAAAATAAGTAACGTCTTGCGTTTTTCACATCGATTGATCGCTAGGTGAATCTCAAGCCGTAACTTAGTAGACTCCAGGCTTGTTAACCAAATTTCCACATTTCAACCTCCTTTTCAATTTCAAACCCTTGAACGATTTCGAGAACTTCAATGTCAATATTCTTAACTTTCCCTATGATCGGTATATGACCAAAACCTGCCTGTACCTGCACGATACTGGCCGAACTGCCCTACCACACTTTCTCGATCTCTAAAGGAAGTCTTTCGAACGACCTGAAAATTTGCCAGTGCCCCTTAAGCAGCGTCATATATTACGACTTGGAAGACACATCATAGGAGGACAAGCCGAGGAAGTTGCAATGCTGCTCGCCAGATCCTGGATAGCCTTGCTGGTCTTGGGAGGGACCCTGAAGCTCGCCAGTTCCACCAGCACGACGGACGAGCTGGGCCTCGTTAAACGTCTGCAGGGGGAGTTCAAGAAAAGAAGCCCACATCCAGCTTATTGAGGGGATTCTCCCTGACTCCAAAATAGATTGATAGAACCTTCGACCCGGGGAGACGGCTGTTAGCCCGGCATTCATATCGTCGAGTCAGCCGCTTTCTTATTCACCCGGGGGGCACGCCCTGCCGTCACCACTTCCAACTCATCCACAGCTGCTCAGAGGGCACATTGACATAAGGTAGGCCCTGAAACACCCTGTGTTGATGGATTGCTCCGGTGAATTTTGCTCCAAGTCACATATGCGCAGACAGTTCATCATACCTTACCGTATTAAATCTTGCTGCTTACATCAAACCACCCTACCATCCACTCTTCACCATCTCGCCAACACGCGCCGCCCGTCAACACGCGCCGACCACCAACTTGAACCACATACCCAGCAGTCTCAGCCATGGCCTGACCTATTTTTAACAGCCGTCACAAAGAATAAAGAGAAATGCAAGACTATAGAGACGGTGTCTGCACTGCATAACAAGTTTCTGCATGGGCTGGTTTTGGCGATCACCAAGCTTATAGAGTGTTCCAGTGTACCAGGCCATAGTAGGCCTTTCCCTCCTTAGTCTAGTAAAGCTCCTAACATCCGAGAAGCAGAGGGATTCGACATGCAAGCGTCTGCGAAGATGAAGAAGATGCGGAAGTCTACAGCGAATATCCAGAAGTTGGAAGAAAAACAATCCGATCAAGTGACGCTTCTGCTCCCCATATTCACAGTTCAAAATACCGGCTGGTTCGAAACCTCTTAGAACTTCCAGCCGAGTTGAAGCTAGAGCTTTTTACGGTCGTATCACGCGAGCAAACACGAACCTATGCAGCGCTGGATTCGAAATCACGATGAAAAGCATGAAGTTGTGGAGATCCGAGTACCTTAAGACTAACTACCTGTTGGCTGGGTTACCCCTTACAGCGTTGTAAATGGAGCACCCCGAAGCCCATAGGGGGCTCCATCTAAGCCCACGAGCTCGACGATGAATTAGGGAAGACCAAAACCGAGTTTTGGCATCACGACTACCTGATATCTATGCGACTTCTCCGTGTGCTGTATTCATAGCCCAGACAGACGACCCTCACGGCAACGTTCGGGTTGGGAACTGGTTCCTGAGAGGGAACCGTTGAAAATACTCCTGCACATCCCGGTGCCATCTTTCCCATGTCTCGGCTTGGCTTACATGACTAAATTTACCGCATTTTGTCCACTTCTCCTCCAGAATACTCTCAGGATACGGGGTTTCCTCAGGATCTATTGTAGCCCCCCACCGGACCTTTCGCCCCTTTGACCCGTCGGTGCCTTCGCTCCGCCTTCAGTAGAATGCCATCATGTTACAGCCGTCCGTGAAGTCCGCGCGGGCGTACATGACCGTGATCTCGCCGGAGAGTTGCTCATTATATTGACGCCCGAAACTTGGATATTCCTGGTCGAGTTCACGCGTTCGGGGATATACCGTCTTGATGAACTCCCAGGCGCAATCTTTATGGGTTTGCCCAAGGTAGAACGGTGAGGAGAAATCGGCTTTTGGGATAGGCGGGGGGACGTCCTGCGGAGGAAGCATTGCGTACGCAGCGGCTTTCACTTGAACTCGTCAGTTGTAATGGTCAATTGTGCTGATATCGGCATTTAAATGCAAGGGCATAGGTGCGAACAGGGAGAAAGCATCATGGATGTCAAGCAAGCTATTGAGTTCGAAAGGAATGCGCTTTTACGCAGTGTTTTCTTGGAAAGGAAACACAGTGTCAGCTGGCTCGACAGATCATGCCGTCTGGGCAAACACTCATTTATTTAGACTAAATCAAACACCTTGAAGTTCTGCAATATTTCCTGGCTTATGATAATCTGCTGGCCCACCTCTGGCGCTTGCAAGCAGTTGTTCACTTGGAAGTTTTGGCACTATCCTGAGCTGCAGTGATCATGAGGACACATTAATCTCCAATTCATCGTGATGAGCTTAAGCTTCTCGGACGGTTGCATAAATCGCTCAGATGAGATGAGAGACACGCTTGATTTTGAAGGGAGCAGAAAACATTGCATGGCGCCCAGTGTACTAGAGAGACGATATGCCATCAGCAGTAGCATCGTGATGTTCTGTGGACTCCCATTGTGCTCATTTTCACTATATTGAGACAGCTTCACGTGTGGTACTTGAATGGAATAACGACCTCCCTTCACTCACAATATGAATTTTCACCCTGCTTCAACCATTGTGATAGACGCTTCTGTACCTTCACCTTTGACTACAGCAATCTAGGCCTTATAAACCTCTCCACATCCTTCATCTCCTCGTCAAAGAGCGCACAACATGCAAACAACCTCAACACACCCAACAAACCATCAAAACCACCATCATGTCGACCACATACCTCCCCTCCACCACCTTCGCCGCCCCCATCGCCGTCGGCATCATCACTCCCACCACGGCTTGGAACTACCTCCACGCCACCGACCCCGCCAAAGCCGCCGCCCCGGGCTTCCGCAAGGAAGACCTCCCCGACGACATCATCTGGATCTTCGCGGAGGTGTTCTGGGGCAGCGGAGAGGACCTGTTGGCGCTGTCGTGGCCGAAGGCGGGAGCAGACGGAGAGGTGGAGGAGGAACTGGGCGCGGTGTGGAAGCTGGGGCGGGAGGAGAAGCCGGGGTTCGCGGGCGAGCCGTGGCAGATTTTGCGGAAGGAGAGCGAGGTGGAGAAGGAGAGGCAGGATTGGGAGACGTGGAGTGGGCGGGTGTGGAAGTGGAGTGTGGACGAGATGGTGAGGGAGTGAGGGGAGGGGGTGGATGGGGTAGAAAGTTAGGCGGGAGGGAGGCTGGCAGACGGTTTCGGGGGTTCTTTCGGGGAGGTCAGGCGGGATTGGGGAGACTTTTGGCTTGATGGATGAGTTTTTCGACCCTCCTCAAATGATCAAGACGCTTTCATTAGTACGACACCACTGTTCAAACTGGGCTGCATCGAGTGTAGCGCTGTGAGCATCTTGAAGGTCTACCTAACGTTTCATAAAGAACCGCATAGAGAAGAGCTTGATGTCCTGCTCAATCCAGCGTACGGGCATCGTAATGGCTTCCGCCGGCGCCGGGAGCGTCTGCATTTCGACATCGCCATCGTCGTTCTTGACCTTGGTACAGCTATGATTGGGACGATTCTGTCAATCGTGGTCACGGTCCCATCACATCGCGAGAATGGATGCTGTCATAACCGCTTTTCTTGTCTGGGCCAGCAGCACTCCTGAGCGGTCGGCGTAGATAGGGCTGCTCATACTTCTCCATTGCTGTGTAGACATCGGTGTAAGGAGGACCCCAGCCATCAGGTTCCTAGTCTGGAAGAGGGATCGTTGGCGAAGACGAGACTACTCGTTCTCCTCATTTAGTGTAAAGATGCCGGTGTGAGGAGGACCCCAGCCAAGCGGTTTCCGGTCAGGCAAAAGGATCGTCTTTGAAGTCTGCGAAGCCCACAGGTGCACCCTATGCAGTGTTAAGGAGATTCTTGCCTGGCCTAGTAGTACTCCGGAGTCAGCGGTGCAGACAGGACAGCTCATTCTCCTCCTTTGCTGTATAGACACCGGTGTGAGGACGCCCCCAGCCAGCAGGTTCCCAGTCAGGCAAAGGGATCGTCCTTTAAGTTTCGGAAGCCCACAGTGCACCATGTAGTCAGTCCGGATGCAGTAGGACTGTCTGTCGCAGACCGCCACACCAGCCATGGATCATACTGTGAGTAGGCAGGAGAGTAGTACTAAGACTGTTGCGGCTTCGGACCAAATTCGTAAGCGGGAGTCCAGCCTGCCACTGCAGCTTCTCCACATGGCCTCAGGCTGTAAACGGACGCCAGCCCCGTTACGACTATCATCGCAGGATGGGTGCTGTCTCGATTGTCGTTCTGGTCCGGGGCAGATGAATTCGAGTTCTTCTCGCGGTCTTGGGCAGGCAAATGCCACTCATTATTGAGATTGTTATAGTAGGGTTAACACAGAGAAATCGATGTACAGCGTAAGACTTACCAATCTAAAGCACAATCCCCAGGCGCTTGCTTGGCTTGCTATTATGGCTTCTGCCCATCAAACAGGTCAAGATCACACTTGGACAACTCGATCGCTGATGTCTTCTTTATGTGCTTACTCGCCTCGTGGAATCTAAGGTGGAGGAGAGCCGGGTGCTCTGGAGCAGAGAGGAAAATGTCAGATTGGAGAGGGAACGGGCACGTTGGCGGTATCGGCCTGGAACGCGGGATCTTCGATCTTTCCTGTAGATGGATGGTGACGGCCTCGCGGGACTAGTGATTTCAGGAATGTAGTGAGGTAGGAAGTGAAGTTGGAAGTGAGGTAGGAGGTGAGATAGGAAGTGAGTGTTTGCGGCGGCCGGTTGTTTAGGGCGTTAAGTAGCTCGTTAAACAGGTAGCTCGCGATACACTCCAGATTATGCAAACGTCTTATACAAAACACGGAACGGGCTCGGCTAGTCTTGTTCGCCACCGCTTTGGGCACCTACGTGGGCTTCTATTCGATTACAGTGTAAAGGTCGATACATTCGAAACTAGGAGTCCCGCATTCTCTTAGCCTAGAGCCCTCAAAGAACGCAGCATCCGGATGATGAGACATATCGAAGATATCATCCCCATTCTCGACCCTCTTGCACCGCATCGAACGAAGATCCCTCTTCTATTCCGCAAGTCGATTCGAGTGAAACCCATGAGATGTACCGCACCGTCTCGAACAATTCGTCGTCGTTTAGCGATGTATGTTGAAGGACTCTTTCCAGTGGCGGGCAAGCGCAACCGCCGTGGCTGGCTCTTCATCATAGAACTCCTCGTACTATACTGCGCAAATGTTAACTAAGATGCTCAAAGTGAAGTCTAGAATAGTGAGATGGGTATACCTTTTGGAAAGTCCTGAGACACGGTCTGGTACAACTGAGTTCCTTCACGCGGCCGTTCCTTGAAGAAGTCGAAAAGGTGTCTAGTTTCAAGCCGCGCAGCCAGTTGCTGGACGAAAACTGTGCGCCCGTCACGCTCGTCTTCACTTAGTACTAATTCTAGTGTCTTGCCGTAGCGAAGTTTGTCCTTATCTTGCGTAATATGTCGACCGCGGTAAAACTCAGGCTGGTGAGAAACCCCCAAAAGTAGCAACAAGTCGCACTTTTCCGATTCTCTCGCCTCAAGACAACAGCAGAAATGCATCGAAGTCCTCGCAAACCGATCAGAACTTTCAGGCAAACAGATGTCCCACACCTCTGATCTTTTGAGCTTTTATGTCTAGGCCAACACCACTATCTACCAGAGCCGGCGTTGCAGGCCTACTACGTTTGTCTTATAGAACGCTATGTTGCCCCTTAATGCAACGTACAAGCTATTCGCATGACCAACGCGCGACCAACTTTGAAAGTACCCGAATCGTGTTGCTCCCATGTCACTATTACCGTCGAGGACGAGTAGCGGGCGAGCGGTGTAGAAGACGACGTAAAAGTTGGCGTAGAGGTTCTGCAGGCGTTGGTACGGCCGTGTGGAGCCGGGTCCGTCGAAGGGAGGGAGCCGGGTCCGTCGAAGGGAGGGAGCCTCTGGACCGCGACGAGGCGTGCGGCTTCTTGCTGTCCAAAATTGCCCTCAACACCGACGACGCCTGCAGGGAGGTGGTTGCGTGTTGATGTTCCGGGCATCTTTTTTCATGCTCCATGGTGTATAAAGAGGGTGCCGTGGGGGGCGAGGCTGTAGAGGAGCAGAACTGGCGATTGCGGATAGGCTTCGTGATCCGTATGTTTCAGCTGGATGGCGAACTTCTCCGGCAAGTTGAACATTCTGTCCTCGTTTGCATAGCCGTATAGGTCGACAGCCGTGACGCGGAGCGATAACCAAGTAGCGAGGTCGAATTGTGGTTGAGTGATAATCCCACGAAGCGACTCCAAACTAGGCTGCCCCTCCTGACCAACAAACATGGAAGTGATGAACGGACCAGATCCGATGATCGCTATCTTTCCGCTACGGTATCTGGGCGGACAGAAGATAGTGATCATAGGATCTGTCTACCCATCTCAGAGAGGTCGGCCTGGTCGGCGATCTCAGAAGTGTCGACACCCATGCAGACCCCGACAGTCATCGTCGTCTTCGCCGAATTCAGGCTCGGCGCTTGAGCTCGACTCTCCTTGCTTTGCAGCGCAGAGGCCAGAGGATTTCAACTTCGCCATAGGGCTCGAGTCTCCGGTCCGATCGGCGACAGGCAAGCTGGCTGCTCGTAGCTTAACCATCAGGCTCTTCTTCTCTGTCTCGTCGCCTTCCTTGGTTGTGCTGCGGCGCGCTCGTTCTGCTCCAGATTCGCGGAGGATGTCTCCAATCTCTCCGGTGACAGCCAAGCTGGCTGCTCGTAGCTTCACAATGAAGGTCTTCTTCTCTGTCTCGTCACTTTCTTTGGTCGTGTTGCGACGCACTCGTTTCGCTCCAGGTTCGCGGAAGGCATCTTCTAGCTGCTGTCAAATTGGGAGCGAGCCATCGGGGTTAATACCAAGATGCATACAAGGTCGAGAGATTTCTTGATCGCAGAGAGGAGCACGTTGAGCTGTGGTGTTGGTGCGAAGGACGGGTGAGATCTCGCGAAGTGTTTGGAGGGGTGTGGGTCATGTGACTATGCCAAGGACGGCTGACTAAGTCTCGTCAGCGTCAAGGGCTCGACTTTGTAGGAACCAAGCCAGAGTACCTTATGCAGCCGCGAATGCCTGCGCAATTTATACTATTAATCTCGATTTTTTGGAATCTAGTGTATATCGGAAGCGCTTTAAAAGACTCCTAGTGTATCAAAACCTAATCGCAATCCTACCACAGCCGGAAATTACCGCCGTGTATACAACCCTCTCCTAGAATTGAAGGTTTTCCTAGATCACATCAGCCTTAGCTAGAAGCTTATTCAAGTGCTGGATATGCACTATGTTCTCTTCGACATCAGGTGGTAGACGCTTAGCTAGGTCCTCCGTCATATCAATCGAGAAGGCAAGCTTGGCCCTCTCCCTCTAGTTCATCATAGTCATGAAATACCCCGACAGATACCTCGTAGAATTCTCCATCTCCTGGTCGTCCATGGGTATGATCTCCGAGTTGCCTAAATACAGCAATTGGCGGCGGACGCTTTCAAGGAGTCCGGAGAAAACGCGAACTTAGTTTTCTTTTTGCCACGTTTCTGGCGTAACTCAATGAGAAAATATCCTGCCGGACCGACGAGATGGCTAATATAGGCGGCCGTGAGACCAGGGAAATAGCCGTCCTAGTTCAAGATTTGGTACCATTCCGACGTCCGTCCTCTAATTTCGATGCGTTCGATTTGTGAGTTGTGGTAGAAAAGCGTGGGATCAAAGTCGCTCGTGAAGGCTCGAAAGAAGAACGAACAAATATCTCTATGTCTACCGGAAAGGGAGAGCTTGTACATAAGTCGTGTTGCGATATCTCTATCCTCGACATTAAAGCAGTGAAAACATGAGAAAGATCGGAATAGCTCGTACAACCCCTTGTTAACCATGGTGATGGCTATTTAGGTGCTGATATGCCGATCATCGATGTTATGCGAAGCTTCCATGACCTTACCTTGGCCGTTTCTCGAAGGGACCGCACGCCAAAACAAACTCACTATCTCTCTCATCCCATGAGCACGTTCCATGCACTCTTCGCCTCGTAGGCAGCCTTTCAGCCAAAGAATGCTCTGATTTCTACTACGTCATTCTAGAAAGCCTGATCTTGGGTATAACGCTACACCGGCTTCATGCTTGCCCGTTTGACACCAGTGTGGGAGACGGCCCAGCCATCAGGGATCCCGCGAGTCAAGAGGTAGCCCAATTCCCAACGTTGGGAATCTGATTGCTTGACGTTTGTGTGCGTGTTTCCCGTGAGACATATTGCTTGGCGTAGGTCATGGTTTGCACCCTGATTGGCCTTCTTCATTACTCACCAGTATTAAAACATCTTCAATCCAACATCACAGCGTGTGGTATCCAACTTCCAATCACACCTGAACTCACAGGTTCCCTTCACTACGCCATGGCTTCTTCGAACTCTTCCCTTAAACCAGTGGATGCCTTCTCCGGCTCGTTCCAGTTCGGCCCCTTCGATAAATACAATGTCAAGAATTTGATCCAAGACATGGGCGAATCGCTGGAAAACCTACCCTTCAAACTATACGAGATACCAGAGTCCAGTGCTCTAGCGGTGGTGTATGCGGCAAACTACTTCACGAATGGGCAGGATCTGATAGGAATCCTCTGGCGTGCGGGTGCGACGAATGCAGAGCACTACGAGTTCCAGTGGGCCGGCGCAATTGATTCTGGAAAATCGAACGACTGGGGTCTGCCGTCCGACGGGGAGGGTGAGATAACTCCAAACCGCAGCATTGGGAATCCACCTGATGGGGTGCTGGCATAGGGTATAGATTCGGAAGACAGTGAGAATGACGTGACGGAATGGGAGCTTTGGCATGCCTCGTTCCAAGGATACTTTCAGGCAAAGTAAAGCCGTTAGGGAGGCTTCTAGAAGATTTTCAGCGGAGGTCCAGACAAGCTGGCTCAAATGATAGAACTTTGCTGATTTGATTGCATGCCTGACACGGAGTGGTGTGATGACCCAGGCGTGTGATAATCTGCAATCATGTTAGCTTGCTTCGAACCAGAGTTCTACCCACATTCAAGTACATCTATGCCTCTCCGCTCAACATGTGTGATCTATCCGGTCTTTACTTGTCGGCTTTCTAGACCTAATGGATGACAAACCTACCACGCCAGGCTCCGGATCTGACTCAAACTTAGAAAAGAATTCACATTCTACTAAAAGTCCACTCAATCGGTATCCTAAACCAACACCCCAGGGACCAAGGCTAAGATTTGACGGAGTCTTTCACTCATCTCGTGATATCGGAGCTGAAGAAAGTCAAATAAGGACTAGGGTGCCCATGACTCCTCCTAGGCCTGCACCACACAGGTCCATGCCGTCCGCTAGGGCTTTGCAGACAAATAGTGTCATGCCCGGAATGGGAGAGACCTACACCTCGACCGCAACATCAGCTGAGGCCGATTCTACCGCCCCAGGTATTCAGGGCAATCTTTCCGAATACGGTCCCATCGACTACACTGCCGGTCCTGGAAATCCGTCTGATTCTTTTGATATGTTCAGCAACGCTGCTTTGTTTAGTCCGAATGCTCCCACCGCTCTATTAAGTCCCACTGCTCCAACTGTCAGTCCCATTACCCCAGCTCAAGTCACTCCTACCGCTCCTACAGTCAGTCCGTTCACGCCGCCTTCTAGAGTCAGTCGATTCGCCCTGGCTCCTCCAAACAGGGCCTCTTCTTCAGCTCGTGGAGCCGAACCGTTTCCCTTGCCTCATGGCGCCAATCCTTTTGCGCCCGCTCTTGGGAATCGAACGTTCGACCCGTTCCCCAGAGTGCAACCTCCTCCTGCAAATCCCCCTTTTCAGCCATCTCGTCGTCCCGCCCTTGCTCCCAGGCCTGGCCCGTCCCTTACCAACCCAGTAGTCCCCCTTACTAACCCAACCGTCCGGCCCGACTTCAACGGATCCTTCACGCTCGGCCCTTTCCCCCGCGAAAACGTCATCCCAGTGATAGAGCGCTGCGACCCAGAAACCGCCAACCGTCCCAGCCTCACCCTTGAGAGCATCCCCGAAGCCGTGACAGCGATCCAAGCCCGGACGTATTTCACCAACGGATGCGATCTGATAGGCTTTCTGTGGAGGGACCTGTTCCCAGAGCAGGTAGAATCGGCGTTGTTTTGGGCTAGAGCGGTCCCGCCGGGTATGCTCCGTGTGGAAGGGAGGAGGCTAGATAGGCCTAGCAGCAGGCTGGATAGGCCTAGCAGCGAGGAGGAGTGGGGGGAGTGGAATCAGTGGCATGAGACGTTGAAGAATTACTTCCGGCCGGAGTGATGGGGTGGGAGGGGTGGGAGTGTGTAGCTAGGGTGTCAGAGTTAGCGTGGGAATGGAGTGAGATTGGTGGTGATGGCTTTGTGTACGTGCTGGAGTGCTGAAAAGTTTGATGTCAGATATGTGATGCTAGGAGCTTTCTATCCTATTTAGAATTTCTTGAGTGTGCTGAGGCTAGACAGACGGCGGCAGTGTAGTATCCATGGACTCATGAGGAAGGGCGGATATGCGGCGGGCGGAAGAAGATCCCGTCAGCCTTTCCGATAGTGTACGTGGAGACATTTCTTAAGGGGGACAGCGGCGTAATGGTGCTCTTGCGCTGGACATGTTGTAAAGAGATTGATGAACAGGAAGAAAGCGCGGTTCATTAAGACGTCACAGTTGAAGTGGAACATGTTGTTCAAAAGGGTGGAGATGCCTGTTGCTGAAGACGCGGGCGGAGAGCAAGGTCGAGCGCCCCTTATTTAATTATATATTTGCCACAAGTTGGACTGTTTTCCGCCCTCACCCCGTCCAGTGGTGAGGGTGGCTAAGAAACATCGCTAACATCTATCATAGTTCACAACCAGAAGAACCGGGTTCGGTACCCGTGAAGGCATATATTTTTTGCATTTTGTTTTCATCTAAGCAGCTCTATCTGTAGACGTTATAGTGTTTTGCTTTTGATTTTTGAACTTGCGGACTGGTGGTCATGATGAACTGCGTAGAGTGGAACGTCAGGTGATGTGGCGAGCCGAGGAATGTTTGGTCGCCGAGAGTTCCTGTGCGTGGGCGTGAATATCTAAACGTGCTGCGGCGGCCAGTGCTTTCTACCCACAACACCGCAACACCACAACACCACAATCTCTGATCTCGCCGCACCTGCGCTACAGTAGCACTACACCAACAGATTCAAAGTCACAAAAGCAGAGATCCAGAGCTCCCACCACAGAGCACTGCTCGTTCACTCCCAGTCCAGCTTCACCGCGCTCAAGGATTCGTCGGCTTAACAGTCAAGTCTCCAGCTTCGTCTCCAGCACTTGGTCAGCGCAGCATCTACCTCACCAGCGTCAGTATTGATCTACTACTGCCCAGAACCACGCTTACACCGACTCCCGTACAGATCACCGCAGGACTTGCTACAACAGTCGCAGTATCAATGGCGCCAAAGAAGGAGAAGGCTGTGCCACAGAAGGGTGACGACAGGTGTGAGTGTTCCTCTATGCCATGGCGCATCGCAAGACGTAAACTGATGGTGTCGCAAAGGCCAAGCTTGTAGAGCTTCGAAGAAAGGATGCGAAAAGCGCCCGGGCCAGTCGCGTTGTGAGCGTTGTCTGCTCCCTCAGTTCCTCGGTAACGCTTGCATCAAGTCGGGTCAGACGCCACAGCAGTCGCAGTCAGGTGTGACGAAGAAGCCTAGCGGAAGAGCTGCTGTTCGTGCTGGATCTTCCCGCTCCGCCTCCACCAACCGTCAGGCCCTCAAACGCAAGGCTACCAACAGTCCCACGGCTTCGACCACCAACCGCCGCAAGAGTGTCACACCAGCAGCCCTGGCTACGAGCGGTGGCTCCTTGGACATCAGCGCCTTGCACGGCCAGCCAGGGTACGACTTTCCCGGTTTGAAGCGCTTGGTCGACAATTACATGGAGCGCGAGGCAGGCGGTAGTGTGGGACAACCTAGAACATCCACGAGTGCGGCACCTGTGGCAGGTTCGGGCAGCATCGGTCGGGTTCACCACGAGCAAGAGACTGGTAGGGAGGTCGATGGGACTCAGGCGGGCGGAAACGAAAGCCCGGATCGCATATCAGTCCTCTGCGTTCCAGGCCAACCGGCCGTCATTCAGAAATCTTATCAGCAGTAAGTACCTCCACTTTGTTCCTGCTGTTGAAGCATAGATATAGTGCACTGCTGTGGAACAATGGCTACATCATAGACCCGTTTGCTGACAGTAGAACTACCAGGAAACTGCCATCAGCCGACGGAGGAGACCGAGGGTGCTCCTGAGCCGGTATTCTTCCCGGTTTTGAGTCTACACAGGATTGAGAAGACCTCAAAGGGGCTACACAACGGAGAGCTGATTCTTGAGTCTCCACATTGGGTCCCTGGCTTGGAAAGCACCCGGCATTATGGCAGGCAGCTGTGGAGCGATGGGTGGCGTTGATATGGCGGTGGGGTTCGCCTGCTCGACGACTATGCGACTAATAGGCCAGAAATGGCATTTCACTTGCTTCCCTTCTCATAGTCCTTTACACCTACAGCGTAATGAACAAACTTGAAGTCACAAAGCAAGTGGCCCGCTTGGCCTCTCAGCATCAGTGCCCAACAATATGTTTCGCGTGATGCCCACGATGGCTTAACTATGACTAATGGTTCTCTGTTTTCTAAAACGCGGTGCGATACAGCGGCAGGTAAATCCACGTGAGCGCAGGGAGAAACGGAGCTCGGGGGTTGTTCTGCCAGCGGCCCCAGACAAAACCACAGCCCTTCCACGCACCACATCAATTCCTGAGACAACATGGCAGGAAAGGAGCATGAGGCCTCGGAGGCGAAGCGGGCCCCAATCCTCAACGCAATGCGCACTCGAAGGCCGCTACAAGACATCTCCGAACGATTCGGCATACCACCAACCACCGTCCGCACCACCGCGTCCACTCGGACCCGCCGCGAGAACAGGATGGCTCGCCGTGCAGTCCAGATCTACGAAGACTCCCCGACCCGAGGGCGTGAACCTACCCAACCTGAAGGCCTCTCTACGGCGCCAACCCCTCCTCCGCTCCTGGCTGCTACAAGCAACGACGGGCCAGCAATGACGTCGTCGCACTCAGACGCGGCTTCGGCGGAGTCCAGCTCTTCCGCCACGCAGGTATGATTGCCCGTATGTTCTCTAGAACTAGGAGCAGAAAGAGATCATGTCACTAATACCCCGCGTTCTCAGGGCGACACTGATGTTTTCACTCCCGACGAGGCCGCCAGGAACACCGAGGGCGAGGACCTGGACGACGGTTGGTGCTCCCTCTCTGTCACGGTTGCAGTCAAAGAAGCACGCTTGCTTGAAATAGAAGCTGCATTCGAGAACTCTTTGCTAATTATGTGACCTAGCTGACTGGGTTGACGAGGAGGTTGAGGTGGCATCCTCTGACGACGCCTATGACACCTAAGTTCATGCAAGGGCCACCTGTATGTGTACGCCCATCATGTACCGCTAGAGTGAGACCTGGGCTTACTAGGTATAGCTAAAGGAGTCTTTGCGATGTGGAAATGCAAGAGGCTACGGGGGCGAGATTGTAGTACGGAAGGATTGTGGGAATACCGAGGATACCGAAAAGCCGCGGGTGATCCGGTGAGAATGGCTTTATCCTGTACATCTTCTCTCTTCAACGAAAAGAACGACTTGGCATTAGCGTTACTTCCTTTGATGAGTCACTTTGTGCGCTGAGGACACAGGAAGCCCAAGAGCAAACACTACACCTGTTGGCGGCTAGGCAAGCACAGCCTGCGGACACAGACGACATACAGCGGTTCTTGGGCAACATGCTAGCTAGTAGTGAGCACTTCAGTAATGACGGCGAGAATTTCTACGGAGACCATCTGCAGAATGCCGAAGGTGGATATCAGCCCAGCGACTATCTACGGGACTTCGACTGGACAGTCCCTACTTCAAACGAACGGATGTTCAGCGTCGAAGCAATGGACATTCATGAGCGGATGCTTTTGCAGAGGTTTAAGCAGCACCCTACTACAGTTGGCGGTTATACAGACGTCAGTCATGCTTTTCGGGCAAATGTACTGCTTTGCTGGCCAGTGACACCTCCCCTCTGCTCCATGTACCGCACAGCTAATCTTACGCAGAACACGCTTCGACGACGTCAAGTCGGTCACACTCACGACGTCTTCAGAGCCGGAGCCGACGGCGGCACAACGTATGAATAACGAAACCGTCTCTCAACAAACCGTCAGTCTCGGGGAACCATTCAGCAACGCCCTCAAGGAAACGTGTTCTCTTCAGCGCGTGGTGGAAAACGCCCTAACGACGACCAAAATAGCTTATACGGGGGGTATAGTCGGACCATCCGATCGCAGACTTATGGACTGCCTTGCAGTTCTTATAGCGCTAGCTCCGGACTTCCGCGTCCATAGGGTTCCACTTCCTCTCGCCGCCAAGCAGACGCCACCGCTGCGGGTAACCTCCCCGCATCTGCAAGCGCGACGATGAGTAGGAAGAGAGGATTTTGAGCCGATAATATTCAATCTCATCAAGCCGCCTCATGCAGTGTTATTGCAAAGTCAATAATGCCCTAGAACTAAATCAATTCAAGCTCCTACCAACTCTGCCGCCCGAAGACGGCCCCTATTCCTCATTCTCTCCTCTCCTTCCAAACCATAATGCTGTGAGAATGTAATTGAGTTTCGAATATTCAACACACTAAGGCGTCTCATGCAGCGTAGTCACGATGTTAAAGGTCACCAAGCAGGGCTCCATTCCAAGACTCTGTCCACTTTGCAGCTCAAAGTCAGCCCCTATTTTGCACCCCTCCTTCCCTAGCTCTAGTCTAAAGCACTATGAAGCCGCAGTTGAACCAAGAACATTTCGTATCATGGATAGATGATAATAGCTATTCAAAGTGAAGTTGGATAGAAGAATGGTACTCGGTTAACTTCACTATTGTGTGGATGGGGGCAGGAGACTGGGCCGAAGACCGCGATCTCCACTTAGGTGGATCCGTCGACTGCCACCGGTAGCCATTATAGACCTGAGTGTTATCCCTGGATATATGCTGCCGTGGATACAACTGGCTGCCAGCGGCTTTCGATTCATGATGATATCGTATGAGGCGGCTCCATCAGTGTTCACGCTTTTGCTGGAATTGGCATCCCCTGACGTTCTGTATCGCGCGCTGGATGAATAGGGGGATGGATAAGGATGCTATACGGCCCTCAGCTTTGACAAGCTGTCTAATTGCGACTGTATTTCCGCGACTTTGACCTCGGGATAACGGCGCATGAGGTGGTTCAGGGATTGCACAGAGTCTTCGAAGTGATCCAAGCTGGCAGATTTCTAATTTGGGAGGTTGGATGAGACGGGATGTAGAATAGAGCTATTCTGGGCCAAAATGAATCATACCTTCTCTATAACATATCCTCTGCTATGCGATGGCTGTGCATGAGTTGCCATGTCCGTTCCACACGTCTTTGCAGCTAATGAAGCTCCTCGGTGATCTGTATCGGGTGGTGAAGGGGTTCGCTTGCTAAAGAAATTTGATTCCGTGCATGGAAAGTAATCCATTTTCGAATTAGGACCTTCTTCGTGACATTTTGGCTTTGTGATGATACCGCATGAGGTGGCGCAGCCAGTCCGTCCATAGATGCCGGGGAAAGCTATCGCGTGGGCAGCTCCGGCGGAGCTTTTGTCGTGGCCACTGCTCTGGATGCTCCAACACCTACACCTTCCCCCACCACCCCATGACTCCATCACCACACACTCCTGTATGCGCACGTTCCTAATAACATTAGAAACGCAGTGAGAGTACGAACAAAGCCCACCAGGCCACCGAAGAAACAGAAAGAACCTAGCCGCCCACCCAAGAAGCGAAAGCAACATTCCAGCCACGATGCCGCGCGTGAGAGCCCAGTTAGAGACATCGCAGACAGCGAGCAAGATGCTGAGGTGTCAGGTGTACTCCTAGGAAGCGCTTTTGAGAATAGTGGAGAAGCTTTTCTCTAACCAAACGCCGCGGATGCGCGCGACTCCCAGCGACCAGACAGACGTACTGTAGACACCGGGAATAATTGAGAGAGGTGGAGAGTCAGAACACAGCAACTGTGGTCTCCATCCATCCAATTCCATGACCCCAGTGGCCTTTTTGGCCACACTTACCAAACCAAGCTGCTACAAGCTCCATCGCCTCACTCCTCCGTCGCCCCCTCAACGGAGACTGTAACCGCAGCCAGAACCAATCCAGCGCCATTCGCTCTAGACTATTCCTCCAATCGTGGTCACGCGCTACGATCATTACCAACACATCGCCCCGCTGCGGCAGCTCTTCCACCTCCAAACAGTCTTCACAACTCTTCTCCCAGTAACTTGACCCAAACCTCCGGCAGCAACTTTATGGTCCCCTTGCCCAATGAGTGGAAATTTGAGTGTGTACATAGAGAGCGTCACCGGAAACCTGGGCGGTAAATTTGAATTCGAGCTGGTGTTCAAGTCGGACTTCGATCGGAACCAGACACCATCAAAGTTGACAGTCACATCCCCCGAGCATACCAGATGAGTAGACCAGGCGGAGGTACAACGCGCCATGGCTGTTTGGGAGCAACAAGGAGTCCTAGGGGGATGGGTTTACGCCGGGCCTCCTGTTCAGCGTCTGACCGAAAATGAAATGGTGATGCAGCATAGCGGTGTGGAAGGAAGCGGCCTGTGGGCCAACTCATTCCAAGGGCAAGCTCCATATATTGACGGCGGTATGGGCTATCAGACCCCGTTCGGCGCGTCTACTATCCTTGGACCCGAGCGAAATTTCCTCGACTAGGTTAGCTATAACTTCTTAGAGTCTTTTACAAACTCTGCGTTTGATCAAACAGTCTACTTACCAGTCTTTCACGCTACGCGTCAACACATCCAGAGGCCGCCTGGTGATCTGCTAGATGTCGCAAACGACGGTCGATACGTGGCGCGTCAGCCCTATCCCTACAAACGCATCACAACTGCACACGGTATTCCCGAAACTCAGATACGCGAGAAAAAGCGTCCAGGACATATTGGAACGCAGGAAACTCACCGGCTGGGAATCCAGGAGCGTCGAAGCCATCCCGATCTACATCTCCGAGGAAACGAGCAACATGGGCCACAGCATCAATATCAACCTACTCAAGGAGCGGACCAAGCTCAAAACAACCCTTCGTCTCAATAAACCGTTCCCCACGGCTTCAATGCCTTTCGAAACAATATGAATCTTCCCGGCCAGGTTAGTAAAGAAGGAATTTCTTCGTATCTTTCAAACCATCTTGCTAACTGACACACGTTTCAGGATGTATTGTATGACTTCCAAAATCACACCAAGAACCTCCACCTCACTGCCAGCCCTGGCATCTCATCCGCACAACAACCTACGCATCAGTCGAGCTCGCACGAGGATGCTCTGAATCGTCACACTTTCGCCCATCAACCGCCCCCTCCAGTCGAGCCGAGCAACCCACTGCAGAATTTCGATCATCCGCCCTACCAGCCTAGCTCACAGTATGGAAGCATCAATCATCATGGCGGCCAGATTCCGGAGGTAGAGCAAGCCGGCGATGCCTTGAATGAGTACTCCTAACACCTCGACCTCCTTCCAGAAATGAATGATATGCACCCTGATTCTCTCGAAGCTTTGAGCCCTTGGCTTAGTTTTGATAAAGAGTTTGCGCCACCCGAGCTGTCCTAGCCGCACTCCCATACACTTCTTACAGCAGGCGGAGGATGTAGGCGGAGGAAGTCCGCGATGGCGACGGATGCGGAAACGAGTACGTGTTTGTCTCGGGTTGGAGCATATGCATCATGTGTTCTTGTTGTGCTTGGGGGAACTTACAAGGGCGATGGACAAGCTCGGGGATTACCGGAAAAAACTGATCAAGTAATACTGCATTCTGGATGCTATGGCTTATACTCTCTCGACCTGAGATTTCAAGTGCTGTAGACTATTGGTAGTATATAAGTCAATTACGGTATCCTTTGGAAAATCTACTACATGATATTGAACGTGAGCTTCTATATGAATGACCTGCTTTCATCTAAATTTGCATAGATTATTTGAAAATGACCAGAAGAGATCCCGTACTCTCAGCGGCTTAGAAGTCTCTGATTGCTGCGGGAGATAATTGGATGAGTGGTACGTGATATACGACTAGCTAACGGAATTATTTTAAGCATCCTTTCATTAATACGGGTATCCTCACTTGAGGACAGAGTCTTTGGTCCCTATTAAATGTGATCTAGTATTGCACGTGTAGAGCCCCGCGATATCACGTGAAGGGCTTCGTCTATGTCGCCTTGGAACTCCCGTGGGCCCCGCTCCGTCCATCTGCAACTCAACCTCTCTTCCCCGATAACCACATATTCGTTCCCCACAGAGTAGGAAAGAATTACAGTCTTCCAGTTGTGAGTAGGACTAATGTTACCAGCCGGCCAGCCAAATGTCCTGGATCGCACGTGTCTTCCGCTACAGCCAGCCCGCAGACTCTCTACTGCGCGTCGTCAGCTTCTCGCTCTCTTCAGCCGCCTTCTCGACCACTTCCATAGAGCGGTGCCCATTCTCGAGCTTTTGATCGACTACTAACAGCCTAGAGAAGCAATGGAACATTCCCTAACAAGCTCCGCAATGCCACCAAAGCGAAAGCGGCGCATCAGCGACGACTCAGCCCACGGGACCGACACTCCCCACGCAAAGCGCCAGCCGAAGCGCTCCTTCCACTCACCCGATAGGCCTGGATTGAATGCTGCGGAAGATGACAAGGACGTGCCTATGAAGCTCACATGTGAGTGCTGCCCCCTTAGGTCATGACAATCTGTTGGCTGATCTACTACCCCAGGCAAGAACTGTTTCCGGTTGAACCAGCCATGCGTACAAGACTGGAAGAACGGGTTCGGCTATTGCGAAACTGGCGGCTTGAAGTGTAATCTGCTTGACCCCTAGCTTGTCTGCGGTTGTGAAACTCACCACAATTGCCCACCCACACAATACCATCCCGGAATCCGACGCGGCCACTTTCAGTGTGGCTGCAGAAAGCAATTCCCTCTAAGACGGGAAGCGCAGTTGATGAGCGGAACATACAGTGGCTGTCCTCCAGATGCAGCAACCACCCAGTCGCCGCTGTCTTTCATTCTCGCGCTCAGACGGACTGCGAGGGGTGGCTCGGGGTGCTATCGACTGTTGAAAGCTGTCGGCGGCCGAGCAGTACCTTAGGAGCCGAGTGAAGCTATGGATCCGCTTGCTGCAGAGGGTGTTGATCAATCAGTATACAGCGACAACAGCGCCGGCACTGGAAATGGTGGTTATTACCAAGAAGCGCGAGCCCGGCTCCTTTCTTCACCCTCTCGACCGCTACCCTTTCAAATAACAGCACTGTGTTGAGCCAACACGCCCCAAGCCCACCGCCGCGCTACAGCCGGTATCTACAGCGCACAGCTAGAGCAGCACTACGTACCATCAACGGCGGAGCGACCATGAGTCCAGCCTCTCCTCCCGAACATACCTCTATCAGTGACACTGTTGGTCGCCCGTGGGCTCCCTGCCCTGGAAACCAAGAGTGGACTTCCCACATCAACGGAGTCCACCTCAACTCATCCCTGGACTATGCACTCAATGTGTCGTTTGCTTCGCGTATTACCGCTCGCGCTCAGGGGCCGTTGAGGGACGCAGTCTCTCCCTCCGAGGCTCGCACATGCGCCCATGAGAACGAGCTTGAAGCAGCTACAGATGGTCTGGAAGCAGGTGCAGACGATATTGAAGCGGCTGGACATAATCTTGGAGTAGCTGTAGATGATCTTCTTCAGCGGTATGACCCGCGATCGCAGACAAACGCAGCAGGTAGTGGCTACATGCAGAACGATGGGGATCAATTGGGACATCAGGGGATGGATGCGGAGGAGAGGGCAGCTTAGCATGTCAGCAGGCCTTGCAAGCCAGGTGAGTGGAGAATTTTACTCCGCATGGTCCGCCTCTCAAGTCACAAGTCGCTTCCAATTAGTCTGATATGAAGATGATGCCCACTCAAGACAACGGCTTTTCTAGCTCCAGCAACATCGGTCCCCTGCTCCTGTTCGATTCATCCTACGAGCCACGACCGCACGAGCGCCATGAGCTTCCGGAAGAGTCACACCATGTGTAGAAGGCACACAGAGACCGTGAGAAAGACAGAGCTGCTAGCGATGGGGACAAGGCTGGGAGAGAGGCCCACGGAGAAGAGTACAGTCTCGAATGATGAGAAGTTGGCATAGATATCAGCAGACCTCCAGTTTGGCTACGCGGTGGATTACTATCAACGGTTTATATGGTACAGGCCCAGCAAGGGCTTTTATGAAATAGACAAATGGTCTCACAGCTGTGGTAGACTTTAGCGTGTGACGGGGCTTTCGTGGACTTGACTAGCCTCTTGCGGTCAAGCACGGGGCATGCGGGTCTATGATACTTTGATCAGCAGTGGGATCTTGTCTCTAACTGGGTAGAAGAGGTTTCCAAGTCTGGACGGGCTCGCAAAGGGTGTGTTGATAATAAGTTTAGAAATTCATCCAAGGGCAGACTTTGCGGCTTTCGAAATACTATGACGTGACACGTGATACGACTATAGCTTTTCTGTTCGACTCGAAGTTGTACACAGTTCCCTACTTGCGACCATCTTTACGCAAAACTCAGGAACGTTTTTGGAGGAAAAACGAGGCGGCATCAGACGCGGAGTTTGCAAGATTGTCCGTCCCATAAGCCAGGGGCTGTCGCAAGCTTTGTAAACAATCATCCTAAGGACAAGGAATGAAAAGTGCTACAAAACGTAAAGACACGCGACAAGACTACTACACTAAGAGCATAGTAGACTTAGGGGCTATTTGAAGATGAAGCGATGCGTGCACTGCCAAGCGTGACCCGTGCCGTGGGATATGACGTGATGCACTGAGCGCTGCCTGCCTAAGTGAAAGTGCCCCCGCGTGCGAGACGCGCCACGCCTCCCAGATCGCGGTACTTCCCGCCCTACCGCTTGTACATTTAGTTGCCATTGTGACCTATTTATCTAGGGGGCTACTAATCGCACACCCCCTTTTCACTAATCGCACACCCCCTCCCCCCCTGTCGCTTCACCACCTTATAATTGGCTCGGATTAACGCGGAGCTTCCTCCGGGCATTCACCTATACGTCTATCTACACGTGATGCTATACGCGAGGCCGTACGGCCTTACGTACGGCTATATATATAGCTACACGAATCGGAAAAAATGTATGCCGATTTGTATAGCCTTATGTACAAGCCTAAGTCTAAGTATAGAATAGAAGTTCTATTCTAGAAGTGCCTATATGCCTACAAGCATGCTAAACCTGTTAAAACCTCACCTTATTACGGCTCCTTTGCATTGAGCCTGGCCCCCCTGCATCACCACCTGCACCTACTCTATATACTAATCCATATACTCCTTAGCCTCCTCCTTATAGTTATACTCTGCAGGCGCCACAACGTTCCTACGGCCTGGCGGCCGGCTTGATAACTCAGCAGTGCCCCCCTCGACACCTGCTGGACGCTGAGACCCTTCTAGACGTGCTTATAGAGCTGCAATCTATCGTAGGATGTCTGCACGGTCATCCTCTTGTTCCACCTAAGGTTGAGGCTGAGCACTGTCTTGCCTCCGAGCTCCTGCCTTTTTCCGTGGTACCTTATCCTTTGCACCAGGCGGCCGGCCGCGCTTCTTAGCTGCAGGTGTTGCTGTATGCGCTGCTGTATGCGCTGCTGTATGCGCTGCTGTATGCGCTGCTGTATGCGCTGCCGTAGATGCTGCCGTAGATGCAGCTGTAGGCCTAAGAAAGGCTGGATCAATATAAGAAAGATCAGCCGGTGTAGCTGTCGACTAATAGGCATTCCGAGCTACAGGAGCTGGACGAGGGACTACAGAAATAGGCGGTGCTGGCAGCGGAGCTGTCGGCATGCGTCCTGGAGGTATGCTCGTATGTCCACTCTGTCTGGTTTACTACGGTATTTTGCTAGGCCGTAGCCCTGCGCTGATGCGTGCGCTTGTAGAGCAATATGCGCTACCTCTGCTGTAGCGTAGTACGCCAGCCGTAGCGGGTGGAGGGCCATAGTGAGTGTATTGTAGAAGGAGAGGAAGAGGATGTAATTGATTGCGATCAAGGCCGCATTTGGAGAGAGCATTTGGAATTAGTGAGCGACTTAGGCGAGCGAATCGGAGGCCTCGGAGCACCCCTCCGGGCCAATCAGAACGTGGTGAAGCGACAGGGGGGGAGGGGGTGTGCGATTAGTGAGAAGGGGGTGTGCGATTAGTGAAAAGGGGGTGTGCGATTAGTAGCCCCCTTTATCTATTGGGGTATATGTTCTGTCTATTTAGACTGAATATCAAAATAAAAGCCGGAGTGGTGTAGTGGCAACATGTTGAGCGGGTATCACCCGTCTCAGAGAGGTCGGTTCGAATCCGACGTCCGGAAATCTTTTTTTTCCTTTTGGCGCACTATCTCGAGCTACCAGGGCTATATACACGTCTATATGTTCTTTTTAAAGCGCCACACCCCCTGAGATTTTTTTTTAAGTGCAACGCCCCTTGATATATCCCTTTTGAAGCGCAACAGCCCCGGCGTAGGTGTTGAGATGGAAAATGCGAAGCAAAGAAGACGCAAAGATGCATCTTTTTGCCCGGCCGCTAGCGTGAAGCCGTGGCCGTGACGTGAACTCATAGGGTGGGTCCCGCTCTCGCATAGCGCCCGTATCCCAGACGCGACAAGCAGCCGCTACTAATACATTTTTTTGGTCCTGGAGGGCCTATTTGTAGCTATTCGTGTTTGATTTTTGGGCACCAGCGACTTCACTCTTTTGCTCATGCTTCCTTGATAGGCCAAAGAGCATCTTGGAGAGATTCTCCTATTGTTTGATACACAGAGGGTCTCTTGGTGCCCTACAGCTGCACTTCGCGAGAATGAGGCTCAGCCAATGTCTCCGGGCTGGAGACTGTGGCACTGTGACCGCTCTACACCCCAGGAGTCTTCTGCTGAACCATCACTTGCGGCCCGGCTTCGGGGACTCCAACATGTGCACGTCTATAGCTACAGCCTTCAGCTCGTCAGTCCTTGCACAAGATTGCCGCCCGGTCCTCAGCTACAGCTTCGTAGTCCACAGTTCTCAGCTCTGGCGATGTGCTGTTCGCGGCCTACGTCAGAGAGTCTGCTGTAGCCTGGCCCTCCCTACTTTTCCACTCCGACCTCTGCACCCCGCTCCAAACAACATCATGGCCACACCTCGCCACACCTCGCCACACCTCCACCACCAACAACGACACCCTCACCTTCGATATCGCACCCAGAACCAGGGTGCTTTGGAGCCACCCCAGTGCCGCACAACCGTCTCCTCCTCCTCCTTGCCACCGCGCGAACGTCTCCCGGGCGTTCACCTGCTCCACGAGCTGTCGCCGACCGACCCAGCTTGGAGGCCCCTACCACCCTCAGCCGCCCACAGCCGCAGAGCCTCGAGGTATGTGTACTCTGTACACGTTAGCCATCATTCTTCACAAGTTCTCCTAAGCCAAGGCAGACGCGGAGCACGTCTCGTCCTAGCAGCACGCCATGGGCGAGACGCAACCCTCTCCAGCCTCACGACCAGGCATGGCCTTCACGTTAGCTAGGATAATCAGGATACTGGGGCACCCTATGAGGAGGCGAAGAGTGTGGAAAGGCCGACCCCTGAGGAGCCTGATGGCAGCCTGCTCGTGTCAGTGTCTCCTAAGAGCGGAGAGCCTTTGGAGCGCCTTGAACGCCGCGCGAACGTCTCCCGTGGACATACCCTGCGCCACGAGCTGTCGTGAGCTCTGTCGTGAATCAAGCCGATTTGGAGGAGACTCCTACCCCCCACAGCCCTCAAGCCAGCTGCAAGACGACATGAGCCCAGCAGCCTCCGGATACAGTCCAAGTTCCCCGCCGACGTACTCCTCGAGTCCCCCCGAACGCTCGCATCGACCCACGCAAGCGCCATAAGGGACCTACTTCTCACATATGTCTCCTCCTGCCCAGGGAAAGATCTATCGCACAGAGAACCTGTGCCGCAAATCCTCCTTCACGCTCGCCGCAACTCTTCCGGGCCCCGCCCTGTACCCGCTCTTCTCGCACGCCAGCAGGTCAGCTCTCTAATCTGCCATGCTTCCCGCGGCGAACTTCGTCGCACAAGCTCCGGCTGTGTCACGTCCGGTGAGGGCACGGTCGACCTACACATCGCGCTGGAACAAGGAAACAAACCTCGTGAGCTCTGTCGTGAATCAACCCGATTTGGAGGGTTCTCCTACACAGCCAACCTACACGCTTTGCTGTGGAACAAGGATACGAGCTTTGCGAGCTCTGTCGTGGATCAACCCGACTTGGAGGAAGCTCCTACACGGCCAACCTGGACACTTCACGCTGGAACAAGGAAGCAAACCTCGTGAGCTCTGTCATGAATCAACTTGATTTGGACGAAGGTTCTACACGGCCGACCTACACACTGCGCGCTGGAACATGGAAACGAGCTGTGTGAGCTCTGTCGTGAATCAACCCGACTTGGAGGAGGCTCTTACGCGGCCGACCTACACACTTCGCGTTGGAACATAGAAACGAGCTTTGCGAGTTCTGTCATGAATCAACCCTACTTGTAGGATGCTCCTACGCGGCCAACCTCTACACTTCGCTCTAGAACAAGGAAACGAACCTCGTGAGCTCTGTCATGAATCAACTTGATTTGGACGAAGGTTCTACACGGCCGACCTACACACTGCGCGCTGGAACATGGAAACGAGCTGTGTGAGCTCTGTCGTGAATCAACTTGAGTTCGAGGAAGCTCCGACACGCAGGACTGCACACATCGCGCTGCACACATCGCGCTGGAACAAGGAAACGAACCCCGTGAGCTCTGTCGTGAACCAATTCGATTTGGAGAAGCCTCCTATACGGCCAACCTGCACATTTCGCGCTACGAGTAGGAAACGAGCTTCGTGAGCTCTGTCGTGAATCAACCCGCTTTGGAGGAGGATCCTACGACAATCACTCGATCGAGCCGATCCGGCTCGCCTGCCTGTCGTCGACGCGCAACCGGATGGCCGAGCCGCTTGGTAGCGAGCTGCACACGCCGAGCCCGGGCCTGTGCAGCTTGTATGGCAGGGGCAGTGACAGGCTTGCGCAATCAGGAACTTGGATAGACGTTGAGAAGACCGAACGGCTGCTAGATCAAGGCAGTGGATGGACTCGGTTTCTTTCATACCACTCATCGGTTGGACGCTTCTCAGAGGAGGTTTGTCGGTCTAGATTGATGCTGCGCAAGCGTCAAAACTCTGCATTGTCTCTTGGAGTATGGGCATTTTGGGGGTATATTGCTCTTGGGGCAACTGGAAAAGTAGTCCTCGTTGAAGACCACACTCCATCATAGTCTAGAAATCAATTGCGTGCCCGCAAGCAAAAAAAGATTTCTCGAGTACTGCCCGATGGGGGACCTGCGGTACTGGCGGATGGCGGATCAAGGAGTACGAGCACAAAAACAGCATGCCCATGCCAGAGGCCACGACCTGGCGCTTCTTCATACAGAGGGGTCGCCCAGGCGCTCGCCTTCCTCGCCCAGGGTGTCGGCATGGTGGACATGGACAGAAAGCCTACGAGGGGTGGATCTCGCTGATCCACCGCGACATCAAGCCCTGCAAGGTCTTCATCATCTGCTCATTCGGACTCGCAGCATGATGGCCGATGTCAGTTGCACATATACTCTATCGGTTGTCTTTCTCGCTCATTTCGCTGACCACGAGCAGACGCGTACCAACCTTTGACCACAGAGTTGTCGCCAGCGACGTGACCTGTAAGCTCTCTTTGAGCCTCAACTCGCTCTCCTTGTCAGTCGGAGAATTGAGCTTCACGAGCTATTCCCCTCTGTCCCATCTCGACCCCGTCACCCGCCGCCGGCCACGGAACATTGCGTCTCACCAGCGGTGCAGCCTTTCCCTCCTCGTTATTGGGCTGCATCCCTCTGTACTCCTCCTCCCTGACCAGGTGGTTATAGTCGTTCTTGGGTAGACGTGGAATCTTCTTGCCTGCTGGTCTCCTGCATGTTTTGATGCAGGACGGATGTCACACTAGATCGATTCGAGGCGGGCCATGCCTTGCGAAGAGGAGGAGCGGAGGCGTCAAACCCGTCATGGTGAAGGGGCACTACCTTGACGGGAAGATTGTAAGTCACTAGACCTCCTCCGTTCTGTGGCGACAAGCTGATTGTCCCACCAGATCGTTCCGAAGCGGGCCATCCCTCGCGAGCAAGAGCGCACATCCAGGTTGTCCTCATCATCCTCTTCGGTCCAGCACTCGACGCCTCCTTCCGTCCTGGACTCCCGCTCCGTCTAAAGTTTGCCATTAAGACCTCGGAGAGATTCCGTCTTTGAAAGGCTCGGTGTTGACACACCATCATGATGTAAAAGCACTACCTCAACGGCAAGATGGTAAGAGACTGGACATCCTCAGTTTTCTGACTGGACGCTGACCGCCCAGTGCCTTGGTCCCCTTTAGATCGATCCGAAGCGCGCCATCCCTCGCGAAGAGGAAGAGCACACAGCCGAGATATTCGTCGGAGGAGTCAGTCCATAATGGGTTTTCCAAGGTTGGAATGGGTGTCATTTACCGGTGGAATTTGAATATATCCGGTCGCGTCGTCCGTTCCGCTCAGGTTCATTTCAAACCCGCAAGACTTTGTTTCAGACCGCGAGGAGGTTCCTCTCTCCAGAAGATCTAATGTGTCAACACCGTCATGGTGAAGAAGCACTACATCGAAAACCACTCTATGAGAAACTCCTTTGCTGGGCCTGGTTTCAACTCGTGCGTCACTAAACCGGTTGAATTCAAAGAACTCTCGCATGTCTTGACCAAGCTTTTGGATTCAAAGGAGAAGAGCAAGCCGCATGAGTTTATGGCGCCCTGAACACACAAAAGACCGTGGGCTGCTGTCTGCTCCGTCCTTCAATAGTATGTCGACTGTCCGACCGAATGATCTGGACCCGGCCATCCATCGCGAAGAGCAAGAGCGGACACCCAGGATATTTGTCAAAGGACGCAGTCAATGTGTCTTTTCCAAGCTTCAGATCACGTCTCGGCTATGGTTGGACATTTCTGAGGGAGTGATACTCTACGATGGACGCAAGAAGGAGAGACCTAGCGCCCCGACCATCGACAACTGCCTCCTCTCCGTCATCTGCCAGTCTTCAGAGAGACGCGTTTCACCATTTGTTGGCAGAATACCTTGGTTTCTGTCGTTTTGGAACGCTTTGCCTCTTTTCCACCTGATTCTTCTGGACCACACCGACTTGTTTCTTTCCTCAGCTCGCAATCACATGCGCGTGATGAGGGCGCTCCTAGTGCTGCGAGCGGCGTTCCATTCCACCGTCTCTATGTCGGCAACGTTCACTTCAGCATCATAGAGACCGGTCGTGGGTTTGCCGGAGACGGAACGTGTCCTCAGCTCGCCATTACATGCGCGTGACGAGTGCACTCCTAGCGTTGCGAGCGGCGTTTCATTCCACCGTCTCTATGTCGGCAACGTTCACTTCAGCATCATGGAGACTGGCCGTGGGTTTGCCGGAGACGGAACAGAACAGGAGGTTGCTAGTTGCGGATTGGGCGGTTCGGGATTGGATTCCTAGTAACCTGTCCGTCACAGTCATGGATCAGCCGCGTGACTTGACTGTCATTCGCCGCGTTCTGGCGTACGCAAAGGTCCGGTACAGGTACAATTAAGTTCACCTGGCCACCTCCTTCAGAGACGAGCTGCACATTCGCACAATGAAATTCGAAGCGGAGATTGTGGAAATGGTAGAGAATGTGGGACTTCCCAACAAGCTGTGCGAAGATGTTCCTGGCGATATTAAGGAGGTCGACTCGGATTCGGATTCTGATGACGATGAGGAGGATCCGAGCGAGGGCCAGGTCTAGTACCAGGTCCAGGACTACGACGATGCGTACGAGGAGCCCTATGTCTTCAAGTACTAGGCTAAAGAGGATGAGGAGGAGCATGAGTGAGTTTGTGCGTAGGAATGACGAGCTCAAATACTGAAAAGAATTGTTGGGTCTATATAACGATGGCTGTTGAGAGACGGCGGATGTCAGACCTCGGCGGTTCAGCTTGATGTTGCTTTTGTTGCTGCTTAGTATATTTAGCACAGATACCAGCAGCTTTGTATAAATTGATGCGCAGGATATCGGAGTTGCAATTAAGGATGAACGGATGCCTGTTAGTGACTGTAATTCTCAAAAAACCGTTTCTCGTCGACGCTCCATCGCCAGGGCAATCCAGAGCGAGGGAATTCCAACTACTTTCTTCGGCCGGTCGGGAAGAATATCAAGGCCGCAGTGGCCGGGTAGGGATGTCGATACCACGGTTACCATTCTCGATCACAGCTTCTCGTTCAGCGAGGCCTTTGCCGAGAGCCAGATTGCTGACATTGTCTCGTAATTTAAGCAGAGTAACACGGATTCACTGTCTGAGTTATTCACTATTTGTCGTTTGCACTTGAAGCGTACTTAATTTCCGACTTGTTGTATGTATTTTGGAGACTGTGGAGACACGGGAAGAATTTCCCGATGTAAATTCAGTATGGGGCATATCGTCCAAAGATGTACAGTATCAAATGCCAAACTTCCTATGTAATGCGGGAAGGGCTCTATCTTAACGCTGTAATTGATGAGCATATTTAGCTGCAATTCTTTATAACACCCAACTCGAGGGCGACAGCCCTGATAGACTATAGAAAAGGCACCGCACGTGACTGGAAACCCAAAAAGTTACGCGCCTAAGAGCGATAGACTGGTTTTTACATAAAAGATTCCTTCTCAAGTCGCTGAAAATTTCGTCGTCGATTACGAGTCCGAGGAACGCAATGCCTAAGTCTTTGCCAGGAGGATAAATGGAGGAGCGGGCTTCAGGAAGCGCGAGAAAGAAACTAAAGTTATCAACAAGGATAAAAAAGGCGTCCTAAGGACCGAATCGATGGATCCTCTAAGCCGGAGGATAAAAAGTAAAGGTACCCGATGGAGAACTAAAGTGTAAAAAAAGATGTTTTCACGGGGGTCGAACCCGGTTCTTGTGGTTGTGACTATGATAGACGTTAGCGAGGTTTCTTTTAACCACCCTCACCACTGGACGGGGTGAGGGCGAAAGACGGTCGAACTTATAGCAAATATATAGTTAGGATATAGGTCGGTGTGGGGTCTGAGCTACCTGGCTGGCGCGCCTCTCTGTGCGGGAATGTCGCGGGCCACGGGCAACTTGGCAGTCTCTAATGCCGCTGGCTTTCCTTCGTCTCCCTGCCACTCTGGATCCATCATGATCTGCTTGACGTTCTCTTTTGCCAGCCCCCCACCCGGGCATGCCGGCTCAATTCTCGTCAAAGACCATCACCAATCGCTTCATCGCCTCAGCATCCTAATCACTGCTTCAAGTGCCACTCCAAGCGGACCAGGCCTGCCGCTTAGCCTCTCTTTGTAGAATCGACAATAGCCAGTTCTCGCTCACATTGCACCTTTCAGGTACGAAAGCACTTCTCAAAAATCAGTCGACAAATTCCACCAATGAAGCAGACAGGTCAATATTCTCAGCATTCTATCCCTTAGTGCCTGCATCACTACCAATGGTACTCACGACCGATATGCGCACTATAGACGCCAACTCCCTGACTGCAGCTAAGCTTGTTACGCAAGCTCTGCACCGTCCTCCATTCCCGAGCTCTCAACTACATCGCCGAGCTCTCGGCAGCCTCATGTTTGCCCGCGGGCTCCTCCGTCTTGAACGAACCGACTCCGGCGATGGCGATCATGGCCGGTCCCTCCAGTTCCTCCATCCCTCTACCGCACAAAAGTCTTCCTGACTTCCGGTAATGTCAGGCGCCGAAGAAGCACATTCGCAACCGCTAAAAGCTTGAGCTCATATCTCAGACATGCAGCTCACCTCGACTCTCCTATCGGCTTACTTGGCCACCGCCAATGCCCTGCATCATCGCCATATACACCACAGCCGCCACTAGGCTGTGGCTGGAGCAGTTACGATGCGGTTTAAACATCCACGAGGCACAGGGGTATACGAATAGCTCGTATGTTCTGCGACAAGAGAACATAGTATTCTATGAGGACAAGCCGAGTAGGCCTGCGACGCCGGGTTTGGTGGATGGTGGTGTCGGGCTGGACTGAAGCATCACCGAGCTCTCGACTCTATCACCACGCTCTCGAGAGCCTCGTCCTCGCCGGTAGGCTCCTATGTATCACCGGTTCGACCCAGCGATGGCGGCTAGCTTCTCCAACTTATCCACCTCTCTCTAGCACTAGAGTTTCCTTTCCGGACTTTTCATAGTCCCTGACGGCGGAAGAAAACACCCTTAGCCTCCTAATATTTTTGCCGAGATTACGGAGACGCTGGTCTACCCCATTGACTCATCCCACAAGCATGCAGCACGTCTCGACTTGATTGTTCCCTTGTTTGGCCACCGCTAAAGCCCTACACAGTCGCCATGCATGCAACCACTGCCGCCACGCCGACGAGTGGGTGGACATGGTGGGAAGCCTCCCTTTCCAGCTGTATCACATCTTCCACTAAGCGCTCACTAGCGTCATCACCCGTGAGCGCCTCCTGTAGCCGATCGCACCTTCGAATACACCATGAGCCGAACCCAGAAGAGATGTAGCCACGAGCTGGACTCCACTGTATCCTCGTAGCGTAGCGCTTCTTATTGGATATCAATAAGTTGCGGCTCGCGGTGGCGATAGTATTTGGGCGGGAGGTGACGCTGGCGCCTTTACAAAAGACTACCATATACTGCTAGGTTATAATAATCACCCTTAGGCTTTGCTTGGAGTAGCACAGAGATGAGGTCTTGAAGCTGTCCAGAATCTGGTGGAGAGTCGATCCCGTCCTTCGCGTTTGACTGTCCCGACAAGATCTGTCGCTGACGTTAGAGTTACTTCTTCTTCATTCCTGGGCCGCGCTTCCATGGGGCCCTCTTCTTCTTCGCTCTCCGGATACTCATCTTCCTCACTTGCTACATACCTGTTCTCCTCACTTGCTATATGCTCATCGTCTTACGTGATCGGACTGAAGTGTACTTGATCCACTGATCAGAATCGAATCTCTTCGGTGTCGCCTTCAATTCAGCTCGAGTTAGATAACACATCTGCAATCTCAACTGGCTTGTTCGAGCTACAATGGGGACAGCAATAACACGGCTGTTATGACGGCTACTCTCGCCAGCCCTATACTTCGGTAGGAAAGTCCTACTCCTCACCCGCCGAAAAGCTACAAACTGAACGCATCTCGGCCCGTACAACTGCCAGCGGCAGCCAGCGAGCTGGTCAAGAAAACTTGCACGGAGTTGGTGCCCAAGTAACGGACCTCCTCCTAAACTTCCTCACTTCCCAGCCAACCGCGCCAGGTCACTCCAAAAGCTTCTGCAGAGAGCTGACATAGAGCCCTCTCACCTTTCTTGGCGCCGACAGACACGCTCGAGAACAAGTCGGGCGCGTTGGGGTATTATCATCAGTTGTGCGTGCACCTGCCTCGATTACTTCCCGTTGCTAGATGACGGCCCATAACTTCGCCCATCAAACATGTTGGCCATACAGACGGAATCTGTATGGCCAACGTGACTCCTATCTCTGCGCTCCTTATCGTCCGCCACTTCGATTTTTCCTTACCGGAGCCGCCTTATCGAAATGCCGCTTCAATATAACGGCAGTCTCAAGTCGCTAAAGGCCTTCAAGGTGAAGAGGCGCACCAAATACATGGTGAAGAGCTATAGTGAAGGCGCAGGTCTTGAAAAAAGCGACAAGCTCAGAGGCTACCTAGACTTCGATGGCTACACTTTGCTGAATCCAAGCGCTGTGCTCTGGATACGTGGATAGTAGGAAGGCGGAGGGCAGCAATTAATCGGACTCGATTGGTTACGATAACGACGAAAGACTCGGGTTGTAACAGCTACAACCTAGGATCAACAACTCATACGGTTCACGGTCACCTACGTACAGGCACTCCCCCCCCTTCTCTCTCCTTAATTCTCGTTCTTCTTCATTGATTGGTTGCTGCTAACGCGCACTCAGCGTGGCGAGGTCCTCTGTTCAGCTACAACAGGTTTCTCTCAGCTGGGTTCGTTTCTTTCAGCTGGCCTCTATTCAGCTGAGCTGATAAGACCTAGGGGGTGGGCCATTTCCTATTAAGATATATTCGGCCCGTACGGCCACTATAATACAAGCAGAGTTCACATCAATTTCAACCTAAGTGAAAGCCTGTCACCGCCAGAGACAACTGCTATTGTTCCTGAGGCTTTGGCTCCACGGCCCGGACTTGGGTGCATCGCCTCGAACAAACTACTCTCACGTTGAGCAAGGGGAAGGAAAGTTTCCTGCAAGTCTTTTCAACGATCCTTAGGCGAGAGCACTTTCCAAAAGACCAGCGCCGCCGGTACTCTTTCCTTGAGAATCTCGGCACTGACATCTTCAACGTGCAATAGAGCGCGGTCGACAGGTGAGTTCATTGGCTTAGAGGCTGTTAAGAAGTTACAGTCTCGTGTCTGTAACCGTACAGCAACCTCCTACCACAGCCTAGCAATCAACCAACTTCACAATCCTTCGTATTGCTTTAACCGCCTGTACAATCCTCCACGCTACAACTACTAAGCTTCGGCGCATTCAACCTAAATCGGGTCAGTGCCACCCGTGCCGTTGAAAATGTTGGCACCACCTGCGCTCGGCCCTCCCGGACCTTATAGCGGACTCTTCCCAGCCGTACAGCTGGCCGAAGACTACGCCAATTTGCGCAACACTGCTCTTCATACAGTTTTGCAAGAGGGAGATGTCATACCACCTGAGGGCACCCACCATTCCCGGTGCAGAATGATGTACAATGAAATAGTGTATATGGCAGGCACTCTCAACATCGCAGTAAATAAATTGCAACGCCCTTCAAGAGCACCTCGAAGCACTAGCAGTTGAGATTGTGCACAACATCATCGCCATTTCTATTCGTGGGCCATGTGTGTTCCTCGAGTATCTCTTCGATGCTAATGCTAGCGCTCGATAAATTCGCTAACGGTATGCCGCTCCAGCACTTCATGGACAACACAAATTCGGCTCTTCACTACAACCAGCAAAGTGAGCCGCGCCGCCACGAGCGGGGCGGTCATAATAAGGCCTTCTGGACTCACTTGCATAAGACCTTGGGCAAGAACTAGCAAGTTGTCGCGATATGCAAGTGATCCGCAATATAATTTGATATGCCTGAAGTGATTCTTAAAGTGCTAAAATAATTTCCAGTGGCTCTTAAAAGAAAGTGAGAAGAGGATTCCGCCGCAGCTGCCCTTTGGGGCGTTAGGTGATGGATGTGCAGATAATTTGGTTTCTCTAAACCCGGCAAGGGGTGTGAAGGACGGTCACGTGACTCCCAGGACCCACCGAACAAAAACGCCGCGGGCCCCCGCCAACACCGCCGGTCCTGCCTTCTTCCTCCTCACCGCGACACGAACACCTCGACGACGGACGACTGCTAGCTATAGGGCTAACTTCCCTGATGCAGTGGTTCATCTTTGTCCTTTTCTTCCTGTGGCAGTCACCCCGGCCCCGCATTGGCGGCAACGACAGGGACGGTGATCAGAACACCCATGGGACCAGATTGAAGCCTTGACGACTGGTGATCTCAGCCAATGGCCTCCACGCCGCCCTCGTCGCTCGTCGAGCCAGGACAACGATCTCGCTAATCTCCCATCCGACTTGGACGACTTTCCTCACGCATCATCTGAGACAATCCTGGACACTCTGACCCAGCCAGAGAGAGATCGCTGAAGCCACCAAAGATCTTCCTCAACATAGTTCTGGACGAAGCCGTCGAGGAGACAAAGGGGAGTCGACATTTCTAAGATCACGGGCCAGGCCGACCTCTCTGAGATGGGTGACAGATCCTATGATCGCTGCCTTCTTTCCGCTCCGGTACTTCGGCGGAAAGAAGGTAGCGATCATTGGATCTGGTCTGTGTTTGTTGGTCAGGAGGGCGGGGAGAAAGTAAGAATCGGTATGGTGGTATGTTGCACACAATGGCCGCTTTTGCAGGAATCGACTCGAGCTGATATTTTCTTCTTAGGTCAAGGGAACTCTGTTGTCATGCTCGAGGGAACTCCGTTGTCATGCTCGAGGTAGGCCTATTCCTGCGAGGTCCCACATGTCCTTCGTCATTGACTTTGATATAGGCTTTGGAGCGCATTGGCGGCAACGACAGGGAACAGCGGTGATCCGGACACCCGTGCGATCATAGTTGAACGAAGCAGATTGAGAGAGGGATCACTGAAGCCTTAATACTACGGATGCCGCCTTGGCGATACGGTTTTCTGCAAGCCAGGACAAGAGTTAAAAGGCAACTCTTGGTTACGCGTGTCCAGGAGTGTGAAAGGAAAAGTCATGGACTACAAAGGAAGTGGGAAGAAGTGCGTCGGCTTGAAAGATGATGGCAGATGGTCCTTTCATACTCAAATGGACAAAACTACAGCCCGGCTCTCTTGTGCGCCTCCGCCCGGCTATGAAGCCCGTCGTCCACGCGTTCCTCCAGCGCGTTCATCGATGGGTCCTACAGAGCTTGCCTCTCCCCGCCCAGCTGCCACCTTGTCTCCCGTTAGAGCCGCCTCGCTCAACATAAACAGATCGAAGACGGCCCCTGCTCTCGATTTAACTTCCCGAATGCAATAGTTTATCTTTGTTCGAAAAGCGTTACTCTCGTGATCACCTCAGGCCGGGTCTACCGCAGCAAGCTTATAGAAGGTGAGAGTGGGTGCTGATCCTATTCAAATAAGCACTCGAAGCTAACGTGTTTCTCGTGCAGCCGAAGACAACATGAACGTCCAACTCAGAGACATCACCGTAACCGCACGCGACGGCCGTGTATCCCATCTCACTCAAGTGTACATCTGCGGGTCACACGTGCATTTTTTCATCATCGCGGACATTTCGCGGTACGTCTAATCCCCCACTGTCTTTCCCGAAAGGTGCTGTGGATTTAGCTAGACAAAGCTAATAAATAAATCAGGAACGAGCTCATGTTTAGGCCGAGAGGCACGAGGGGTGGAGGTGTTGTGTAGCCCGTGGAAAAGCAACGGTCAACAGGGCACGCGGCCAGAGGGGTGGATACCCTTGAAAGGACGCTAGTATTGCTACTCGAGACAGCATGGGCTAGTATTAGAGAGCAGCGGTGAAGGCTACGACAGGCGCACTTCACCTTGTATATAGCCTTACCTTCCTCTAGACCTTTCTCTTCACTCGACATTCTTATTCTCTTCATCAAATTCGACCGCTAGGTTCTACGTGGTGATGGATGCTTCCATCCGGCTCTAGTCCATATAGCTCCAGTTCAGTTCCATCACTCGTTCTGCAGAAGGTGCCTCTCCCGCACAGCCGCCGTCATGTATTTCAACAAAACCCCCCTCAGATGCGTCACGAACATAGCGAATCCGATTCAAAGGGAACCTTCTCGCCTTCCTCTTCGACCTTCACTCGCGAACTCGTCGACTCGGAACATACGAAGATGAGCTGATAGCTGACGCCGCACCACCACGACATATCCGCAGAAGACAGGCGAGTACCAGATCATGAAGCCAGATCACCGTGGAGTTCATCTGCTCTGGTGGAAGTGAAGAGTTCTGAGGCACAACCCATTCGTGGACGGCCGACGCGCGGACGGGCACGCTCTGATACCGAGGTCGGAAGAGTCTAGTAAAGATGAGTCTTGCTTCTGGGATCGACCTCCTAATTGCAGTAGTTTTATTTTTATTTTTCCTTCTACGGAGGTCGTCTATAGTGAAGACTGGAGTAGATTTAGCCTTAGATCTACTCCATCTACAGAAATCGCTATAGAGCTCCTGGAGCGCTAGGAACTTCATAATAGAGCTAAGTTATACTTAAAATAGCTAGTGATCTTCCTGAAATAGTTTAGCGTGGGGAAATCTTAGAATAATATCTGTAGAATTGCTATATAGTTATTTCTATTATATCCTTAGGCGGTAGAGTTAGATGTTTACACTAAATAGAGGCATATAAGGTTCTAGAACAGCTAGAGTTAACAGGAGTATTACGGGGACTGTAGGTATATATTACATAACGAGCGCGTGCGTATTACATAATAGAAGTATCGCACCAACAAGAGGCCGGAAATTGGGACTCCCCAATCTCACGACACACCTTAACTTTTTTAAAGTACCTCTGTCCCGCCCTGTCTAAAATGGCTCCTGTTCAGTTCCATCGCTGGCCGTCAACCCGGTTATCCAGGACGTCCATCGATGGGTCCTACGGAACCTGTCTCTTTCTCGGCCAACCGCCGTCCCGCCTTCCTACAAGAGTGCCCTGGGAAGATAAACCTCTTCTCATGCAGGAGTTGACAGACAAGGAGCGGAGCAAAAGGCAAGGCGGAATAGCTGACGGCATCGTCGGCGCCCAGCATTCCTTGAAACACAATTCAGCCGGTAAATACAACTCTTCCTCTTCAACTCTCGCGCCCTACTCGAGAAACGGGAACGCCGCGACAGCGAATATCGCCAGCAAAGAAGCAGAACAGTCTACCAGTACCTGTGTTTCTCCCGCTCGACATCAACCCGAGGGGACTCAAGGGGATCAAGAATCCATTCGGCTTCAAGCTCGGTCGTGGCCGCGTTTCTCTCCCTGTCATCGCACCCCCTCAGACGCACCACGAGCACGAATTCGATTGCGACGACATTTTTCAAGCGGAACGCTCTCGCCTTCCTTCGACCTTCAGTGTGTGGAACCCGTCTCGTCGTGACCACCTTGAACGCAAGGAATACGATCTTCGCGACGGAGGACAACCTTAGGAGGAAGAAAGTCGAGCGGATCTGTACAAGTACGCTGGTGACAGTAGCGAGGACGAGCAGGAGATGACAGTTGGCCATAACGACAACCTCCATATCACCTCCCGAAGCTTGGTACCGTCGGAAGAGAGTGGAAAATATGGTTCCTATTTCTGGAAGCGGCTTCCCGAATGCAGTGGTTCATCTTTGTTCATTTCATGTTGGCGAGGCCGTCCTCCCGGTCAGGAATTCCGTTGTCCAGTCTAGGACGTCCACCGATGGGTCCTACGGAGCGTGTCCGTCCCGCTCAGCCGCCGTCCTGTCGCCCACAAAAAGCACCCTCAGATCACGAGGAGAGCGAATCCGATCTTGAAGAAAGGTTTCGAGATAGTCCCTGTGGTCTTTCCCTTCAGCCTCCAACTCTTGAAGTTGTGAACCAGAAGCCCGATGCGAAGGTCGAAGGAATCTCGTTCTTATCGACTAGTACAACTCACCTCAGCTCCAGCTGCTGGGCTTCATGGCGACACCACCTTGCGCAGCAACTGCAGCTCCATCAAACCTCCAGGCTGAATACTTTCTAAGTATCCTCCAATCCTAAACAACTCGTATACCATGTCAAAACGCGTCGCCCTCCTCCCGAAGACCGTCCCGTCCGGCGAGGCAAACGTGGTCCAACTCCTCATCCACACTCTACACCCCGAGCTCGACAGCTTCGTCAGCGCGAAGCACGCCGCTGCCGTCGACGAGCTGAACGGCTACGTCATCCAGTTGCCCTACAAAGATCTCTTCGGCGTCGACACCGAAAGCCGCATCCCGCAGAACTTCGGCGCCAAATTCGACCTGTCGACCTGGGCGAAACCAATCGCAAGTCAACTTGTTGAGCGCGCGCGGGGAGCAGATAATCCAGCACACCACACGGCACCCTTTCCCCGCCATCGAGACCATGTGCGAGGGGGGGCCCAGATACGCTGGTGTGGACCTGAGCTGGCTAAGGATGAGGTGTGCTACATTGTGCTCGGCATCACAGAATTGAAGAATGCGGCTTTTGAGCGCGAGATGCCTCAGGGAATGGGTCTGTGGGGCTTGGGATATCTTGGACGTGCGCTTCTCGGTCGTTGGCGATGGCAGGCTGGGTTGTCGTGTTCTGAGATCTGATTGCTCCCAACAACAGAACCATATCCAGCTGAGCGACGGCCGAGCTTGCTGTGCTGTACTCGCCAGTCGTGCGTCTCGTATGTGCCTCTATCCTCCGCGGATCCTTCTGTTCGTCTTGCTGACTGCGAGTAAGAATTGTTCTCTTTTTTCGATCCGGGGCCAGTGGGGATCTTCTCGTCTGTCGCGGGATCCTGAGTACTTTGGTCCAATGAAAGCTTCTGCTCTCCCCTGATACCCAGTGGCTGCGACATTCAGGCATCTGTCTATTTCACTAAGCTCGGGAGCGCAGCGTGGGGACAGGTGATATCCTGGCGTTGGTCAGGTACGGGCCTGTTCGCTCGTCGGGTTGCCGGCACCGTCGGTACCGGCGCTTGAGCAGCGTTTTGACATGGGGACTTCTGTACAAAGGTGCGATGCTTTCTGCTGCTCGCTACCCGGGTATGCTCAGTTACTCGGCTGCAGAGATTCGGAAGATTTGGAGGTTGAAGAGCATAGACATCGGTGAGGCACTCGGATATGCGGATTGCTCGTATGTTGCGCGCGACGAGAGAACATAGCATTCTATAAGAACAAGCGAAGGAGGCCTGCGACGCCAGCTCTGGTGGATGGTTGGGAACATAGCATTCTATGAAGACAAGCAGAGTAGGCCTGCGACGCCGACTCTGGTGGATGGGTGTTGGGCTGGACTGAAGGCCTGTGACGCCGGCTCTGCTGGATGGTTGGAAACATGATATTCTATGAGGCCGAGCGGGGTAGGCCTGCGACACCGGCTCTGGCGACACCGGCTCTGGTGGATGGTGGCGTTGGGCTGGACTGAAGCAGCTTAAAAGGATGGGAAGTGTGGTACGATCGATTCGAAAGAAAATTCTGGGCGGCTTTTGAGGGTTTTGATACATTCCTGCTGGCGTCTGGAGATATGAGGGCCGGAAAAGTGCGACTTGTTACTCGTTTAGGGGGTGTTCAAGAGTTTACGAAGAGGACTCAGTCAGGCGTTTTCATACATTCATGGGGCAAAGAGGCCGGCGAGCAAGAAAGTCAGCTTATGACTAGCTCTCTCACAGTTCATGAGTTTCTGTTTTTAATAGAGATAACATTGGCCATGTTGACTGTTAGGAACTGCACGGGGTGACCTCAGGAGGCACTTTCTACGGGTAGGATAGAGACTGAATGCATATTAGGTTCAATTGGAGGCTAATCTTCATCCACTATGTCATTCAAACAGCTCAAATACGATGTAAAGGCCGATGCTTGGAGAGTAAGCTACTTTTTGACAGGCCGGATACCTGCTAGCTGGGCTACTGGTGACGGTGGTGTTGAGCAAGCAAAAGGTAAACTCGAACACTGCTATATCCATGTGCTGAAACTTCAAACCTAGGAAACCAGGAGAGCTCGGCTCTGGTGGTTATTCGACGCCTCTCACTTATTGTTGATGGCTCTACCCCATCTCCTCAATCTCCCGTAACCACTCCAACATCACGTCGTCGTAGAATGTTGCCACCTCAAAGGGCAAGCCATACGCGTCCCAAAGATCAACACCATCGATGATCTCCTCTCGCACAAGTCCTCTATCCAAACCCGGCCCCCACTTCTCCCTCGGGGTCTTATAGAACTCCACTCGCTGGATCCCTTGAAGAAACCTCCCGACACGATCCCAATACGGAGAAACCCAGAAGTGTTTGAGCATCGGGTGCGAGATATCCGATGTGATCGAGCGGTAGCATTCAGTACGCACCGTATCGATTTCGAATACGGTAACGTCGATAACGAAGTCAGGGGTCGCGGGCTCCTTGATGCCCTCCGCGTCCAGCACCATAGCCCAGGTCTCGCTGTCTGTAAACTTCCGTACCTTCCGCTTCATGCCTTGGTCCTCGATTCGAATTTTCAGTGTCTTTCGCCCCGTGGAAGCGATGTGGTTCAGCGTGTCGCCAGACTTCTCGCTCATCCAGTATCCATGCTGGTACGACCTGTACTTCAGGAAGGTTTCACGCGCGAAGGGGACATAGGCCTTCGTCGCGGTGATGAAGTTAGCATAAGCCGTAGAGTGTTGGGCGTACGTCATGCTCAGGAGGCAGACGAGGGGTATTCGTAAAGAGACGTGGATGTGGACTTGACGTGGCGTTTCGCCAGACTTTGTGAAGAGTTTCAGCGTGTATTGTGGTCCAAATTCGTCTTCATCCGGATCCACCCGGACGCCCCGCGGGGCATCGCTCCTGGGGACTTCGGTCTCAACATAGCCTTCATTCCACAAAACGTCCTGGAGAATGTCGCAGTTATCTTTGATAAGAAAGACGTCTAGGCGAGTCCCCGTGGGGCGCCGATCCAAGAAGTCAAGGGCAAACCTGCCGGAAATAATGCCTGAAGCCTCGCCCAGCTTGTTGCGGAACTTGATGGGGTCTAAGAAGAACTTCTGCAGTGCAGTATTGATGTTCCACTGTGTCTGCTGGGCCTTCGAGTAGACCCCTCCCAGCTTTTGAGAGACACGTCCCAGTTTGACTATATCGGCTGGCTCCAGGTAGCTCGTGATCGAGTCGAAAATGGGCACAAAGCGGTCTGGCTGCTCGAGGAAGTCGACCAATCGTCCTTTGGGCATCTCTTGAAACGCGTTGTTGACGGTGGTTTCATGTTGAGCTTCACTCGTAGGGACTGGAAGTGCATCTGCGTTATTGCCAAAGATAGCAAGATTGCGCAGCGAGGTGATCATCTCCATGATTGAGGTAGTCATGGCCCCCGATGTAAACAGTGGTCAACTAGGAAAAGAACCGGTTAACAGGTTGGGGTGGACGGTCGCTGAAGATGGAGCCAAAATGTGAGGATTTGTTGGTGTAGGAGGACTTTAGAAAGTAGTTGTAGTGGTGGTTGTAGTGTGTGTGGTGTGTGTGGCCGATGTAGACCCCGAGTCCCCACACGAAATGATTGCGGTATAAATAGAACTCATATGCTAAAGTACTTGCTGCTCGCGACGGACGGTGAATGTGCCCTGGACAGGTGTGACCTCGTGTCTTGGACTCAAGACAATTCACGTGCTTTATAGTCACGTGCCCTACATGGGATCTCTATCTGGTATAAAACATCCCGGCACCTACGTGCGATATCGCATGTGTATAAGGCTGCCTTGCGTTCTACACATGAGTTTGCAAATGACCGGGGTATCACGACAAACTTTGGAACATCCGAATAAGATGTAACGATCAAAACAATAGAAACTAGATTATCTTTGGATTAATTGAAAACAACACACCTAGGGCACTTCTTAAAGTCGTGTCCAGAAAGCAAGAGTGAAGCTAGAGCAGTGGCGTATCCGTGTGCCCAACCGTATGGCAGTGCTGTACGAGAAGATAGAGACTCGGCCATGTATACCATTCACCAATCGGGTTTCTCGAAGCTATTAAAATGGCCCTCGTACCAGCGAATCGGATACCAGAAGCTCCGCAACTACTCCACATCCAGCGCCTCGTCTTCATCCGCATCGGACCCTCCTCCTCCTCCCGCTTCAGTACATCAATCTCCCACTCAGTCTCTAGAATCCACTCCGACATCTTATGATCGTAGTATTCTAGTTTCTCTGGGGGGATTGCCCCGTGAATCCATTCAGGGTGATGATTAATGACTTGCGTGTGGGTGAAATGCCTCGGTGCGCCCTCCTGCCACTTCTCCTTAGACGTTCCATAGCATTGAAAGTGCATTCGGGATTCCGACCGCTTATACAGAATCTCGACGTAATCCGAAGGCAAGGCGTAGGAGTAGCGCAGTGTGTGATGCTCGAGTAGAGTAGTCTTGACGGGAAAAGCATTCTGACTGGGCGCGGACCAGGAACCTCTTGGCATCGGTAACAGAGTCGAGTATGGTGGGCGGCTTGATCCCTTTAAGGTCCAGCGTCATGGTCCAAGTGTTTCCATCTGAGAGGCTCCGCGTCTCTTCTTCGTGTTGCGCTGGCGGGGATATGATCTCGCGCGGCTGAGCTACCATATTGACCATTGTTTTGACGGATCCCTCGAGATATTCAGTATCGGCGCCGTTCATATTGCAGTGGTTCTTGAGGAACACGCCCCGAGCAAATGGTGCGTACACTTTGGTCGCTGTGATCATGTTCGCCAGCGCCAGGGTCCCTTGGGGAACGCTGCGTTCGGTCAAGATATCGACAACAGGGTTCTTCAAGATGCAGCCTTGAAGATGAATTGATGGGCCCTTCCGGTCACCAGTGCCCGCGTAGACTTTGTATCCCCACTCTACTTTCCTATCCACGTCTTCCGGGATTTCGTCCTCTTTGTCTCTCGATCCATTCACCGAGGATAACGTGGGGACAATTCTGATGGTCCTCTGCATCCTCCTCCAAGTCTTCTGGATCTTCCTCTAAATTCTCATGGACTTGAACCCAGATATAAAGTCGGTCTCCTGGGGCTTTCCTATCGAGGAAGTTAAGCGCAAAGACCCCCGAGATCACCCCCAATGTCTCCCTAGCTTGTTCGGAATCCTTTCTGCAAGGCCGTGTTGATGTTCCATTCTGTGTTAATGAGGGTTGAGTACACATTTCCGGGATCTTGGGAGGCGGCACGTAGGTTGACGATGTCGGCAGGCCCAAGATGCTCGGTGATGGCGATGAACATGGGCACATAACGGCCGGGCTGAGTTAGGAAGTCGATGAGCGGGCTGGCGCGCTGTGCAGTGCTGGTAGAGGTAGTCATTGTATTGGGATTGCGAGAGTTGTGATGCTGGATGAACGCTAGGTCAGCTTGCATGACGGCTTAGTGGTGGAGTTGCAAGACTGCCGGTGTGGTGTGGAATATGAGGTTTCCATTAGCGGGTGCATGGTGGGGCACGCAGAACAGTTTCAGTACGCAACCTCTTCTAGAAAGCCACGCCCACGCAAGGAGTGGTGAGTCGACGGAATATTGAGTCCGACAGAATTCGACAGATGCTGCCGCACGTCAGCATACGTTCACCTTTAGGGTTCCCATCTTGTCACTAGTCGCATGTTACGTTAATGGAGCCTCGAAGAAATGTACCGTAATTCAAATGATTTCCTACAAGACCGCTTATTGGACCACCGTTGTCTCTCAAGGCAACTAACTGTGCAACCTGGAGGGCTCAAACATCTATGTATCGCTGATGGAACCTCGGCCAAGGCATCCCTTCCTCGACCCTCTCGTGAGCTTTCACCACAAACGACCGTATAAATGCATCAATTATAGCGATCCATCCTCATCATAATTCTTTCGGTTTCAGCCAAGCGTTCGTGAACTTGCAGGGCTTCTTCCTCCTCCTCCGCGAGCCACTCCAGCATCATGTCATCGTAGTACGGTTCGGCCCATTTCTCCTTCGGAGTCACCGCACGTTCCATTGCCATAGCCCCACTCAAACGGAGGCCGACTCCACATGCATGCACCCAGATGTATCGCAGACCAGGATGCGATAATTGGGTAACATTCACGGCATAGTGGGATTGATTTCCGGCCTGATCGACCCGTAACGCAAAGGTCGTAGCGTCGACCACGTACTCAGGGGTCGCAGGGGGCTCGATGCCCGCGGTGTCCAAGTTCATGCTCCAGGTGTGGCCATCTTTGAACTTGCGGATCACTTCTCGGTTGTAACAGTCCTTAGAGTACTTGAGTAGGTTATTGTATATGAGGGTGTTATTGTAACGTAATCCACAAGTTAGTGGCCCGCACAAGCTAGTGGCCCACCCAACCACG